TCGCGGGCATCGTTGTTGGCTGGTCTTGTGGAATGGCCTCGATGCTGAACGCCAGCTTGTGAAGCAGGTATGAGCCTCCATCGCCATCGTTCTTTGAAGCTCTAGGGAAAGGGGAGCCCGCTAGCCAAGGCTGGTCGAACGAACGGCCGCCGACATGACGCCCCATGGGTCAAGTGAGGGCATCTCTGCAGTCGACGGCGCCGTGACGGCGCGAGGTAGCGGCTTCAGGAGTGCTCGAAGGTGGTTCACATCGCGGCCGTTTCAAGGTCGGCTGGTGAGCTCGGCATTTTTTGCTTTAACGACACGCCCACTCCATGTCATCAAATATCTCGTTCCAAGATTCGAATGCATCAAATCAGAAAGGTGGGTGGCCTGCATCTGCATCAGGGAAATCATCAACGGCAACGAAACGAGGGCGGAAGGAGGCCCGTGGCCCGGCATCGTTTGCGGAGACGACAGGGCGCCGGTCGCCATCTTCCAAGGGTGGGCGCTCGTCTGTCGTTTCAAATCCTGCACAGCCTTATCGCTCAGCAATAGAGGACAGAAAGAGGTAGTGCTTACCAGTTGGAGACGCCCGCACACCCTCAGGATAGCTCGGAGCACACATGGACATCCCGCTCCTGGTGGTTTTTGAGATGCTAAATAGATTCACTCGGGTCCAGGTCCAGGTCCAGCTCCGGGCGTGTGTCGGCGCATCGGCCGACATGGACAAGGGGCCATTCCGTAGTGGGTAGGGAAGGGAAGGGAAGGGGGCCGCTAGCCTGGTCCCCGGATCCCTGCAAGCACATGGCCGACGACGTAAATGGGGTGTCGGTGTAGAAAGAGGCCGCGCTTCTCACCGTGTGCGCCGAACCCTTGACCTTGGATGCCTACTGTGCGGTCAGGCCGACACCCGTAGGTTTGTCTCGGCTCCTAGCGAATCATCCGAAAAGGATGGTGGTCCGCCTCTCCCCGAGGAGAGAAGCTTTTCTTCTTTGCTCACCTCGTCACTGTTGAGGACTTTGGCCAGCCAGCCTGTGGAAGGCCTAGCGTCGCGGGTGCGTGTGCTAGTACGGAGTAGGTGAGGGAGACAACAGCCAAGCCAACCACAGCTTGTAGCGCGAGGGTGAGAGGGTGTGATAAGTGTCGAAATTGAGCGAGAAAGCCGTCTGCATGCCAGACAATTTGGAGGAATATCTGCATGCAACAAAGCAGGGACAGATGCGGATATGACATTTGATGCATGTGAGGTACTTTTACAAGCATTAAGCGCTAAAGTGCCTGCCTGCCGATCTGCCATTACCTATTACTCTACGGTCGTACATTGCCCTTCCCTCGTTCTTTCCTCTTTGAGGTCGCTCTTTCCTTTCATCAAACAGGGAGTACACACCACCACACCTTCCAGAAGAGCGGCGTCCTCCACCATGCGGACTCCAGCCCGATTCAGCTGGACAGCCGTCTCAATCGAGGGGCCTCCTACGAATGAATGGCAACATTGAACGCTCCTCAGCCATCAACCCTCGTGTCTCGCCATCACACCCCTCCCCCTTCGCATCCCCCTTCGTATCCACGTGGCATGTCGCCTGCCACGTTCTCAACACGTTTGTGGCGAGAAAGCAACACCTCTTGCCCTCATGTGGTGTCTCGGGTTTCAAAGCCCACGAAGATGACGCTGCTACGATACCCGTTCCCCGTTGATCGGCAGCGCCGTCCCCTCCCGTCCGCAGAACAAACGAAGCTGGTGCGTCAGACGCCCTCGAGTCGCGGGCCATTATGCTTAAAGGAGTTATCTGCATGCAATCACATCCGATGCATTGCCAAGGTGCGGTGACAAAGATCAACCATGTGCACGGCCATTCAAGAAGAAAAGGGGAGCAGGAGAGTAAGGATCAGCCATGGGCACGAGACGCTGTCTTTCCAAGTCATTACAATGATATGGATGCGGCGCGCTACTTGTTCCACGTCTATCAAGCCTGCACCGAAGCTTTTTGGGATGTGATTACCTGCTGTGCAGCCTCGATCGATTTCGTACTCGGTCTTCGCTGCAAATTAGAGTTCAGCCGCTTCGAGAGATCACCACTAGCCTCAGCCATGGAACTTTTCTCGAAGCCTGTCGCCGTTCGGTACCGGTTCCAAGCTCCTTCGGTCTGACCTCACCATTATACTGCACCCCAGTCTTAATCAGATTGGATGACCGAAGAGGGTGGTGGGTGGCTGGCTGAACAGCGCCTGTGTGCCACCCACACCCGGGGAAAAAGCTTCTAACCTGCCGATCGCCAAATTGCTCGGCTACCGCATCCGATCGGCTGTGTACCGGTGAACATGCCGTATGAGGTACCACCTTCCGCACCTTTCCCCCGTGCTCCGTCCCGGGCATACGGAGGCGCTGCCATGCACCATTTGCACACCGACTTTTTGCTCGAAAGGCACGCTTTGACTTTGATGTCGTACCCTCACTGGGTCCGATATTCTCCGCGAAACGCAGACGGATGACGTGAGAGAAAGCAGTACGCAATGATAACGACCCAGCTTTCCTTCTTTTGACATCATTGGCCGCAACCTGTCTATCTCTGGTTCAAGCAAGTGCTTGTATTTGGTGCGCAGTGCGTCAACGCGTCCTGTTCGCGCAGCACAGAAGTGAAGTTTCCATACTGAATCAAGGATCACGATGATGTATCAGTGCAGATCTATCGTGATCTTCAACTTCTCGAGGGGGATTTGCAGTGTTAAAAGGACAATACGAGATTTGATTTACCGCGTCTCGAGCTTCTAGAAGGATTCCACGCATGGGTGTGTGGGTTGAAAGGAGAGATTTGCACAAGACGTACAGGTACGGAGAGGACAATCCCAGATACAAGCAGCGCGATCATTTGCCAAAAGTAGCATGGCTAGGCACACTCATTATCCTTGCAAGCTCATGGCGATAACGTGCCGCGAAAGAGGGTTGCAGGCAAAAGATCAAACTTAATCGGGTTCAAGAACAACACCCTCACCAACCAAAGGGAAGACGATCACAATACAAAAGCAGAGGGGATGGAGGCAACCTATCCGCTCGCGCTTGCACTTGCATATATGCCCACCCCTTCCTTTGCTTCGCGCCATCGGTCGGCTCTGCTGGCACGTGGTGTGAATATTCTAGAGGATTTCCCTTTTGGGTGAATATGATACTATGGCTTGCTTGAGAGTCTCTAGAGCCGATGCACTGTGTCGACTTTTGCCCACTGCATCAACCCGACAACTGGGTCAATCAAATATTGACTTTCATTAGAACGAGACCGTTCCCCTTCACCATTTGCCTTAGGGCGACGAAGCGCAAGCTTAGTGCAACTCTGGAACCTTAGCTTTAGCAACCCCCCAGAATTGACTAGCGGGAGAAGTCTAATCTGGGGGCGGGTAGAGAGAGAGAGAGAGAGAGAGAGAGAGAGAGAGAGAGAGAGAGAGAGAGAGCGGGAGCGGGATGAGCTTCGGCAAATGCCCAGCTTGACGATGGGCTTGTTTCAGGCCTCAAGTAGCGGGTTGGGGCTTGAGAGCGGCTATGTCGATTGCCGCTATCCGGATAGATAGTGTATGATACTGAGTTGTCTCCTTTCAGACAGGCTTACCCGTGTCTTGTGGGTTTGTTCCTCGAGGACCTATCAGTCTCGGATTGTCAACTTGTAACAGTGAAGATGAGCGCAATATGGCCCTTGCGAATCTCCTATTGTTGGAACTTGTGATACTCTTCTTCTAGCTGTTGCGACAAGAGTAGCGTTTGATTGAAGCGACTCGACTTGGACCACAGAAGCAATTATCAAATAGTTTTTCGCAAGTATCAGTCATGGTAGGGGCTTCCCGAGGGGGTTGAACCCTCGTATGATCAGCTCCCGTGGACAGACCACATGTCTTTGCTTGTGCTTATGCTAGCCTCGCCGCTGTCAAGATCAGGCCTGCACCTTTCCTTGTATTGCATTAAGCTTACAACTCCCGAAGACCGTCTAATACAAGCACTTGAACTGCTCAAGCCTGTGCACATCTTGCATAGATGCAACTGTGGCTAGGCGAGATGTAACGCATTAGTCCTCTAAGACTGCCAGGCTCTCAGAATGTAACAGGAATACCAGCAACGATTGAAGCCGACGCGTGGATGGGTATGAGAAGTTGAACCGACTGCCCGGTCTGGTATCTGGGCGATCCAATCGTCTCAACTTTGCTTCAACTCATGAACGTCGGATTTTGAAATGGTTCCTTACATGAACTGAGCCGCAAACGAGCATTAGACAAGTATTTGTTAGCCTATTTCCCCGAAGTCGCCCGAGCAAAACACCAGCGTGGGCGATTGTTTGGTGGACGATGGCCCGTCTTGATGCAACACGACCTGGCAACGACCCGAGTTCAAGCGCTGTCCATCCCCAGGCCGCTCACCCCCGCGTGTCAAATGGAACGTGTTATTGCCCCGAGATCGAGTATAAGTGGCGCCCCCGTGTCCTGGTCCGAATGGCCCAGAGTTGCATGAATCTGGACCAGCAGGGCCAATCACGAGGGCGAACCCCTCCATGCCCAGCATGACCCCGGGAGGCGCATGTGAGCGGGGGGCGCGAGCGAGAGCAAATCATTCGCCAGGAGGGGGCGAATGCCAGCACTTTATCTCCTTCCCATCCCAGGCTTTGCTTGTCGCAGCGTTGCTTGCACTTCAGGGGATGGGCCAGCGCCAGAGCCAAAACACCCTTTCCGTTATGATAGAATGCTACCACAGCCTGAACAGGGGTATCATCCCGAGGCCGCCACACACATGCTTTGGCAGGCGATGCATGTGGGTGGCGTCGCGCTGCCTTCTGTGCGAATGACAGCTCCTCGTGGGCTCTAGACATGCTCGTATAAAATGAAGACTCAGGGAACCGTGGGATAAGAGGAGATCGCCCTGCTTTCACTGCGCCCTGGTCGACACTAGAGCTGTTGCTGTACGCTTGTATGTGCTGCTCGGCTGCTTGAAACCGACTCTGGAAACTCAGCCTTCGATCGCCCGTCCCGCCCAGCAGCAAGCCATGTCTCTCCGCAGCTACGTCTCGGCCGCCCTGCTCCTCGCCGGCGCGGCGCTGGGCCAGAGGAGCTGCAACGGCTCGCCCGAGCTCTGCGGCCGCAAGTACAGCAACGTCACCTTTGTCGGCGCGCACGACAGCGCCTTTGTCGGCTTCCTGCCCGTGCACAACCAGTACCTGCCCCTGGACCGGCAGATGGCGCTGGGCGTGCGCTTCCTGCAGTCGCAGACGCGCAAGAAGGACGGCGGCATCGAGATGTGCCACACGTCGTGCATCGAGCTCGACGCCGGCTCCTTTGCCGACTACGTCAAGCCCGTCAAGACTTTCTTGGACGCCAACCCCAACGAGGTCATCACCATGCTCGTGACGAACCCGGAGAGCATCGCCGTGGAGAAGTACGGCGACGCGTTCAAGGCTGCGGGTCTGGACGGGTATGCGTTCACGCCGGACAGCAAGCTGGCGATGGGGGACTGGCCTACGCTGGAGCAGATGATTGATTCCGGGAAGAGGCTTGTTGTTTTTATGGGTGCGTCGCGAAAATGATATATTCAATTGTGCTCTCTTTGAGGGAGGACAGTCTTTGGTTCTTTCAGAAATACTGACAGCAAGGGATGCAGACTACCACTCGGACACAAGCAAGGTCCCGTACATCCTGGACGAGTTTGCCTACTACTTCGAGACGCCCTGGGGCTGGACCGACCCGGCCTTTGCGCAGTGCGATCTCGATAGGCCCGACGGCGCGAGCCCGGACGGGCGCATGTACATTGTCAACCACATGCTCAACGTTGAGCTGGACATCCTTGGCTTCAAGATCCTGATCCCGGACCAGGAGCACGCGGAGCAGACGAACTCTGTCATGTCCATCATCGCGCAGTCGGACCTGTGCATTGCGAAATATGGGCGCACGCCCAATGTCGTCCTGGTGAGTTCACAGATCTTCTTCGGAATTTGATTGGGGGAGGATAGTAGAGGTGTAGGTGTTGGACTTTTACGACGAGAGCTTACTGACCTGACTTGAATAGCTTGACTGGGTCAACAGGGGAGACGCTATGGGCTCGCAGCGTATGCTGAACAACCTGTAGTAGATATGCATCTGGGAATGCATCCGGTAAGTCTATGGAACAATATGGGCGGCCAACAAATCTGGATATGCCTTTTATATTTCAACATGTATATTATATTGCGTGGCGTCGTGAATATAAGAAGTTGGATACGTAGTCAAACAAGCTTGCATAGCAGCACGCTTCACAGATCGTTAGTGCTACGTGGCTAAACTGTGTCATAATCGGATTTTTCGAGGCTCTTTGAGAGACACGCGACGGAGGACAATGAACCGATGCCTATGTATGGCTCCATGATGCGTAGTCTTGTCCATTACTATCAGATGAACGGCTGTCATTCGCTTGGCAGATCAGCATGTAATGTTCAACGTCTTGCACTAGTTCAGAGTCCGTTGAACACAAAGATACTCTAAAGCTTCCGAGTGTTTGAACCAATGCCGGATTTTGGGCACAAGCAACTCCTGGTTTCTCTGCTGCATCTCTATCTGTCAAATACTGAACTGCGAAACATGAAGCTCCCCCAAACTTCTTACATACCCCCAAGAACAGTGCAAATAACTACACTACTTCCAAATGCCGCATCCGTCTAAATGACAAGAGGACTGCGGGCGGTGACCTTGATCCAACCAAAAGGTGAGGAGCAAAAAGGCAGAAAAAGGAGACCGAAAAAAAAACCCAAAAAAAATAGCGACAATGGCATCATCGGGAATCGAACGCAGACTAATTGCACCAGGATATACTCACTGAAATGCCGCCGTTTCTACAATCCGACTCCCTAACCACTGTGGCATATTGCCACAAGTCGCTATTGTTTAGGAGTATAATTATTCTTTACTATAAGGCCTTGGCACTTCCAACTTAAAATCCTCCACTGATCACGTCTCGTAGCTCAATGGGTCTCCCTCGATCTCACACCACTGAAGAAACTCTTAACCTTTACCCGTTTCATCAATTGCACAAGCACTCAGTTGGTTGGTGCAAGACGGATAGCATTTCTTCCCACGCGAGTCAACAACACCCGGCCGGAAGCTACTCCGAGTGGGCTTGGGCTCCGTCCCGCCTGCCAAGACTCGATCCAACGGGACCGCCATCTCCAAGTCCGTCGGACCCCGGATCCGCATCCTCGGCTATCGGTGGCGTCAGCGCTGCCAAAAGTGGGGCGGCGACCGACTCCATTCGTTGCTGATTGATGCACATCTTCACCGCGAGTCTTTGTTTTTCTTTCTCCACCCCATTTGCATTGCTTTCTGGCTACCTAGGTACTTCGCGGATGTGAAGCAGCCAAGTCTCGTCTCTGTGTTATGTGCATCTCTTAGCTGACTGCAACCGCCTTCGTGCTGTAACTTCCCTCGACACGCCCGGTCTTCAAAATCGCCACTTCGACCTGGTCCCGCCACCGGCGTTCGTCCCCGCTTCCTCGGACTAGATAACTCCGAGCGCATCGGAACGCCCTGTTTTGTAAGGTTTATAACGCCATGGACGTTGAATATGATTCGGAAAATGACTCGGAAAAGACCGATGTGGAACCGAGCCAGCCGGCCTCGCTGAGACGGGCGGGAGAGGCCAGCCGGCTGGTCTATGATGTCGACGAGATCCCGGGATACCACGCCGACGGGCCAGATGATGACGACCCATTGCCAATGGCAGCGTCGCATGTGGCGCACCGCCGGGGATCAGGGGCTTCAGAGCGGCCACGGGAGGTCGTGGCCTGGCGCGATCTGCCGCGGAAGAAGCAGCTGCTGGTGATTGTGCTCGCTCGACTGAGCGAGCCGCTGGTCCAGACATCTATCCAGGTATGTTCATCATTCGTCAAGTACTCATTGAGGATCCCCCTCTGACATTCCTTCTCTCAGTCCTACATGTTCTACCAGCTCAAATGGTTCGACGAGACCCTGCCGGACTCGGTCATCGCCGGCCAGGCCGGTGTCTTGCACGCAAGCTTTACCGCTGCGCAGTTCTTTACCGCCATGCTCTGGGGACGCCTGGCAGACTCGAGCCGCGTTGGTCGCAAGTCTGTGATTCTAATTGGGTTATCTGGAACGAGTAAGGTCTTGTGTCTGCTGTTTGTCGAAAGGTGCCATGTGCTCACTGGTGTATAGTGATCTCGTGTCTGGGCTTCGGCTTCTCGACGTCATTCTGGCAAGCGTTGATTTTCCGATCCTTTGGTGGGATCACGAATGGAAACGTGGGAGTCATGAGGACTATGTAAGTCACTTGCTAGCCGCGTTTACATCGTAATATATCGTACTGACTAATCCCAGGATCAGCGAGACAATCCGCGAGAAGAAGTATTTCTAACCACCGCTCTTAACATTGTTCAGCCAACTAACGATTCCTCACAGGTACCAATCCAGAGCCTTCCTCTTACTCCCCATGACCTTCAACATCGGAGTCATCATCGGCCCTATCCTAGGCGGCATCCTGTCCGACCCGGCCGGGAGCTACCCCAGCGTCTTTGGCAAAGTCGACTTCTTCCTCAAGTTCCCCTACGCCGCGCCAAACCTGCTCAGCGCATTCTTCCTCCTCTCCGCCTGCCTTGCCGTCTGGCTCTGCCTTGAAGAGGTAAGAAGCACACATCATGCCCATCTGATACCCCACCATCCATCACAAGTCCCCACAGCTAACCTCTCGTCATCACCGCACGCAAACAGACCCTCGACGCCCGAAGAGATAAGGGCGACATAGGCCTCGAGCTAGGCACGAGACTTGCCTCCCTCCTCGCCCGCCTCTTCCGCCGCGGCCGACACCCCACGGGGCCCCACGCGTCGGTATCCTACACCCCGATCGCCTCCCGCGACGCGAGCACAGAAGTCGAGCTCTCGCCCGCCACCACCACGGCCCACCACCCCTTGCCCCTCTCGAAACACCGCCGCCCGCGCTACACCCAGCGCCTGCCCTTCGCCCGCATCTTCACCCCCAACGTCGTCGCCACCTTCGCCTCGCTCTTCCTCCTCGGCTTCCACGTCGGCACCTTCAACTCGCTCTGGTTCGTCTTCCTCTCCACGCCCGTCTACGACCCGGCCGCGCCGGCCGCCCTGCCCCGCGCCCTCCCCTTCGTCTTCACGGGCGGGCTCGGCCTGCCGCCCCGCTCCGTCGGCCTCGCCATGGCCATCCTCGGCGCCCTCGGCATCGCGCTCCAGCTCCTCGTCTACCCGACCCTGTCGGCGCGCCTCGGCACCGTGCGCTCCCTGCGGCTCTTCCTCGCCTGTTTTCCCGTCACGTACTTCCTCGTGCCCTACCTAGGCCTCGTCCCCAGCGACGCGGCCCACCCGCCCCCCGGCCCCGCGGGCGGCGCCCTCGTCTGGCTCGCCATCGCGGGCGTCCTCTTCTGCCAGGTCCTCGCCCGCACCTTCGCCATGCCCGCGCAGACCATCCTCGTCAACAACTGCACGCCGCACCCGTCGGTGCTGGGCACCGTGCACGGCCTCGCGCAGAGCGTGGCGTCGTTTGCGCGCACCGTCGGCCCCGTCCTGTGCGGGTTCCTGTACGGGCTCGGCCTCGAGAGGGGCGTCATCGGCGCCGTGTGGTGGGGGCTGAGCGGCGTCGCCGTGTGCGGGCTGGTGGCGAGCTGGTGGGTGCGGGAGGGGGATGGGCATGAGATTTGGCTTGAGGGGGATTATGAGGGGGAGGAGGAGGAGGAGGAAGAAGAGGGTGGGCATGGTGTCGTGGTCGGTGGTAGAGTGTAAGGTGAATGAGAGTCTGGGTTCTTCGTTACATGACTTATGGGAACATGAGGTATTAGATACAATCATAAGGAGAGCGAGCATTCAATAGATCTCATATAGAAGCAGAATATCTAGATTATATATATACATATGAAACGAAGAGACAGACGTTTTTGGTCCACTCGTGCCTTTTTCTTCGTGTCAGCACATGCAGTTGCGTCGCACCACGCTCACTGCTGCTCGTCAATCTCGATCCTGAACCCCTGCGTCAAGTCCTTCTCAACCAAGAAGCTAACAGCACCAGACTCGCCATGCTCGACCTTGACGCCAGCATCGCCCTTGACGCTGATGCGCTTCTGCTTCTTCTGCTCCCCCCTCTTCTTACACCCGCCCGCGTTGCCCAGGCCCAGGAACGTAATCTTGCTCACCCTGACCGGCTGGTCATACCCAAACGTGCCGTCGGCCGTGAAGACGCCGTCCTTGAACGAGAAGTTGACAAACGTCGTCTTGCCCCCCTGGTCGATGGTCACGCCGTCGTCGACGTACAGCTCGCCCTTGGCGGACCCATCCTTGCCCAGCGGCACGACCAGCTCGAACCCTTCCTTGCGCAGGTCCGTCGTCGTCATGGCCGACTTGGCGCGCAGCGGCACGATGACGCCGCCGCGCAGGAAAAGCGGGATCTGCGTCACGTTCTGGCCGGAGACGGCGACCGTCGCGCCGCGGCCCCGGACCTTCTTGTGCGTGTACCAGTCGTAGAAGACGTCGTCGGGCAGGTACACGTCGACGCTCGTGGCGTTCTCCTCGAGCACAGGGGCGACGAGCAGGCCCGGCCCGTAGAGGAACTGGTAGTCCAGCCCGAACGTCTTCTCGTCCTGAGGGTAGTGGTAGAACATGGGGACGACGGCCGGAGTGCCATCCTTGGATTGGAGGTGCATCTGCGTGTAGAGGTAGTCGAGCAGGCGGTAGCGGATCTCGATGGCCCTGCGGGCCGACTCGGCGACCGAGTCCCAGCGGTAGAACTCCTGGTCGATCGAGTCAAGGCTGTTGTGGTTGCGGTAGAAGGGCTGGAAGGCGCCGAGGGAGGCCCAGCGGGCGCAGAGCTCCTCGGTAGTGTTGTCGCCGAAGCCGCAGACATCTGAGCCAGTCATGGGGACCTGGTAGATGGCCGTGAAGCCGAGCATCATGCGGATGGACCAGCGGTAATGACGCCAGGTGGACAGGTTGTCGCCGGTCCAGTGGCCGACCTTCGACCCGGCACCGGCAAAGGTAGAACGGGTAATAATCAGGGGTCGGAGGCCTGGTCGGCGATGGAGCATAGCGTCGTAGGACTGGGTCGACATCATCGAGCCGTAGAGATTGTGGGTGTCGTACATGGTCAGGCCGTTCTGGTGGATGACATCAGTGTTGACAGTGTGGTTTGAGATGCCGCCCTTGTCGGCGTTCCATTCAGGCTTGTAGGCGACCGCGTTATGGATGGGGTATTTGGGGTAGAGGAGGTCACGGCCCGGGAGACCCTGCTGGTTTCCGGAAGATTGCCGGGGCGAGAGAACCAGGTGGTCATATGAGGGAGGCCACTTAGACGAGCCCCTGACTTCGAGATCCGTGCTGTGCTCGCTGCGCTTGCACTCGGTGCCCTCCGGCTGCAGGCTGCAGGGCCATCCGGGAAGCGGTCTCGGCGGCGTCCGGACTGGAGGAGCCGGAGGCGGGTATCCAATGGCCGACTTGTCGGGGTCATCGCAAGGGAAATTGCAAGGGAAGTTGGAAGGCTCGTTCATGTCAATCCACAGAGCGTCAATGTCAACACCATCATTGGCAGAGAAGAAGGTGGCGAACTCGTTGATCCAGTAGTCGCTGACGTTCTTGGAGAACCAGTCAGGGAAAGCCGTGACACCAGGCCAGACGACGCCTTTCCAGATCGACCCATTGTTGCGCAGGAGGAAGATGTTGTCCTCGACACCCCTGTGGAAAGGAGGATAGTCCTGGTAGGCGACGGCGGGATCGACCATCACAATGTAGTGCTGGTTGCTCTTGTGGACATGGTCCACAAAGTCGCGGATCGTGTTCAGGGGGAATCGCTCAGGATCGAGCGAGAAGACCTGGAAAAGGTCGTCAAGTTAGTATTTCCCTTCCTCGCTCCTTGGGATGGACACTTACCCTCCGGCGGTCCATGTAGTCAATGTCATTCCAGATCGTCTCGAGCGGGATGCCGGCCTTGCTGTAGTTGTAAACAACCTCGGCCGTGTTGAACACATCCCGGTACCCATAACGGCAGTTGTGGAAGCCCAGGCCCCAGTAGGGGTGCATTGCGGGCAGGCCGACGATCTCGGCATACTGGCGCGAGACGTCCTGGGGCGACGGGCCGGCGACAAAGTAAAAGTCGAAAACGCCACCAAGGGTGTTGTACTCGAGGTACTGCCCGGACTCGGCCGTCTTGTTGATCATGATGTCCATGCCGTTCGAGTTGAGGAAGAAGACGCCGTGGGTGCCGCTCCCCTTGCGGTGCTCAAAGTAGACCGGGTGGTTGCCGTACAGGTTAGCGCCCTGGGGCGTGCCGTAGGCATCCTGGGACCAGAGCGTGCGGATGTAGTCTGTCGTGTTGAGCCTGAAGGGGTCGGTGTGCTCGCCGAGGCCGTAGAGGTTGGGGTTCTCGGGCAGCTTGGTCCTCAGGCGGAGGTACTGCGACTCGAAGACCAGGTTCGCCGCCGAGGTATCGAAGAGCACCTCGCCCGAGCTGGCGCGAGAGACCTTGAAGGAGAACGGGCTCTCTTTGAAGTCAAACTTGAGCTTGGAGCTGTCCGGCTTGACTCCGGCAGCTTGGGGGCGCGGGAACACAGAGGCCGGAACCTGGTACACGTCGTTGGCAGCATCCTGGATTTTGACATGTAGACGGTTGTCTAAAGCAAACGAAACTTAAATCAGTCTGCTGTTCGCGCTTGGAAACGCAGGGACAGGCATTGGGATCATACCGGTCTCATAAGTCACAGTCAAAGTGAGATTCTGCAAGTCATCGCCGTAGGCATTGCAGGCCGCGCCGGCGAGGGCCAGGTCGGCCGTCAAGCCCGTATCGCTCGTCTTGACATTGGACGCCTTGTAGCCGGGGCAATTGGCCAGGCGCGAGTCGCTGGGGTAGTCTCGGGCGGGCAGCAGGGCCGAGGCAGAAGCCGCGCCGGCGGCGCAGAGCCATGTCCCGAGGGCTGCAAACTTGGTCATCTTGCACACGCTCACGATGCGAGGGGAGGGTTCGGACCGGTGCGGGCGTGTTGCAGGGCAAGAGAAACAAGGAAGAGAGGAGACGGAGGAGAGAAGTCCCTTTTTAAGGTTGAAAAAAAAGAGAAATGGGAGCGTTTTCATGTCATCGCAGGATGCCTGCCCACACCATCTCGTCTTGGCAGGTGCAGGTGCAGGTGGTGATCACAGCTTCCCCAAGAACCACCACATGCAAGACGCAATTTTAGGTTCCCACCTGGCCGGCGGCAGGACCATGGTTCCAAGGTCCAAAAGCCCCAAGATCCAAGACCTCGATCATTCTTCTTATCACCCAATCCGGACGTCATTTCGCCGCACTTGACTTGGCCATCAAGACCTACCTCGAAGGGGAAGCAAAAGCCTCTCCAAGACGGGCCGTTTGTACAATGCAGCTAAACATTCCGCTGCCATGGCCCCGAGAGCTCCCTGATCCCCCGGCTCCTCCACAACCTCGTCCCAACTCCGCCCTCAGCTCTGCCCATGGTCGGAGTTTGTAGCGGACTCGGGGAGCAAGGACAAGGACAAGGGTGCAGATGGCCCGGAACCCTTGTCGATCTCCCAGGCACAGCGGCTCGATGAGCTCTCTGGGCTCTACACCCTCCGGGTCGTCACTACTACCAAGCTTGAGGAGGCAGTTGATTGCGGTTGTGCGGGGGTGGAGGATGTGGATGTGGTGCTATGGGCCAGTTCAGCAGCGACCGTTACGGCCCGACTACGGCAGTACAGAGAGACCGGGGGCCTGCCGGGGGCATTGCAAGTGGTTTTACCCCGCTAAAACCCCGGGACTAGGGCTGCTGTGATCGCTTGGCTTTAAGCTAAATCGGCTGTTCAACTACCTAGGTAGCAGAGGCGCGCTTCGAGAGACACCATCCGTGCGACTTTGGGTGATTTGTTCGTCTTCTTTCCCAATCCCTACCTTGATTCACTCTGTCGCCGGATTCTTGCGGACTCTGCAGCAATACTGCAGATCTCCAGCCGGGATCCGAAGTCATAGAATGGTAGGGAGGGAACACAAAGTCGGAGATGCAGTCAACGTGATGTAACTGTGCTCTGCGCGTGCTTTAAACCCCAAATTGAACCTGGCTCGCCTGGTAGACCAAATCTCCGACTCGCCCGATTCACACTCCGCCCACCGTCGCGGCTCGGGGCCCTCAACTGTCCCAGATCTCGCCCTCCGCCCTTGCACCCCACCACATCGTGGCAAGACTTCGAAATGTCGTCGACTTAAACCCCTTGGCATCATAAACCCCACAAGAGACACCGGCGCGGCTCTGACGCCGGTCACATTGTGCAAGCAAGGCTGGAGGTAGCCTCAGCGTCAACAGTCTCGCCCTGCCAACTTCCCGTCCGCCGTCCTGAAACCCACCCGAGTTACGAGCGAACCCAGCACACAGACACTCTCCGTAGATATGTATAAGCGTACGTATATATATATATATATTCTCATAGTACCGTCATAGTGCCAGCAATGACCCCGTCTACGCCATGCCGTGCCATGCTCGCGCTGGCTCAAAGAAATGTGCAAATGAAGCTAAACATGCCGTACGTCGTTGCCAAAACCACCGTGTGTCAAACCCCTCTTTTTCATCCGTCCACGTCCATCTTGTCCTGGTCCTGATCTTCGTCCTGATTTTGCCCTGGCCCCTGCTCCTTTTCCTGCACTCCAGCAGCCTCGTCAGATCCCTGCTCCTCTTTCTTCTCTGGGGCCGCCGTGACATCTTCGGACTTTGCTCGCGGCGGGGCCTCGGGCGCCTGTACCTCGGCCTTTTCCACCGCCTCGATCCTTGCGCTGTCATCTTGGCCATGAGGCTGCTCCACTTCCAGCGCGGTCGCTGCTGCGGCGGGCGGTGGAGCCGACGCATCTGACGCCTCGCGCTCCTTTTCGTCTTCCTGGGTCGTCTTAGTGGGCTCCTCTGCCGCCGCCGCCGCCGTACCCATTGCAGCAGCAGCAGCCGCCGTACCCACTACAGCAGCAGCAGCCGCCGCCGCCGTGGCAGCCTGCGCCATGGTGACGGGCGAAGTGCTGCTCTCGAGCGTCCCTTCCCGCTCGTCCTCCTCCCGCTCATCTCCCCTCTCCTGATGCTGCTGCTGCTGCTGCTGCTGCTGCAGTTGCTGCGTCTGCGCCCGCGGCGACGGCGTCGCCTGCTCCGGCTCCGGCGGCGGCATGTGCAGATGCATCTCCGACGACGTCTCCGACATGAACGTCAGGTGCGCGAGCTCCTTGTCCCCGCTGCTGCCGGCCTGGTGCACGAGCCGGTAGCTGCCGTCGCCGTTGTCCTCGATGATGTCCTCCTCGAGCGCCCACTCCGCCAGCAGCGGGTCCATCGCCAGCGGCTGCACCTCCCCATTCTCCATGTGCCGCCCCACGTGCTCCGTCCACTCCTCCCACGAGCCCGCGCCCTCGAACGCGCTCTGGCAGCCCGGCCGCGGGCACGCCGACCGCGGCGGCGGCTGCCGCCGCGTCACGAGGCACGTCTCCTGCATGCGCTTGACGTAGATCTCCCAGTCCGTCTGCAGCTTGCTGTCGCCCTTGGCGATCGACTTCTTGATGGCGAACGGCGCGTGCATCCGCCGCAGGTGCTGCGTGAACAGGTCCTTGCGGTTGAACTCGTTGCCCTTGCCCTCGACCGCCGACTTGGGGCACTCCGAGCACCGGTAGAACTGCAGGCAGAGGTGCTGCGAGGCGATGTGCCTCTTCCACTCGTTCTTGGAGCCAAACGTGCTAGTGCAGCCGGCGAAGGAGAAGGCACAGGGGAAGGGCCGGGTGTGAGCTGCTGCCACGTGTTTCCTCAGAGAGGAATAGTCCTTGAAGGGCGCATGACTGCACATAAGACACCTCGTCTCCTTGTTCGGTGTCGACTTCTGGAGCGACTTTCTGGGCCTGGGCTTGAGCGTCACCGTAGGGAAGTCAGGCGGATAGTGACCACCGCTGTTGATTGAAGTATTGGGATCCTGTGGCGACCCCATCAGCTCCTGCCTCGCCTCCGGGGTCTGGTTTGCGAGATGAGCCGCCACGTGATTCCCACTTGCCGCCTCGCTGTTAAGAGTTCGGATATGGCTCAGCGCCTTGAGCTGCTCGGCGGCCTCCTTCATCTCTGCAGAGTCCTCCCCATCGTCCTTTGATGCCATCGGTGGTGGTACCTTGCCAGGGTGAGGCAGGCCAACAGGTGCTGAAGCCCTGACACGTGCGTCCGGTCGAGCGGCGAGGTCGGCCCTCGTAGGAGTCGCAGGGTAGTGCTGCGCGGACGCCATTTCGTACCGGTGCGCATTGGCCTTGTTGATAGCGGCCGCCTCCCGGGCCTCGAGTAAGATCCGGCCGTCTGCCACATCCTTGGCCGTCGCCGCGGTGGGCGCCGATCCCAGTAATCTGTGGTATAGGTGGGTCATGTTGTGGGAGCTGATGTAGCCCAGGAAGCAGCAGACCTTATCATGCTGCACGACATTCCATACCGAGTGTGGCATCGATATCAGCAGCATAGTAGGTGGGCCAAGAAACATGCCCTCTACCGTGATCTTGGATGCCATCGAGGGCATGTTGCTGACCCATTGATTGAAAAAGGCCATGTCGGGGCTTGCCTCTCCCACAAAGGTGGTACATACGAGGACCCGAGCTTCGTCAAAGGTGAGATCGACAACGGTGCTAGGATTGATGAGATGGTCCTCACGGCTCAGCTTCGAACCGTCTCCATCAGCTTCTCCTGTGACAGAGCCCGAGGGGGGCGCGGTTCCAGGAGGGAGCGGTGCCAGACTGAGGTTTTGCTCTTTTCCAGGAGTCAGCATGAACTGGACTGGTATGCGTTCCTGACCTGCGGGTGATCTGCTGGCTCCATTCGTCATGGGCACCTGCGTTGCTGAATGCCTGCGGTGTAGAAGGATCTCCTCGTAAAGTCGGTGTACACTAAACGGTCGTCCTGTACTAAGCTTGTGGAGCGATTCAACCAAGTATGAGGTGAATGAGCGGCTACCAGCTTCTCTGGAACTCTGATCAGGGCTATAAGCTGCGATGGCCTGCTTCTTGCCATGGCTGCCAGCCTTGGGCGCATCCCAGACAGCGCAGCTGTCCAGGAGCAGGAGGATGTCTGATTGTGCATCCTCAAACAGGCATCGCACACCGTCCCACTTGAGTTTGGCCGCATCCTCTCGAGCATTGCTGCGATTCTCGTGTTAGATCACCGGGTTTGACCGCCAAGTCGCTTGTACCCGACTTACCAAGCCCAGTAGAGCTGGCTATCCGCTCCCACAAAACCGTACCCAGCATAGTAGATAATCAGGAGGTGGTCCGGCCGAGCGTTCTCGAGAAAAGATGCCATTTGCACGCCCAGTTTGATGCTGGGGTTCGGTACCGTAGGGATCTGCCATTTGTCGGTGTGGTAGTGATACCTCTCCCTCAACACGGTCTCTAGGCTCATGAGGTCGGCGTCGACTGCTGTATCTTCCTCCCACCGCAAGAGCAGCACTGAAACATTTGTATAGGGCGACTTCTGAGTCTGGCGGTATATAAGCATCGCAGCATCCTGGAGATGCCGGGCAAAGGCCTCGAAATCATGTCGTTCCGGAGCTTCAGGGGGAGGATATTGTGGTGCAGATTGGGCCTAATCATTCCGTTAGCATGACCTCGAGCCCAATCAAATCGTCTCGAAGCTACCTGTTCTGGAGAGAAGGCTGGCGGGTGCGCAGGCGGATCGGACACCTTGGGAGCCAGCCTTCGGCGCTTGCTGGGGGGATCCATAGTGGACTTGGGATTATATGCTATTCACAACGACGCTTGTGGATCCTCGATATCCGGATAGAAGACATCTGAAGGTCTTCGGCAGAGGCGTAAATACGGAAATTGGAGAGACCCGGACGGAAAGAGAGGAGGGAGGGAGAGGAGGGGTGTGGGCGTCTTGGGGACGCACAATGGGACAAGGTAAGGCTGTGTTGAAGATGGGCGGAGCCAGAGACACTCGGCTACGAGTTAGCCTTGTGCGTGTTACTGGACAGAACGCTGGCCACAGCACACGGAGTGCCAGCAGGTTCGCCGTGGCGTGGTCCGAGCTCTTGCGTCAGGTTTCGTGCTATTTGGGGGTGGTTTGGGCCTTGGCTGGGCTCACTCAGGCCCACGGTGGCCGCCCCAAACCCGCTGCAATTGGCTGGCCTGGGCCGGTCCTCTGCCTGGCCGGTGCGCTAGTCCTGCAACCTCAGCAGCACAACCCGGGTGGGTGTAGGGGTTGTGATAGGGCGGACACGGCTGGATTGCCCACTGAAAAGGCCGCCAGAGGGTGGGGGATGGGCTGTCTCGGGCTGTCCTGTGTGCGCTCCCCTCCACCAGAAACGATCACGTGCGCTGCTGGACACGCCGGCCAGCAAAACATGCAGCCGGGCCTAGGACAAAGCAGCAGAGCAGAGCCAATCGGTGCGCCGTGGCTGCCAAAGGGTTCTTGACGAGGTCAACTTATTGGCTGGGCGAATAGGGCAGACACTAGATGCAAAAAGTGCGTTTTAGGGGAGCACTGGAGAGACGGGCTGGGGGGCCACCATCAACACATCCATCGTCGCAGTCTCGAGGGGCGCAGCGCTCTCTCACTGGCGACGGGCATCGGGAAGCGAAGAGGTGGGCTGGATTAGGCTGCGCACCAGCAAGCCCTGGCAGGTCTGATTGGAACAAACCGGCTGCTAAAGATGCAAGTTATGCCAATGCCACGTTGGCTGGCGTGTCCACAAGCTTCTTCAAGACTCCTGCAGGTGAAGCCTCACTGATGGCCATCGGCTCGGAGTGACTGTACCTAATGTAGGACTGCAAACTGTAGTTCACGCTCCTCAAACAGGAAAGGTCTGGGGCGGAAAGGATGCCCGACCGAGTTACATTCAGAGTCTCGGCTTAGTCCATCCCAATTCCACCCCAACTCGTCCCAACATCGTCGCTGACTGCAATGGCATGCCATTAATCATGGACTGAAGCTGCGCCAGGCTTTTGCTTGCATAGTTGACGATGACTGATGATGGAGCTCGCTGAACAAGCAAAGGTTTTATATTTAGGTTAGATTATTGAGCTCAAAACCAAGCCCACAGCAACGACAGATAACCACCACCCGCTCTGACGGCCATGTCTCCCTGCTGCACTCCTTCCAGACCCTGTCGAGGCCACAGTCGACTGTGATGTGCTGGGTGCCTGGGCGCTGGTGACGCTCGCGCCAGTGTTTGCCTGAGTAGATCCCGTCGATGGCGCATCGCGCACGCTGTCGCTGCTCGATGCCGGGGTTGACGGCCTGGTTGCTTTCGCAGGGACAGACATGACGACCGGCGTAGGCGGGCACCTGGCCGAGGACAGGAGAGCCGCGAGCGCAGAGTTGATGACCTCGGGCCTGTTGGTGTTGAACAGCTCCATGCTGCCCAGCTTCTCCTCGCCGGCCGTGTTGACCGCGACGACGGACCGCGCCAGCACCTCGCACGAGTCGAGCGTCGTCGTCGCCGTCGTCCCGCCGTGCGTGTACGCGCAGGCCGCCGACACGTCGATGGCGTCCCGGCAGCCAGCGCAGCCGCCCAGCTCGCAGCGCCACCGCGTGCCGGTGACGGACCCGCCAAAGATGGAGCCGCGGGTGTGGGTGAGCTCGGCCGGGTAGATGCTGGCCGCGCGGCAGGCGTCGTTGCCCGGGTTCTGGTCGCGGGCGCAGTCGAGGCGCCATGTGGCGACGGGGATCGTCTCGGCGCCCGAGCGCACCCACTCGCTGGCGGCGACGACGGAGGCCTCCAGGCTGGCCGGGTGCGCGCCGGCGAAGTTGAACATGGCGGTGACCATGGGGTCGGCGCGCGTGGCCGGTTGTGCTTCCATGGCGCGGGACAGGCAGGCAGGCAGGCAGGCAGGCAGGCTGCAGCGAGGGCGGTGCGAAGTGGTGATGACTTCCTCGTACCGTTGCAGGTGCAATTGGTGGCTCGAGGGCGGGTTGGTGATCTTACCATAAAGCGCAATCCAAAGTCCCTCGCTGCTTATTTCAACCCTTGTTATCAAGGCAGCAGAGAGGCCAATAGGTCCTGCGCCGCAGCGCAACTTCTTTCTTGCCAGGGGCCATCACAGAAGAGCTCTCATATGCTGAGAGCTGCAGGGTTGAAGGCTTGGCAGAGTCGTAGTGCTGATTACGGACTTCGTCCGTGGGAGGTTTCAACACCGTACAAATTGTAGTAGGTACTTACCTACATGTATGCAGACGGCAGACCCCTTTTGCAGAGGGACACCTCGCCCTCAATGGATGACTGTGCAAGGGACTGCAAAATTGATATGAACAGACACATTCAAGCGCGCGATGAAGTCGTGTGGTAGCAAACGACGAGCCATGGTAGAGCGCAAAGAAAGGAATGCAACCGAACATTTGGATCTTCGTCTCTGCGTTCATCTGGAACATACTGTAAAGCAGAGGCAGCGCGATCTGGTCTAATCGCTTGTGAGCCTATCCGTCATGAATCTCGCGACTGAATCGTCTTTTCCCAAGCTTGCAAGCTTCGTTTGCTTGTCCGTTTGGTGGTGTGGGTGGTGTGGAGGACGGCCGACGCAGTGCATGACGTCGGCGCAACCGATGGATGTGGAGTGAGCAGACAGACCCTCTTGGAGCTCTGCGGACTGTCTTGGCTGCTGTTCTTTTGGGCTGCAGTGCCAATATATGGATGGGACTGACTTTACACCTGTTGATAGCTCCAACGGGCCAGCTGACTGAGCTCAGTTGTCTTCCATGTCTCGGCGCAAACGAGCAGTTGAATAGACCCACTGGAAAAGCAAGATTACGCTGTTCCAGTGGCTTCTTCGGCTCAGGTTCCAGCCAGCTCCAGCTGGACAGGTGGTGACAGTGCAAGCGGCAGTGGGTCCTCCGGGCCACTCTCAGTGAGTTGGGAATCCCCGGCTAAGCCCAAGTGGTCGCTAGCCTCGACCTTCTTTGCTGCTTGGCCTGAGAAACCCCGGCAACTGGTCTCTTTTTGAGTTGCTGGGTGTCGTCATTCAAGGCCCACTCCATGTGAAAAGGGAAGAAAGACAGCACTGAGATGCAGTATTACCCGCGCCCCGGCTCTTGCGTGTGTGTTGGGTTTGTTGCTCTCTGCCGGGATGCCCACACTCACTCCACCACCAATGTTCGCATGACATCGTCATTGGTATTTCTTCTGCCTGCGTCCCTACACCCAAAAACCCTTCTCTCTCTCCTCCCCTACCTTACCTGCTCGTCCTAGTTCCTGGTACGGCACGATTGGCATCCTGTGTGTTGCATCCATCTTAATGTATAATATCCCTCCCTGCGCATAACAAACACAGCTCCTCTCCCCTCGACATCCGGTCTATCCCGGTCGAATCAGTCCATCGTCGATTCGTTTCGTTTCGTTTCGTTTCGAGAAGAAACAACAGCTACCCCGCGCCCTCAGAATTGGGCTTCAACCCATTTCGACACCTTCCTGCCTGTCACACGACGGGGCTTGACTGGTATGTAGATTGCCGCTACCCATGACAATTCCATCCGGCTTCTAGCTCGTCTGTACGCCGTCACTACGCCTGGCTGGCCGCATTCCCGTCATGCAAGATCTCTAACCTTTTTCTGTCCACAGGTCTTTGTCGGAGACAGTGTTTCGAGCTCGGATTGAAACTTGCCCGGTTACCGCAGCTTTTGAATTCGCCTTGCGATCACTGAGCAGACCTCAACTGTCACCATGGCTGCCGGAAGTAAGTCTCGTCGCTCGCATTTCTTGCTGCGCCTGGCCGACACTATACTGACTCGCTCTCCTCAGATGCGCCCCTGGGGCTTGCGTCCCTCGTCCTCCTCGCCGGGTCGATTGTCATGATCTTCTTCGTCATCCTGGCCGGTGTCAAGGATACCGCGCCCTTGAACAAGACCTACTTCCTCCAGGCCGACACCTCGGGCATCAGCGGCGCCCGCGCCGTGTCCCAATGGACCTATTTCTACGTATGCGGCCCTGACAACACCGACTGCAGCAAGGCCTACGCTGCGATGCCCTTCCGCACCCCCTGGGCCGACGATGCTTCGGGTGTGCCTGACGGGCTGAACTCGAACTACTACTACCTCATGTGGAGGTTCGGCTGGGTCTTCTACCTCATCGCCCTGTTCTTCGACGTCTGCGCCTTCTTCGCCGGCTTCCTGGCCTGCTGTGGCCGCCTCGGCGCTGCTCTGTCTGGACTTATTGCCCTCACTGCGCTGGTCTTCTATTCCGTCGCTGTCTCTCTCATGACGTAAGTGCTTCAATCCTGGTTGGGCATTTGAATCGATCTGCTAAACTGACTTGAATTCGCAGCGCGACCTTTGTCAAGGCCCGAAACGCGTTCAAAGACAACGGCCACGACGCCAAGATTGGTACCTATGCCTTCGGCTTCAGCTGGGGTGCTTGGGGTTGCATCTTCATCGCTGTCATCCTCTTCTTCATCGGTGTCCGCGGAAACCACGACGGTGGCCGACGCGGCTGGAGGAGACGCCGTAGTGTGCGCAGCCACGCCTCGTACGATGTCGGTGGCCGCCGTGTCAAGGACGACTACTCTTAGTGGAGCAGTCGCTTCCGGGGTCTCTGGCCCCGCAAGGGATAGATAGGGAAGGCAGAGTTTCTCGTACATGCTTATTATTTCAGCTATGCTGAGAAGGGGGTCGTTTGCCGTTACGGAGACTGTGCGATATGAAGGGTGAAGGAAGTGGTGGCGGCGGTGGTTCTGTTGTCAGTGGATGGTGCCGTCTGCATTTAATCTCTTCAAGTTTCTCTGCAGATAACTTTGCCAAACGAGACCGAAATTGAATGGAATTGAACTGAAAGATTTATGCCTGCCTTTCTTGATGATATCCGAATGGGGCATTTTTACTCTTTGATTGAGATACAGCGACAAGGCTGCTCTGCTATCTGAATGAGTGTTGAACCCTTTTATTCTCTCTTCCTCTTCTCATCTTCTTTCCCTCTCATAACCTGTTTCTCTTTTCCTTCCCACCTAAGTACCTTTCTGCATAGCATCGGGGCAGGCCCTCGATTGGGTCTCCTCTTTTCTTCAGGGCGAACCTTACAATCGACAGGACTCATCACTTTGTTAGCGACCACGTCACGCAGAAATCTCCCCCATCCACTTCCAATGAAATGATCGCTACAACTTCTAGATCTTTTCTGCTGATAACTACATTACTTAAGTAAGAGGAGTTGTCTCTATCGACTCTATAATATGATAACAAATCGTCCCATTCCCATGCATTCTTTTTGCATGCTGTCTCATGTTCAAGGCCCTAGGTTCACACAGACTCCTTGCTCTTCTCCTCTTGGTGGGGATGATGGCCATCCACAGTGGACTGCTTCTCCCCAATACTGCTATCACGAGTGTCGCTCACGCGGGCCTCCTCCGTGCTCGCAGTAGCAGGAGCCACAACTGCCTCCTCCTCCCTCGGCGCCTGCTTCTTCTCCACCTCCTGCCTCGTCGACCGCCACTCCATGGCCAGGGCACCAAGGATGGTGAGGCACGTCAGCACGAGGGCCATGCGGAAGACCTGCCGCAGCGCCTCGTTGTACGCGCGCAGCACGGCGGGCCGCACGGCGTCGGGCAGGTCCGTCAGCGACGTGGCGCCGCTGTCGGCGATGGTCTTGGGGTCGAAGGACCCGCCGCCGCCGCCCAGGGCCGCCGGCAGCCGGCGCAGCAGCTCGCCCTGCAGGACGTTCTGCCCGACGGAGAGGAAGACGGCGCCCGCGAGCGTCTGCGTGAAGAAGACGAGCGTCGTGCCGATGGGCACGTCGGGCCGCGGCAGCACCGTCTGCGCCGCGACGTTGGGCGCCTGCGTCATGAGGCCCAGGCCGAGGCCGTAGAGGACCTGGTAGCCGGCCAGCCGCGCGAGCGGGGTCGTCACGGAGAGGGTGTTGAGGAGGCCCGCGCCGACGCTCGCGAGGCACGTCCCCGCGATGAGGAAGGGCGTGTAGTAGCCTATCCGGCGGACGGCGGCGCCCGAGGCGATGTTGGCCGCGACCATGGAGAGGACCAGGGGGAGGAGGTGGATGCCCGAGTCCACGGCCGAGAGGCCCTGGATGGCTTGGAACCAGACTGGGAGGTAGTAGACTACACAAATGGAGGCGTTAGCAGGTTAAGATCCTGGGTATCGCCCAGGGAGCTGAGAGAGATGCCTACCGAAGAGCATCATATGCGGGCCGAGGCAGAGGGTGCAGAAGAAGCCTGCCAGGATGCTGCGCTGCTTGAAGATCCTGGGGGCGATCGTGGCGGTCTTTGGGAGAAGGATCTGCACCATGATGAAGCCGATGATGAGGACGCCTGCGAGTACGAGGAGGGCGATGATGCGGCCGTCGCTCCACTGTGCGAGAATGAGTATTCATATGCGATGTGCCGCCATGATCAGAACATACCGCATAAGTCAGGCCACCCCATTGTAGCGCCAGAAGAAGGCAGATGGTGCCCGGAACAATGAGTCCCGTGCCATAAACGTCGAGCTGGGCAAGCTTGGCCTTGAGCGGGATCTGGGTCTCCTTGCGCTCTGGGATCTTGAGCAGGAAGAAGATGACGACCATGGCCACGCCGCCGAGCGGGAGGTTGATGTAGAAACACCACCGCCAGGTGACCTTGGATGTAAAGACGCCACCGAGTAGCGGCCCTACCACGGACGCAATCCCAAACACGCCCCCCATCATTCCTTGATACAGCGGCCGCTTGTGCAGCGGGACCGAGTAGACGATGGTCATCATCTGCGGGATGAAGTTTTCTGGTTAGCACAAAGAGGTTTGTAGATATCAGAACCCAAAGGACTCACCAATCCGGACAGGATCCCGGCCGCGCCGAGGCCTGAAATAGCACGGCCAATAATGAACGCTATAGAGTTGGGCGCGGCGCCGGATATAGCCGAACCGATCTCAAAGAGGACAATGGTGGCGAGTAGAGTCACCTTGACGCTGAAGAATTTGTACACCTTGCCGAACAGAAGTTGGAACGAAGAGCTGGTAAGTAAGAACGCGGAGCCGTACCAGCCTATGTCAGTGACGGAGTGAAAGTCGTCGGTGATCCGCGGGATAGCTGTCGTTATGATGAGACGGTCCTGTGTTTTCCCGGTCGATTAGTGTGTGCTATGAGGTGAGGGCTCCTGTACTCTGGGAGATACTGACCAGAGCGACCAAGAACATGCTGACATAGACCGAGGTGAGTAGAACAAAGAGCTTCACTCCAGAGGGGTAGACATCGCCGCTTGATTCCTTTCTTGCGAGCGGAGCGGTTTGTGTATCCTCTTTGCCTGGGGCGCCATTGGCAGTCTGTGGGTCCGTCTCCGTCGTTGCTTTACTCTCTGTTATAGAACCAGGAGTTCTCGCAATGGCCTTGCTCTTCTTGAATAACATATCTGCTGGGCAGTTGGCCTCGGAGGTACTGAATCAAGGTGGGAGAGAATGTCGTGTTCAAAATTGGGCTGCTTATCGGAGTGGATTGAAAGAAAAGGAAAGGAGAAGACTATACAGATTAAATAATGAATGAATCAACCGACACCAAGACTCTTATACCAGAAAGATATATGTAATATTTATTTTGTTGAGATGGATAGATCTCATCTCTCGGATACCTGAGTCTCGGGACCCGAGCCCGAACATGTTCGGGAGGAGCCACCACAACACCACAACACCACGGATCCACGCCCACCCCTAGATTGCGCCTTGTAACGATAACAGATCAATATTTCGTTTGCTTCATAGGAGGATTTTCAGTTTCGTCTCTGTTTTCTGAAATGGACGAAGAAAAGGAAGGATAGGGGATAAGAGAGTAAGAAAAGAGAAAACGGTAGAGTGGGTTCTGGTACAGAGCATATCGACATCGTACGGACTGGACAACATCAGCTGTTGAAGACCAAAGGGAATAATTCTTTTGGTTCCGCAGCCCGCTGGTATTGACTTCAAGTTGATGACATCGACACGACTTTCCTACTATTCCCGGTGGCACAAATCAATTGACATGGACGCCGCCAACGTCAGTCACGGCCAGCTTATTTTCCGAGACGAATCGCGCTATTCCCCTTATGGATCCGAAGCGGCCGAGACTACCCTTTCCCTCTTCTTTCTCTTTTCATCGCCTGTCATCAATGGGACGGTCCCCTTCTTGTTGCATCACCCCGGCGGGAGGAGATTTAACCCCTCGGAAGACAATCTGTAGATGGTCAAGAGAGCCAAAGTCAGCAGATTGGATATTTCCTTTGGCCAAGGTAGAAGGCTGACCACCGTATCAGCACAGCTAAAGGCCACAATACTCATCCCGAACTCTCACTCTATTATCTCACTCTGTTATACACATCTTCCAGATGCCACAATCTGATCCTCCGACAATGTGTCCACGACATACATGATGACGTCACTTTCAACGAGTTCTGGTGGCGAGCCAAAGAGGCACGCCTGTACGGTATGTGCGCGGCGCAAGGTCAAGTGCGACAAGACAGAACCGTGCTCGAATTGTCTCAAGGCTGGGGCGCGGTGCGTGTATGAGCCTTGCGCTCCGCCGAAGCCTCGAAAGAGGGCCGCTGACGAGGAGCTGCTGGCTCGGATATCTCGTTATGAAGCCCTGATGCGCAGGCACAACATTGACTACTCAGAAGCGGCCCACACCTGGATTGCATCCGGCCCGCAGGGAAGAGTCAAAGAGATGAGCTCAGAGGCTGCGATATCGCCTGCCGTTAGCTTCAGTCCAAGCCAGCCGACCCTGTATTCACAGACGACTACTCCGGCGAAATCAGATTTGTGCGTTGGCAATCCTGTGGACAGCATCGATAATCAACTAACACGAATGTGTAGAAATTTGTGGGATGATCTTCCCTCTGAGGCAAGCGAATCATCCCTCATATTCTCTGCCTACTGGTGCTGACAATGCCCGTAGCTCAAAAACCCACCGGAGAAAGCTCTGAGGGTCAAGCCTGATCCCCTAGTATATCCTTCACCACCACTCCAGCTATTCTACACCGCGCCTCAAGGCCCACTTCACGAGCTACACCCAGAGCCGAGACACATTTACCGCTACTGGCAGATCTTTGTTGACTCGATCAACCCGCTAATTAAGATCGTCCATGTGCCAACCCTACAGCAGCGTATCATGGATGCCAGCTGGGACCTTGTCAACATTCCTCGGCCGCTCAAGGCTACCATGTTTGCGATCTATACACTCGCAGTCACATCTCTCACTGCAGATGCCTGCCTCACCTCTTTTGGAGAGGAGAAAGACCAGCTTCTGCACAGATACAGAACCGCAACAGTGCACGCTCTGATTGAAGCCGACTTCCTCACCTCGCGTGACCTTGAGGTCTTGCAAGCATTCATGCTGTTTCTTTATGCAGATCCCGAGTCGGAGATCACTTCTACGCTCACTGCTGCCGCAGTCAGGGTGGGCAAAAAGATGGGCCTACATCGCGAGAAGGTCGATCCCAAGATCACCGTTTTCGAGCAAGAGATGAGGATACGTGTCTGGTGGCAGTTGAACGGTCTCAATAGCCGGAGCATTGCTGTCTATGTTCCCGAGTCCCAGCCGCCGCCTCCATCAGAGTTTGGCAACATTCGTCTACCTCTGAATGTCAACGATGCAGACCTTCACCCAGACATGGCTGAATTCCCTCGCGAACATGATAGTCCAACCGAGATGATATTTGTCCTGGTCAAATTGCAAGTGTATCACTGGCTGCGGTCCTCGAAAACAGCCCCAAAAATGTTTGAGAGCATCATCTATGCCCCGGACCGAAAGAACATCACACCGAGGATGGAAAATGACGCCATCACTGAGCTAGAACACCAATACTACGGGAGGTTCTTGCGAAATTCGGACTCAAACATACCTCTTCACAAACTGGCCCAGGGTTTGGCTGGCCTTGCTCTGGCGCGCTTGAGATTCAAAATCTACGGCCCACGATTACGGACAACGTCCATCGAAAAGGAAGTGCCTATAACACCGGAGGAAGGCGAGATGCTATTCGATGCGGCAGTGCGTATGCTGGACCTCATCGAAATCGGAACTCGGAGTAAATTCTCTGCGCACCTATTCACTCACCTAATCTCCAAATCCCACGTCGCCAAGTCACAGATGAATGCATATATCTATGTTCTCAGTGACTTGCGTAGGCGAGCCTGGGGAGAAAAGGTGGCGTCTGCCTGGAACTTGATCGGGGACCTATACCACAATCATCCCGAGCTGCTTACTGAGGTCGATAATACGTTCGTCCACGCTCTTGGCGATTTGACACTGGAAGCGTGGAGCACGCGGATCGCGGAGCTGCTCAAGGATCCTAACGTCCATGAAGCCGACGTCACGCCGTCATTCATCGATGCTCTTCGGGAGCAGAGGCAAGGGCCCCACGAATACGCAGAAGCCGGCGACATTCCGTCGTTCCCGGACGGTTCCCAGCTGCTTGACAATTTCGACTTGACTGATATCAACGACCTCAACTGGACGACTTGGAACGACTTTATGCGCTTGTAGGCCGGGCTGGCAGAATCAACACATTCATTCGATACCAATTTTGTACAAACTATTTGGGGCTATGCGGATACCGGCTTTACAGGATAGATGACCTCGAACCTCTCGCACATCACCATGCTGTCGTCGCCAAACTCGTGCCCGTTCTCCTGCCGCCCGTAGAACTCGACGTGGCCCCGCCGGTACGCCTCGTAGTCGCCCTCGGCCTCCGCCAGGGCAAAGTCCTCGGCCACGTCGCGGAACCTGCATCGCACAAGGGACAGCGTGCGCATGACGGCCAGCGGCCGGCCGCGGCCGTCGAGGATGACGGACAGGTCGCCGACGCCCCAGTGCAGGGGTTCCGGGACGGGCCACGACGTCGTGGCCGTCTTTTCCCCGGCGATGGCGAGCCGCCCGAGCTTGTCGGTCGCGGCGGGGTCGTCGCCGCCGAAGCGGAAGACGTCCTTGGGGGGCGGGAGGTCGGTGCCCAGGGCCGCGGAGGCCTGCTGCATGAAGGCGACGATGTCGGGCCGCGCGGGGTCGACGGCGGACATTGTGTGCACGAAGGGAGGGTGGGGATACTGGTGGCTTGTTACTGCTCGGACTTTTTGAGGTGGTGATGCCCTGTCTGGCGGAGTTCTCCCGAGGGGGTTTCAATGTTCGCTATATATGTGGGTGTAATTGATCCCGCGATGTTCACGGAAGTGCACACTGTCTTGGCGCAGCGGGTTGTGTTGCCGGCTGAGTCACCCGGCGATTGTGACTTACACCGCCGCCGCTTGAGATAATAGAGCACATTCCGCAGGAACACCATAATGAATGCGGAAGGTCTTATATGTATGTACAACTCTCTGGTCCTGAAAAGAACTCTGCACTAATGCAAAGTTTATATAACCCATTTTTCATAATCCGCAAAGTACTTGTCCTGTATTCTGCCAGCGTAGTCAAGAATGATCGGGAACCTCTGGATAGTTTCTTGCGAGGCGGGCCTTGACCACATATCGATCCTCGAAATTAGCAGCGACCCAAGGTTCAAAAGGCAGTGGCGGCAAGACTTACATGGCACACATGGTAACAGCGACGATGAAGCCGAACAGTGTCGTGTCGGCCTCTGTTGGGGCATCGCCGCCGAACACCCAGAAGCATTCGTTGCCAGAAACAGGGCTCTCGGCTTTGGCCTCGATCAACGTGTCGGCGACTCCCTGCCAGATCTCGTCGCGGAATAGCGAAATCTCCTCTGCCGAGTGGCGCCCGACGCCCTGGCCGCGAAGGCGGGCCATCGTGTCTCGGTAGATCATGATGCCTACGCCCACCCGCATGGGCCAAGGCAGAGACGCGAGGATGTGGTCTCGCATTACGTAGTAGTTCTGCTCCCATAGTTCGTAGTTCTGTTCCCCAGAGCCCAGAGTTCCGGGTTAACATACACGAAGCACAGTAAATCATGAAGCGCATGTTCTGGGCGACTCACGTGGATGAAGTAGAGTTTGTCCTCGAGAAGTGTGCGCAGGGCTAGGTCCTGGGCCCTTTCCGCACCCGAGAGGCGAGCGTTGAGATCCGGTATGACGCCCTCCTCCGTCAGGCGACGGGAGATGAGCGCCGAGTCGCCCATCTTGAAGGAAGTCTCGCCGGCCTTGTACGACATATACGGGAGCTTTCCCTTCGGCGCATCGCTGAGGCTGCCGGCTTCGGCAGCGTAGGGCACACCGGCCAAACGCAGGCGTAGCTCCAGCTTGGTGACGAAAGGGGACCAGACGTGCTTCCCGCGGTCAAGCCAGCCTCTAAAGACTATAATCTCGGGGTCGGAAGGTACTCTTGCCATCGCGCTTCTTCGAACTAGGGCCACAACGGCTTTTGGAGTTTGTTTGGTTGGTTTGATCAACTTTTATCAACCCAAGGACTTCGATGGCGTGGTGTACTACATACTTTCCAAGTTCTACATACACAACGGCATTCACGGTTATATCCTCAACCGGGTTGGATTCCTTCAATCCAGCGCAGTTCACTCATTTCTAAGCAACCACGAAAAGTGATGCTCGGTGTTTGACATCGTGAAAATGTCCGGATCCACTTGACTGGTCCGGTGGGAACGAAATGGGCCGGCTTAGAAATCAGCATTCATATCATAGAAACACATCCTGACCCTGATTTCAGAGGTCTATGAGCTTGCAACTGGGATAGTGATGAAATCGAGATTGACAAGATATTGCACCACCCGGGAAGCTCAAGCGATATGTCAACCAGCCACGTCCCAAGCCATGTGGCTGAAAGGAGACAAGCAAGAAGCTTGCAAGATGTTGTGGGCCTGGCCAGTTCCCGGCACCTAGGATCGCCCCGCTCCCCATCGCATCCGCCTCCGTGTGAGATGCCCGGTTCCCAAGCTAGAGAGAGCTTTGTTCGTACAGAATGGGAGGGAGCCCAACACCCAAGTGGCAAAAGGTTCAGTACAGAATGCTCAATTTTTACCGAAATTGTGGGATCTGAAAACACCAGCTGTAGGTAGCAACCCAGAGCAGAGGCAAAGCGTCGAGTCATGCCGTACATCGTCGCATGATTGGATAGACCGTATATTTGATGCACAGGAGCAATTCTCCACCAAAGCAATCACACTTCAATCGACAAAATGTGTAATTCTGCACTGCATTTCCAGCGCGGATGTGAGATTCGCAGAACCATTGCGTAGAAGTCATAGGGCGAAGCACATACATGTGACTCAGATGACGCATCGAACAGTCTGCATAAAATATTGAATGCTGAAAAGTAAGCTCGATCGAATTTTGACATATCAAGCATGGCCCGGAAATATTTCCCATCCTTTTGGTTTCAGTCCTTGAGCCTCTCTCCGTTTTAGTGAGTCAGGCCGGGCTATCCCTGCTGAAAGCGCGCCGTCATTGTACGCTGACCTGGCTCTGATTGGACGTTTTGGCATTCACCTCGATTCGCCCCAGCACTGCCCCCACGCATTCGCGCTGAGATCCATAAGTGTGCTTCCAGTTAGAAACCGTTAAAAAACCGACATCATATATCATGTCTCTTGAGAAGCTGCCGAATCTGCACAATGGACCTCACGATATCCTCATCATCTGTCCAATCTTGCTATTCTCAACCCAGACAGGGTTCGATTTTGGCTGACAACCTTCACAATGATTCACAACATACTATCCGACAGCACACTTAACTACACTACTTCCATAGCCTCCATCCTTTCCATCTCTTACGATATCGTAAGGGAACTCGAACGGAGCGGGAAGCCCGAGGAGAGGCGGCAATCTCACCGGAGGGCATGGATCGCGTTTCCGCTGCTCATATGCTCCTGTCTCGCTGAAGCATTGCTAATCGTTGCCCTGGATGGGAACCCCATAGCGAGACAATCATGGATCTTCCACCTGGTCTTGTCCGCATTTGCCTGGGGGGTTGTTTGGAGCTGGCAGCAGTCACATCAACTGGCCTCGAGAGCGATATTCGCAGCTTGCCTGACGGAAGTTCCCTTGTTCGCTCTGGCCCAGGCAAAGTCCCGCCGTTTGACGCCCACCCTGCAGCTTGCCTGCCAAGGAACCAGGGTTCTCCTTATTGCCGTTCTGCTTGCAGATGAACTTTTGGGCCTTTCAAGTGGCCAAGAGGACCAGGCAGGATCAGATAAAATCGCCGAGGCGGCGGATGAAAAGATGGAGGCGGAGGACACGGACTCTAGCTCCGGGGACGAGGACGAGGAGGAAGATGCCGAGATGGAGCGGCAGCGTGCGGAGCAACTTGCTGAAGCCGGAGGCTGGTGCGCATACCTCAAGCGGTTTTCGATATTCCTGCCGCTGATCCTGCCAAAGCACGATCGCAAGGTGCAGCTCTGCCTGGTCATGGCTTTCGCCTCGCTGGTCGCAAGCCGCGCGATCATCGTTCTTATTCCCACCCAGCTGGGCAGCATCACCGACCAGCTGCTCGCGGGCCAACTCCCCTACAGATCTCTGGGAATATGGCTGACGCTGAACCTGCTCAGCGACGAGCAGGGCCTGCTGTGCATCGTCAAAGAGCTCGTCAAGATCCCCATCAAGCAGTTCTCCTACCGCCAGGTGACCAACAAGGCCTTCAACCACGTCATGTCGCTCTCGATGGACTTCCACGCCGAGCGGGACTCGGCGGAGACGATGAAGGCGATAGAGCAGGGCGAGCCCATCACCGCCCTCCTCGAGTCTCTTGTGTACACCATTATCCCCGCCGTTCTCGATGTCACCATCGGACTGGGCGTTTTGGCGTCCAGGTTCAATCCGCTGATTGGCTTGGCAATGGGAATCGCCGCTGCTGGATTCGTCGCCATTGAGGCCGTCTCGTCGAGCTGGAACATCGATCCCCGTCGGCACTCGAACAAGGCGAAGCGCCACGAGACGCGGGCGATGCACCAGGCCATTCAGGGCTGGCAGACGGTCACCTATTTCAACATGTTCCATTTTGAGAGCAACCGCTTCAAGCAAGCTGTCGAAGAACAGCTCAGGGCGAGCCGAGACTGGCAGTGGCGAGACGCCGTCATCAAGACCTCGCTGGTTGCGCTCGTGCCCTTTACCTTTTCCATCATAGCCTCGCTTATCATTTACGAGATTTCTCAGGGCCGAGCGTCCCCCGGCGACTTCATCTTCTTTGTGGACTACTGGCAGTTCATCATCTGGCCCATCAAGTTCATCGCCGAGGACTACGGCGAGATGAAGTCCAAGCTTGTTGACGCCGAGCGACTGCTCAGTCTGTTGACGACGAAGTCTTCGATCACGGAGAAGGAGGGAGCCAAGGACCTCGGCAGTGTCAAAGGTCACATCTCCTTTGAGAAGGTGGGCTTTCACTATGACGACCGGAAGCAGACCCTTCGGGACATCTCGTTCTCGGTCAAGCCCGGGCAGACGGTAGCGCTGGTGGGCGAGACCGGAGCGGGCAAGTCCACCATCTCCAAGCTGCTGCTCCGATTCCACGACGTCACCGAGGGCCGGATCACGGTCGACGGCGAGGACATCCGGGACGTCACCCTGGACTCCCTGCGCGACGCCCTGGGCGTCGTGCCCCAGGACCCGCTGCTGTTCAACACGACGGTCATGGACAACGTCCGCTACGCGCGCCCGTCCGCCTCGGACGACGAGGTCCACGCCGCGTGCCGCGCCGCGGCCATACACGACCGGATCACGACCTTCCCCGACGGCTACCTGACGAAAGTGGGCGAGCAAGGGGTCAAGCTGTCCGGCGGCGAGGTCCAGCGGCTCGCCATCGCGCGCGCCTTCCTCAAGGACCCGACCATCCTGGTCCTCGACGAGGCCACGAGCGCCGTGGACACCAACACCGAGGCCGTCATCCAGAGGTCCGTGGGCCGGCTGCGGAAGGGCCGGTCGAGCATCGTCATCGCGCACCGCCTGTCGACGACGGCGTCGGCCGACCTGGTCCTCGTGATCCACGACGGGCGCATCGCCGAGCGGGGCACGCACGACGAGCTGCTGGCGCAGGGGGGCAGGTATGCGGCGCTCTGGCAGAAGCAGGTGCAGCGAGGCGGTGGAGGAGAAGACAAGGTAGCCGCCGGCGGAGAAGACGCAGACAGCGAGGCGGAGGAGTCATAGCGTGCCCGAGGGGTGTTGTCCAGTGGGTAGGATGTCCCGGGTAGATATACATATGCATGATGATGGTTGTATCAGTAAGGTAATTATGACTGACGGGGGGCGCTTTAAAGAGTTATGAGCAAAGCTGTTGCTATGTAAACAACCATGTTTTATTTCATATTAGAATCACGGCTAGAGCATTAGAGGATAGATTGCACTGATAGAGACAGTAGACCGCGAAGTTATAGAGCTTTAGGGATGGCTGTTGGTTGGCCAGCGGCTGCGTCCTAGCTGTCTATATATAGGAGGTGCTGAGATTAGTACATGTGGTGGTGTAGCGAGAGCTTCAAAAAGGAGAAATTACAGCCTTGGGAACTCGAGTCAGACGGCAAGGCCAGCACTGTGAAAGGTTCAAACGTCCTATGACGGCATGTACCACTCCCCCGTGACGTTGTCCAAGTGGTTCTCAGGAAAGCTGTCCAGCAGTGAAAAGGGATCGACGTCCATGCCGACGAATTGCGGATCGCCAGAGAAGTCGACTTGCATGTCACGGTATGGGAAGGCCGGCAGATAGTTCCTCCCCATCAGTATGTCCCCTGACGGCATCGCGGTCGTGTCCGCTCTGTTTTGCTTAACTGAGCTTGGGCTCGTGTAGGTGTCCTTGGAGTTGAGACTGCTGGTAATGATATCGAGGCTCCTGTCCACGAGTGGGCATGTCGTCTTGCCTTCCCTCAGGGCGCGCAGGTACGTCTGCAACCTCCCATCTGCGGCCAGGTCGCCTGCCTTGGCGTCGGGGACAATTACCGAGGCGCCGGTGTAGATGCAGTACACCATGAGGTAGGTCAGTCGGGTAAATCCAAAGGTCTTCTCCAGAAGCAGGAGGAGCTTCTCGATGTTGTCGGACGCCTGGCGGCAGGCTGTTCGGTGGATCGCTTCCGAATAGAATGGACGATGAAGCAGAATGATGGTGGTATAATATAGGAGACTATGGATACAGTTCAGGATAATTCAGGGACACCTCCGGAACGGATTGGGCAGTCTTACTTCTGTGTCAAGATGTGTGGTGGAGGGCAGACCTGTGGCAGATGATCGGGGTTGTACTTGAGATGAGCAGGCGATTTTCTCCTCCACTCATCGAGCTTGTCTCGGATGCTTCTAAGTGAGCCGTCAATGTCGGGGCTACCGCGCCTAGAATAGAGTTGGAGAATGATGTCGTTGAGGATAATGGCAAGTCTACAAGAGTTCTCGAAGCAGGAAATTGCGTGTGACTGCATGGGAGGATAGTCTCGTTCGCACACCCGACTAGGGTCTTCATCGCCTCCGAAATACGGCGACCATAGCTCGTGTTCCGCAAAGTCGTCCACTTCCCCGCACCGAGTTAGCATAGGAAACCACTCGTTGAGAGATAAATACTTACGAAGCTCCAATGCGGGATCATATGGAGGGTCTATGAGCGCAGGCAATCGGCCTAGATAAAGACTGATAGCTCTGAAACCGTGTGTTAGCCTGCTTGTTTCCTGTGTGAGAACATGTGAAAACCGGTGAGGTGTCGTACTTGTCCCAGAAATAGCAACTCCAGAAGAGCCGTCTCCGAATCTCCATGTCCTCTGCTGACAACTGACCCAGGCTTAAGAGCTTCCCATGGTTGTGGTGCAACCCTAGATCTGTGCTCATCCTGAATGCCATTCCGCTGTACAACCACGCTTGTGATATCGACCCGTACGCCATCTCTCTTGCGCTCAACTGTAAAAGAGCTTGTACTGTCGGTATTGAACTCGGCTTCTGAATCTCCTGTCCGAGAAGAAGCCTGGCCCTGCCAATCAAGGCCTCGCCGATCTTGGCATCATGAAAGCGAGAGGCGTGGGCACACAAAACAGTTAGAAGAAATGGAGAGTAGTATTTTCCGTTTTCCGCCATGTCACCTGGAGAAGAGTGTTAACATGTGGGACAAGGGAAAGAGAGCGGCTGGAAGCCTTACGCATGAACGCCGGTCTGTACACCCACATGAACATGGGCGCGACCCAGGTCCAGTGGACCCGAAGGGTCTTTGAGAGTACGGCTCGCGGTATGTCGTTGTCGATAGCTGCATTGCCTACAGCGAACTCTTCCCAAGCTCGGGACTCGATGGCTTTCGAGGTCAGCAGGGTTCGTACGTCCGACTTGGCCGGCTCCGCGCTGTATGGTTCTGGTCCAGAGAACTCAGACTCGAGCGTCGGAGCCACGTGCACCGCAGAGGTGACACCATAGTAACAGAGCTGATGACCTGTAAGCAAAGCTAGGCGCGAAGGACGCCCCATAACCTTCTTACCTTGCCGTTTTCATCGAGACTCAGCTCAGACAGCATCTCCTTGGGTGTCGGTTCCTTGGAAGGGCTCCTCACAGCCAGTGGCGGGCTGGGCCCGTTGTGAGATCTATCAACTATCGCATCATTAGCCCCTTCCTGGACGCCGAGGACAGTCTGGTCGTTGCTGAACGACGTCCGCGCGTCGTGCAGGCTTCGCTCATCCAGAGACCTGCGCAGCTCCTCGATGGTCTGCTCAGCGTCCTGGAGACGCTTGGCCATCGCCACAATCTGCGACATGGGTGGGGGCTTCTCATAACGGCATGCATCCTTATAGACCTCGCATGTCTTGCACTGGGGCTGTGCCCCGTCGCAGCGTGTCTGTGGGGATGGATGAAAGAGCCCAGGTCAGTGTACTGAACACGTTCATGCAGGGTCACCTCGAAAAGCATCAGGCCCAGATGGCTTGGGATTCGGTCATCTTACCTTTCGTGCGCGACAGTTGGCACATGTGAGACCCCGTTGAGCTCGGGGATTGCCCGCGCGGCTTTTCCCCGGGCCGGAAGAGGCGGAGCTCGTCTTCCGAGACCTGGCTGCCGGTGTACTCATGTTTCGGTCGGCGCTCCGCTGATAATTGTTCGTTATGTTGCCAGCGAATGGCCCTGCAGTGGCATGTATATGTCCAGATTGCTCACGTAATGTCAAAAACTTCTAGTCAACGATGTCGAGCGCGCGCCCCCGCCTGGGGCGGAGATCTACCTAGGTAGTTGGAGGTGTGGAACTGGGCCGGGGCAGCAATGATCGGGGACACATTAGCTTTGAAAGTGGCGACACTCAATCCTTGCTCCGACTTGAGTAAGTTGGCTGGGCTCGTTCCAAATTTGTAATCATTTGGTTATTGGAGGATCGAGGTACATGGCGAAAAAGAACCAATATTGGTTTTGTTCACGAGTAGGTGGTCAAGGAGGATTTTGATTAACGGCTTGACGAAGCAGAGGGTTACGTATACAGATTCCAGTTATCTTTGACCTTGATTTTGAGAAATTCAGTCCTAGTCATCGGCACCGTACTGCCACAGCTTCCTAGGGTTGTCCACCCAGATTTTCCTAACCAGGTCCTCTCCGTTTGTCGAAGCTTTCTGGCACCAAGCTTTGCACCTGGCAATCCAAGCTTGGTCGTCTATCTGTCTGTAGTCCTGCATTTTGTTTCTATCTCCTCCAGGGTTGGCAGATACGCCGCCACTGTGAGGCCAATCGCTTGCCCACACCACCCTGTCTGGAGCAGTCTGCAGTATGCTGATGACATACTCATCCAGGCCAGGCACGCCCTCGAATCTATAGGTTCCACTCAGTTTCGTCCACACTAGACCTGACCTGAGCAAGCCCATGAACTCTTCGTATCCCTCCTGCTTCTGCACGAGACCTTTGGAAGGATTCGGGTCTGCAATATGGTCGAGAATGACCGGCAAGCCTATCTTGGGCACGATATCCACCAGCTGCGGAACCTGATCGAGCGCCACAAACAACTGGATCGCCCAGTTGTACGGTCTGATACGGCGCGCATATTTCTGCAATAGCTCAGCGAGATCATTCGTATCAATTCTTGTACATGTTGTCTTTAGGTTGATTCGGACTCCACGAACTCCGGCCTCGTGTAGTTGACGGAGTTCTTCTTCTGTCACGGTCTCCGGATCGATGCAGGCCACCGCCCTGCCTCTGCCTCCCAAGCGTAGGAGTGCATCTAATATTGACGAGTTGTCGTTCTTGTAAACCGAAAAGGCAACGATACAGCTGTGGGCGACCCCTTGCGTAGACTGAAACCTTAGGAGGTCATTCAAATCTGCTTTCTTCGGTCGGTATGGGTGGGAAGGATGTAGAGGGAAGGTTTCCTAGGCAGTGTGTACCTATTGTTAGTGCCTGGAACTCTTGACAGAAAAGAGTGGTGGGGGCCCTACCTCGTCGACGACGTGGACGTGGCTGTCCCATGCTCCTGGCGGAAGCTCTGTATCAAGCTCTAGTGGTACAGATCCCATCTTCCAGTCAGGCAAAAGACACTTCAAAGAGGCCGGCAGTGATGAAATGAGTTGCCAAGGACGAGAATGCAGCCCCCAGGAAAAAGTTCATTAATGGCCCAGGCAGGAGCGGCTGAACTAGTCAGGAGTAGATATTCCCAATTTTGCGGGGTGATCGTACCAGGGTGCCAGAGCCAAAGTTACATGGCAAATATTCGTTGCAGGTTCTGATTTGTGGTTCGGCGAAATTCCTCTGAGCTGTGTCGCTTGGTTTCCGTGATGATGGGGTGGTTCAAAGTTCCCGGCGAATTTCCCGGAGTTTGGCCGCGGTGCTCTGCCGGGAGTAGCCCGGTTAGTTTGGGAGACCATGATGGCTCCATTTCCTAGTAACACTTCTCCATCTTCCCCACACACCAAATCCCCAGAAACTTGGGGGAGGTAATCTGTTTCCGGAAGTTGTCCTGGTAATCAATCATCAAATCATTACCTCTTGGCCTGCAAGCGTCGGCAGACACTTATTAACTCGGCCATGGACCCTTCAACCCGTTCCGTCTCCAGGTAATCTCACCTCGAACTCCTACTCAAACCATTGCAGTCCATTTCTCCCTGGTATCCAGCCTCTGTTCATAAAAGGTAGCCAGCATGGGAACAGACAACGATATCACTCATCTCGAAGATCCCTCTCCTCATGGGGATGGCAACTATGCCCCCGACGAGGTCCAGAAGGAGATCACACACCTCCAGGACCCCGAATGGGTGGCGGCCCAGAAACGATACATGCGCAAGTTGAACCTCATCATCCTTCCGACAATCTCTCTTCTTTACTTCTTTGAGTATCTAGACCGTGGTAATGTCGCGGTATGTTATATTCGGCCATTACGTCCAAGCTGCCCGTAGCTGATCGTAACAACCACCGAGTAGAATGCGAAACTGTACGGCCTCGACTCAGGACACGATTCGGCCCAAGGAGGCGTCGCTCCTGGCTTGCAAAAGCTGACCTCGAGACAATGGCAACTGGTTGTCATGATATTCTACGTTGGCCTGGTTCTCTGCCAAGTTCCAGGTTGCATTGGATACCGCATCTTCCCTCCTTCGAAGTGGATCGCGTTCGGAGTCTGCGGTTGGGCCATCGCAAGCATGCTACAATGTGTTGCTTTCAATCTCAGCGGCTTGCTGGCTTGCCGCGTCTTTATCGGTGTTTTTGAGGGATTCTTCGGCACTGGTATTGTCTACTACCTCTCGCTCTGGTATCACCGTGCCGAACTGGGAGTAAGAGTGTTCTGGTTTCTTGGCCCTACTGCCATCGCTGGGTAAGTTGCCGTATTTCCTTGCACATGATGGACTAGATATGCTAACATGCCTGTGTTCCCTTCAGTGCTTTTGGTGGCCTCATTGCCTATGGTATTGGTCACATCAAGAGTTCAACCCCAAACTGGAAGTGGCTGTTTCTCATTGAAGCACTGCCCTGCTTTTGCCTGGGTTTGTTCTGCCTCTACTGGCTGCTAGATCGCCCTCTCAAGAACTCGCGCTTCTCGGGGAAAGACCAAGAAATTGCCGAAGCACGCTATCATAGCGAGTCCTTTGACAAGACTGGAAAGATCCAGAAGAAGCACCTTATATGGGTCTTCACAGACTGGCGCCTCTATGTACAGGCTGCCATTTATGTCCCCACAGCGGCCCTTCTGTCATCAATCTCCGGCTTCTTGCCGACCATTATATCGAGTATGTTCTCCTATCTCAGGAATTCGCCCCCCATTCTGAATGAAGACTAACGCTGGTGCTCATCAGACCTTGGCTACAAGGAGCCAACAACCGCGAATTTGATGACAGTGCCTCCCTACGCCTGTTCCTTTGTGATCATGTTTCTCGCCTCATGGCTCTCGGATCGCTACCGCACGCGTGGCATTCCCATCGTCATACTCATGTCCATCGGCACTATTGCCTACGCCCTGCTCGCAACGCTGCCCGAGGCCCAACTACGGGGCAAGTACGCCTGCGTCTGCATCGCCGTCGCCTGCGTGTACGCAACCTACCCGCCCACCCATGCCTGGGCCGCCAACAACTTTGGCAACGAGACCAAGCGAGCCGTGGGCATGGGCTACTACACTGCCATCGGAAACTTGGGCTCCATCGCCGGCACATTTGTGTATCCTGCCACCGACGCGCCGCAGTTCAAGAAGGGGCACTTCATCTGCATGGGTCTCTGCATTGCCACGGCGTTATTGTCAGCGGGCAACTCTGCGGTGCTGGCGTGGCTGAACCGATACAGGGATAGAAAGTATGGTAAGCCTGTGCCTGGAGCTTCGATTGATGTGACGGAGCTGGCGGACAACAGCCCTCAATTTCGGTTCATGACTTGAGCGCTCTTAAGCAGTAGGGGGGAAAGAGTTCCAGCATACTCTCACCCCAGCGATGGTTGACACAATACTCATCAAAAGCCCAAATCAATATTTAGATAGATCAACAATGCAAAACTCGGGCGTACATAGTGGCCTGATACACTCTCATCTTGAATGATTGATTACCGCTCCATTGATGAGACGACTATTTACCTGGCTTTCGAGCGTAAATTTTGCTACTCTACTAAACAGAATCAGGTCTAGAAAACTCTGCTTCGAAACGACACGATAGGGAGGATACAACTCTGTATATATCATGATGAACATGAGAGCTTGACGTACACTCTTTCACGCTACATCAAAGGTTTGAAATTCCTTTCAAACACACATACTACTGTTGTATATACCTCTAGTTTGCTACCATCTCCTCTAACCTTACAGTCACTCCACTAACCTCTGCAAAGGAATTGAGCGCATCCACCTCTCCTCTGGTATATGGAATACCTTCATTGCTCCGTCTTACCTCCATCGCTGCCTCTATCTCGCCGCTGGTGAAGATCCTGTCAACCCCTGCAGCCTTTTCACATTCTCTGACTCTCCGCAAAAGCGTGTCCATTCTTTCTCGGAGCTCCTCCATACCACCCCCCAAGAAAATATCGGGGCGGAATACCAAGAACCAATGACCTACATCCTGGGGTTCCTTGAGATTCTTGTACTGGTCATTGACTCTGCCCGCAAAAGCAGCACCAGAGAGCACTCCTCCAAAGATGTCCATCATCATTGCCAGCCCGGACCCTTTCGGCCCTCCTATCGGGAGTACAACTCCACCCGCCAAAGCGGCTTCGGGATCTGTCGTCGAGCGGCCCTCTGCATCCAGAGCCCAGCCTTCTGGTATGGACTCCCCGCGGCGCGCTGCCTTGCGGATCTTGCCTCGCGCCACGACGCTGGGTGACATGTCGAGAACAAAGTCGCCTTCCTTGCCGCCAGGAACAGCAACGGCGAACGGAGACGTGCCGAGGAGGGATTCCCGAGCGCCCCAGGGCGGCATGCTGGCGCTCGCATTGGTGAAGGCAAACGCAGCGAGGCCCTGGCGAGCAGCGCGCAGGAGGTACGTTGCCGCCATGCCGTAATGATTGCTATGGCGCACAGCCACAACTCCCATGCCGTAAGTGCGAGCCATGTCCGCGGCCTTGTCAACGGCCATGCAGCCGGCCACGAAGCCAAACGTGTTTTGTGCGTCGAGCAACGCCATCACCGGTGTCTTTGTATCGAAGGAGAGCGTTGGGTTGGGGTTCAAGACTCCCGCCTTGATACGCTCAATGTAGCCAGCCAATCTGTTGATTCCATGGGTGTCAACGCCCCGTAGATCGGCCAGCACAAGGGCCTCGGCGATCAAATTGGCTCGATCTTGAGGAACGTCATATTTGCAAAGGACCGCAGCCACCAAAGAATGAGCAGACGTTGGGCTCACGTTTACTGTGTTGGAAGACATGGAGTCTACTAAACCGCTTTAACACGTGATGGGAGGTGCTAATATGTGTGGTAAGATAGGGTGCTGCAGATGTGGGTGTTAAAAGAAGCTCCGGATGTTGTAGGCAGCCTCCACCAATGTTATCTCTCCAACTTTCGTATGACCCTCGTCCTTTTGAACTAGACTGATCCAATCACCCCGCAAAGTACGGGGCGCTGCTTCGCAGTCATATGGCCAAGTGTCGGTGCAGACTGGTAGGCCTGATATGTGGACCGGGGAAAGTCCACGGGCAAACTCCGGTATTAACCGCCGACGGACCTCTCCCGCATTCATGAGACGGAATTCCCGTGCAAAGAAACCACCAAGGCAGTTTTGCTTTGGATAAAGCAAAGGATAGCGTGTAAACGTGACGCAGGTGAGAAAATACGAAAATCACGATGTGGTTGACAAACTAATACATTGTATCATGAGATCTAAGAACGAAGCAGATAGACATAGTAATACATATTATTAATCTAATTCAGAAGAACTCCTCGCTTTTCATCTTTTTGGAACTACTCAAACAAGCTTTCCAGGTACATCTGCCTTGCCCTCCAAGACTGCCAGCAGAGTCTTGACCACCGCAATGCCGCTGTTGCTTTGGTTTTCCCTCGTTGATGCACCGATGTGAGGCGTCATGATGACATTATCCATCGCGAGTAGTCCATCTCCGTAGGCCTCTAGCGTGGGAGGCTCGACCTCCATAGCATCCAGTACTGCACCCCAGAGCCGCCCCTTCTTGAGCTCCTCCAGTAGTGCCTTCTCGTCAACGACCCCTCCCCTCGCCGCGTTGACCAAGATGGCATTGTCCTTCATGGCCGCCAGCTCCTTGGCGCCAATCATGCCCCTCGTAGACGGCAGCAGCGGTACGTGAAGCGTGACCACGTCCGATACCTCCAGCAGCTCCGGCAGCGTCGCCACCCGCCGGTGCGGCAGGTCCGACCACGCGTCCGCCGGCGCGACAGGGTCGTACCCGACGACGCTGGCCTCGCACGCGCCGATCCACTTGCGTGCCGCCACACGACCGATGTTGCCCATGCCCACGACGCCGACCGTCTTGCGGAACAGGCTGAGGCCCAGCGTCTCGCTGCGCCTGACGGCCTCGCCCGCGCGCACGCGGCGGTCGACCTCGGCCACGCGGCGCGCGAGGGAGAAGGCCAGGGCCAGGGAGAACTCGGCGACGGCCTCGCTGTTGAGGGCGGGCGTGTTGTGCACGGCGACCCCGGCGCGGCGCGCGGCGTCGAGGTCGATGTTGTCGACGCCGACGCCCTGCTTCACGACGATGCGGAGCTTCGCGGCGGCCGCGAAGTCGTCGGCCGTCAGGCGCGTCTCGGAGCGCAGGATGACGCCGTCGGCGTCGCGGTGCCAGGAGGCCCGGCGCGGGTCAGACGGGAGGACGAGGTCGACCCATTCTGTGGACTGGAGGAGGGCCACGGCGTCCTCGTGGTAGGGGTCGAGGACGAAGACGACTGGCTTTGCCATGGCGGAGTGAGTTTTGGTGGTGTCTGGTTGCTTTCTAGGGCTAGGGATGAGGCGTTTGGGAGCTGGCTGCTGAGGAGAAGATAGCCCAGTATCCCATATTGAATATTTCACTCCCCGGTTTTGACGATGTCTCCATCACTTTGACGGGACTAGTCTGTCCGTGTGAAGTGTGGACCTCTCACAACGATGTTCGGATGAAAGCCTCGGAAAGCCGCCGGTCGTAAATACGTCAGACGTCAGACGTCAGACGGCGGGGTGTCTCGCCTAACCCGCAATCCTGGGCCGGTTCCGGAGCTAGGGGAGAAGCTTCTGGTTTTAGCGCTGTAAAGTAGTGGAGTGCCCGATTGGGGGCTGCGTGGCCGAGCTTGAGCTTCACATCATCTTATCAAGCCTCGGATAATTACGGTCCTGTTTCTCATCGTTACTCTCTTGACACTGCAGTATCACATGGCATTTTCATTCGCAACTTGCACGAGAAGAACACAGACTTCTTTATTACAGGCACTGCATAGGTCGAGCTGCGGACCGAACATCTCGAGCATGCCTCAATTGCGACCCTCACAACAGCAACAGCTGCGCACCATGGCGTCACAGGACCCTATCATCAAAGCATTGCAAGACTATACGACGTATGCGCGCCCATGATCCAATTGATTTCTTTCCTACATCTAGGTATTGACCCAGGATGCACAGGTGCGATGTGTCGGACGCACTGTGCAAGCTCAAGTTCCGCAATGGCGGCTTCCTCTCTGGCCTGACCATGTGGTCTCCTCAGCGACAGGACGGGCCGACCAAGATTGTAGGCCCGGCTTACACTGTCAAGTACGTGAGGCTCGACGACCCGTCGCCGAAGCACCCCACGCATTATGTGAGTATCGTGTCTCGGGATACGTGGTATGGTCTCTCACACGCCACCTAGATCGACTCGGTCCCCGAGGGATCTGTCGTCTTTGTCTCGTGCCCGCCCAAGGTGCCGAATGCCGTGTACGGTGGCCTCATGTCGACGCGTGCCCAGGCAAGCAAGGCCGTGGGTTCAGTCATTGATGGACGGTTCAGAGATCTTCAGGAACACCGAGACCTGGACTTTCCTGTGAGTTGAATCCCGATAGCACTTCCGATCTTGCGAATACTAAGCGGCTGAATTCACGTCAGATCTTCGCTCGTGACGTCGGCACGGCACCTCCTTACGAACTCGTCAAGGTCGTGGGGGTGAATGTTCCTGTCAAGCTTCAGAGCGAGGACCAGGACATTACTATCAACCCTGGTGACTACATCATTGCAGACATGAACGGCGTTGTGGTGCTTCCCAAGGAATACGCCGTGCTGGCATTGCCGTTGATGAAGAAGCAGGTCGATGCAGACTCCCAGATGGCAGTTGCAATCAAGGAGGGCATGTCCTTCTCGGAAGCTAGCAAGAAGTTTCGTTGATAATCCCTCCATGGACGGAGTGGACAACTCTCTTTGGTCATATTGGCCATTCAGATCTTCTCCTGGTCTTACTAGGCTCCTGCAAATGGCTGTGGCAATAGAATAACGGAATCCGATGGTATTTTAGCGCTTCTCGGAGTGCATTGCCCCAAACACTAATGCTACCTATATATCGGTTCGTGAGTGCGAACCGGAGTGCAAGATCGCTGTCTGTATAATTCCGACCCAAAGCCTGCATAATCTTAGCCTTCATACCACAAATGCCGTAGTTCTGTCAAGGCTATGTAGACAGCCTCGTCCGTCCGGATAGTCCTGCTACCCTGGTCAGGAAGCACATTGATCCATTGGTCAAACAGCTCCTTTGTCTTTCCACCGCCAATGCCAATATCGCTCAATTCCGGGTCGTTCATCGCGGCGTACTCCAAGCCACGAGGTCCGCCAAACACAATCAGAAGATGGTTGAACTTTGCCTTGCGCGTTGGAGGGAAGGCTTTCGAGGCCGGTACGCCTCGCTCCGACGTGCCAATGCTCATGTCGTAACCATCCTCCCATGGGCTTTCCGTGAAAACATTCGACAGACAGGAGGCCTTCCTGACGTTGAAGCCCCAGTGGTACCCAGCATCCGTACGGGGTGCCGTGGGATGAACCGGTTCAGCTCCCTCGAAGGACTGATTCGGGAAGTTCAAAGTCAACCTCGTCTTTGGCGGTATGGAATCTTTGATGGTGATCGGTTGCCGGAGACCAATATCCACGAGCGTTCTTGAGAGACCGTTAGTACAAAAATGGATTGAATCGAGACAAGGGAGACCTACCCGCTGCCGCTTTCTGGTCTTCCTGCCACCGTCATGCCTTCCATGTACGGCAACTGTTCATCTCTATGGGGATGATGTGGCATATCCAGACTTGGCAGAAGACCTTGCAGCCTCAAGTTAGGGTGGAGAGGGAAAAGACCTTTACGCATGAAAGGGGGAGTCTCCATGTACGAGAATAGATGCTCCATGAAATGGCAGGGGTCTGTGTCGCCAGTGTAGCTGTCATAGTCGACGGCGGGAAGGCGCGAGTTCACGGGGCTATCATCGAAGACGACCACCTCGTCAATGGCAAAGACAGCAAGCGCTCTGGCGATACGGGATGGAGGGCCGATCCGCTGCTCAGCAGTGACACAGCTATGAAGCGATTAGATGGTGTGCACGGTGACTGCTTGGAGGGAACATACTCAGCGATGACGCTTGTGGGGACAGCGACAGAAACCGTCCATTCTCTACCTCCTAGGGGCTGAAATCTAGCAGAGGGCTTGAAAGTGTCGAGCGGCCCATTGCCTAGCCCATCTCCAAGTTTCCGCTTCTGTGTAGAGTTACTCGGGTTAGCAAGTCGAATATGTCAAGACAAATGAGAGGCGGTCTGGGAAGACACTCTGAAATGCACACAGAAAGATGTAAACAAAGAGCTACAGCGAGAATTAAAGGGTGTGATATGCGGAGGCAGAATCACTTACTTTTGTCCTGTGATCCGACATACTGGCTTCGGAGTGTCAATACCCTGGTATCTCAATATTGAAGCTTGGAATGAGAGGAAGCTGGTTTTTAGCTTAAATTTCGTAGATCCATCCTAACTTTTTCGAAGCGGGGCGTGAAAAACCGGCAGAACTTCCAAGTGGGAAGACACCGCCTGCTTCTTTTGGCCCGCTAGTCTTGCCAGCTTGCCGTAATCCGATTCCCACGCATTGCGTTATCAGCACCGCCTTCACTCGAGCTGACAACTTGGAACTTCCAGGAACCGAACTGCCTAGCTCCTCAATTGATTACGAGGAAAACACCCGGCAATTCTCAAATATGACTGTCAATATCGGGTCTGCTGGCGAATGGAGCCGCATCATCAAGTCGAGCACAGTTGTTGTCGCCGACTGTAAGTTCTCCCTCGCCACTGCTGCCTGCCCCTCTTGCTGATGAAGCCGACGACGACAGTCTATGCCGACTGGTGCGGGCCCTGCAAGCAGATTGCGCCGGCGTTCGAATCCCTCTCGACCAAGTTCTCCAAGCCGGGAAAGATCACCTTTGTCAAGGTTAATACCGACAACCAGCAAGACATCACCAAGCAGTACCGCGTCAGCGCCATGCCAACATTCCTTATCCTCCACAATGGCGCCGTTATCGAGACGGTCCAGGGGGCCAATCCGATGGCCTTGAACAATGCTGTTGAGAAAGCCGTCAAGCTTGCGGGGACCTCGGTCCCAGGCGCAGGGTTCGCAACTCCTGGCCGAACTCTAGGCGGCGCCCCCCGTGGCTCTCGTCAATCCCTTGGCCGGCCTGTTGCATGGGATCTGAACAACCTAATCAACACTATCGTCACATTCTTTGGACTCTACGTCACATCACTTATTTCTGTATGTTATTGCGCTCCAATGAAGAAGTTGACTGGCTCTTTGTTCTGTTCACACGCTGACCTCTTTGCGCAGTTGGACCCCTACCAGTCGGCACAGAACTCACGATACAATATCAAAAACCCTCCTCCTTCTGCTGCACCTGGCGGACGTGCCGGAAGTAGCTTCGGGAGCGGTGGCCAACGAGTAGGCGGTCCGGCAGCGCCCAGATCATCCTTCCGGACACTCGCAGATCTTGGTTCAGAGTGAGATGTCCTGTGACATGGCTGTGCGTGCTGTTCTAGCGGGAGTTGGGCATATTTGACTTGTTGTTTTAGCTGTACATATTTGGAGAAACTATGATATCCTTCTCTTTGAACTCCAATGTGTCCAGTAGCATCGTAAAACCGCAACTTGCGAGCATTCATTACCATTTGCTCCAGACCTAATCACGTGCGTCCCTCAAAGCTCACATGGAAGCTTCATCAATCCACAGTAGCCAATCATAGCGATGCCATATCAGCAAATACCGCTAGTGGCCTACAACTTACAGGGGACTCCATAATAATTTTTAGCAGTCGCAACGCCCCCCGACGGGCTCTAGATCTTTCATCACCAACCTGCAAACTTTTTGCGCAGCAGCCAATCGACCATGCTTGCTGCGAGACGAGCCAGCAACGCTTGCCCGCAGTGCCGGCAGCAGCTGCAGCTCTTGTTTGAACATGGATTCTCCTCTCCGACTCCGACACTCCTCGCCCGCCGGCGCATGTTCCCGGCAAGCTTGGTGCTTGCTCCGTCTGGCGCCAGACACCGCGCAGCATTTGCTACGAGCAGGATCGTACGACAGGACGGCCGCGTTGAGACAACACCGAAAAGGGGGGACGAAGACGTAGAAGCGATTGTGCGGCAAGCCAAAGAAATGTTTGGTGACACGCTGCCTGCTGGCTACCTGTCGCAGGAGGAGTTCAAGCTCTACACTCGGTTGTACGGCGAGCCTCTCCGTTCCACGACTGCCGAAGACGTTGGCCTGCCCGCTAGAGATGAAGGTGATAACAAGAATACCGCGCAAATGAATACACTGTTCAGAGAGGGTGAGCATGGGGGATTGGAAGAAGTCCTGTACACCCTCGACACCGCGCGGACGGCAACGGAAGAGGTGGATCTATCTCTAGAGATCGACGTTGGAGAGCTGAGACCCCCGACGGCAGCACAGATCGACTACCTGAATGCACACGCGAAGAGCAAGAGAGAGTACGATGCGTTGCTGAAACTGCAACGTGATTTCGAAGCAGCCAGTCTGAGACCGCTCGAGGAAGAAGAGATCGAGGAGGAGCCCGAAGAAGAACCTGAAGAGGAGGAAGACGAAGATTTCGAGGACGAGCCGGGCGCCGTTTTTCACACTGTTGGAGAGACTGGCGGCAGGCTACATAATCTTACACGCGAAGGTCTATTCGGAACCAACCCGAGCACGGTCCATCTACCGAAAGACGACATGGTCCTGCCGATTACCGAGCTGCTTGGCCGAACCGATACGAAGCACATAAGACAGACTGCTGAGAAGGTCTTTGGTGGGCCTGGACTCCCATACTCGGTGGCGACACCTCAATCTAAGAAGAACCTCCCGCAGAAGGGCATCGCCATGCAAGCCACCCAACACAGGATGTCGGAGATTGAGGCCGATGCATATATCGCCACGGTGTTCCCAGGAGTATATTCCTCTGCGATGAGCGCGCTGGTGGAGGTACGCAAGAGACTTGGCTCCGAGTGGATTCGAGGCTTGCTTGCCAGGCGAGATGGCCATGCGCCCCGAGTACTGGACGTCGGCGCTGGCGGCGCAGGTCTCGCGGCCTGGAACGATGTCTTCAAAGCTGAGTGGGATGCGCTGCGGGAGCGGGGGGAGGTGCAGACGGTCTTGCCCCCCGAGGGCAAGAAAGCTGAGAAGACGGTCATTGTTGGCTCTGATAACCTGAGGCACCGCGTCTCTCGATTCCTACATAACACGACCTTTCTGCCACGGCTCCCCGATTACTTGCATTCGGCAGAGAACGTCGATCGACTTCTTGATGCACCCGCTACTCCTCAGCCGAGGAAAACATACGACATCATCATTGCTTCACATCTGCTCATGCCTCTTGACAAGGACTTCAAGCGCAAGGACCTCATCGACAATCTTTGGGCTCAGCTCAATCCCGAAGGCGGTCTGCTGATTGTGCTAGAGAAGGGACATCCTCGCGGGTTTGAGGCGGTTGCAGATGCTCGTATGCGCATACTTGAAGAGTACATCTCGCCCCACGGGTTGGAGGAAGCCGCCAATGCTATAGAGCAGGACAGCGGCCGGATTCGCGAGCCCGGCATGGTTGTCGCGCCGTGCACGAACCAGCAGAAATGTCCCATGTATCTCAACCCCGGTCTCACCCCAGGCAGAAAGGACTTCTGCCACTTCAGTCAACGGTTCATCCGTCCGCCATTCTTGCAGAAGATTCTCGGCGCTACGCATCGCAACCACGAGGACGTGAGATTCAGCTACGTTGCAGTAAGGCGCGGCGAACAGCTTCCGACGCCCCAGGACGCTGCCGAGCCTCCAGCGCGTGAGCTGGTCCAGGGAGCCGAGGCGACTGACCGCGCATTCACGGGCTACGAGGGAACCGAGGATCTTCCCCATCCGTTGTCTCTACCTCGCAGCATCTTGCCTCCGCTCAAACGGCACGGGCACGTCACCTTTGATCTCTGCACACCTGCCGGTCACATCGAGCGCTGGACCGTGCCTCGATCGTTCAGCAAGAAAGCTTACCATGACGCCCGCAAGGCCAGCTGGGGCGACCTGTGGGCCCTGGGCGCCAAGACCCGAGTCCGGCGCGACATTCGCCTGGGCAGAGGCGGCAAGACGGGCGCGATCCCGCTCGACGGCGGCGTGCGGGCGGCCAATGCTGTGGCCGAGGCGGGGAAGAAGGCGAAGCCCAGGGTCATCGAGCTGCACGCCGGCCCCGACGGTATCCACGGTGCCTCGGAGAAGTTCCCGCGCGGGAGAGCCCCGAGGGAGAGGCGGTCCAAGAGGGGCAGGAGGCAGCAGATCAAGGATTTGTTGCAGGAGCTCAAAGAGAATGAATTCACGGCGTGAGGGCTCGCCCCGCACTGTATCACTGATTTGTAAGAACACTTGTACAAAAAGGAAATTGTATCATACAACACGATGTCACTCATTGTGAATTAGGCTGGACACGATAGATAACGAGCACCCAGATAGGAGCAGTGTATTTCTATTCTTCCGTACTACTTTACTTTGATTACTGATTCTCCGTGTTGTTTCGGCCGGAACCTCGCAAAGTCTCGGCAGCACGCCCCTCCTGCTCCAAATCAAAGCGAACAAAGATCGAATTTATCGCGGCCATGCCTGCGGTCCAGAACCACTACAGACTCTCGCTATCCCCTTCGAGGCATCAGCTGTGGACGTGGTCAATAGTGTGCTGGGGCTGAAGCCTCAAACGGATCTAGCCGCTTCGATAGGGCAGGCACTAGTCTTCTTGGGCCTCCCGATCCAGCACATTCACGGCCGCCGCCATCGTTCGTTTATGCATCTTTCTCATATAGAGACAGCGCTTGGAGCACATGGCTAGACCCTTGTGGCGTTTGGCAGCGCCTCGGGGGCCTTTGGAGGACGTCCAATCCCGTGCTGAAATCCCAAGTTTGATGTACGCTTGGGACTGAAAAGACCGCCAGCAGCGATGTCCCTACTCTCAATATGGCCTAAAGCCTGTCGTCTGGTCTCTGCCGAGGCTTGCTGAACGGAAAAATAGCCGTTGATGGAGTTCGTGCTGTGAGCCTGTCAATCGACGCTCTGAACAGAAGAGCTCTTGGACGGCTAGCTCGTGGTTCAATAGTCTCATGCGGGAGAGTTTGACAGCGCTCCTTATGCACACCGGTTGCGGAGCCGCCGGTGCAGTCCCTCATGTCCGATGCCATGGGATTCTTGAAAAGGGGATTAGAGCCCTTTGAGAGTAGAAGGCTCAGCATCGTCTTTTTCATTTCCTATCTCACTGGGTCTTGACTTGTTGTCCTTCAGGTTGACAGGTCAAACTAAACGACCTTGAAATGGAGCGCATAAAGATATCGGGTCTGTTGGGACTCAGCGCCTTGGTCGCTCTCCAGACCTCGGTGGTTCAAGCCATTCCCTTCGACGGCCAGATCCGCTCCATCGCCGACGTTGGCGACTATGTCTATCAGGGATGGTGAGCAGGATACACAAACCAGCACCATTGTTTCGTTACTGACCTCATTGCGTAGCTGGGCTGAGCCTTCCAGCGGCAGGGCGCTGGAGATGGTCACCACGGACAAGCAAATGACGCTCGAGCTCTGCGCCGGGCTGTGCGCGGCGTCTGCGAAACCAAAGTACTTTGGTGTAGAGTACGGCAAGGAGTGTTGGTGCGTCACATCTCACTGCCTCTTTGAATGCAGGGCCTAGCTAATATCGCTCCGCAGGTGCGGAAATACCCTCGCCCCCAACGCAACCCGAGCCACCGACGAATCGCAGTGCTCCACCAAGTGTCCCGGCAACGACGCCGAACGCTGCGGTGCCGGCTCGCGCCTCAGTCTGTTCATGAACAGCAAAGTTGTACTGCCAGCGGCCCCAGCTGTCAAGGCCGCCGAGGGGTATACCTACCAAGGCTGTTACACCGACGCCGGGTCTGCCCGTGCTCTGGCCAGAGTCTCCAAGGGCAATGCCATGACCGTGGAGAAGTGCACAGCCATTTGTGCTGGGAGCAAGTACATGGGCTTGGAATATGGTACGTGCAGTCTACATTCTCAGCTAGTTTCTTTTCAGGGGCTGATGCTCTGATTAGGCCGCGAGTGCTGGTGCGGACAGGATCTCGATGCCTCCAGCGTCCCGGCTGCGAAGGAGTCCGAGTGTAGCTCCGCGTGTTCGGGAGACAGCACTGCCTTGTGCGGAGCCGGCAAGCGTCTCAACCTTTACAAGCTGACCTCGTCGCCCACGAGCTCGGCCGCCCCGAGTGCACCCACCGACCGCGTTGGCGACTATGTGGCTCAGGGATGGTAGGCTCTCAGCTCGCGGACCTCATCCTCGGAAGATCACGAGAAGTGCTGACTGTTCCTCCAGCTACACCGACAATGACAAGCGCGGGAGGGCACTCACGAAGCTGGCTGCTTCTGACGACATGACTGTCGAAAACTGTCTGCAACTCGCTTCCGCCAAGGGTCTCAAGTACTTCGGACTCGAATACGGTGCGTACCCAACCCCCTGACTGTGTAGTGATAACTCTAACAATACTCTAGGTCGCGAATGCTGGGCAGGTAATGTGCTGCTGTACTCGACGCAAACAGACGAGTCGTCGTGCCGTTCTCCTTGCAAGGGTAACGTCAACCAGAGGTGCGGCAGCGGCGGCCATCTGAGTCTTTACCTGTACAGTCCGTCTTCGTATGTGATATCTGCCTTTTCGCCTTGTCCTAACTGATAATGGAGGCTAATGTGGTCTATGTCTAGTTCCGGCCCTGTCACGTATGAACTAGAAAAGGCAAACGTCACCAATGCTTCCATCGTTCAAGAGAACGGGAAGTCTGTCATGTAAGCTTGCTGTGCCTCATGAATGAGTCAAGTCAAGGATCTGATCGGATGGATAGCAACATGTCACCGCCAGCAAACGGAGAGGCAACGGTCCAACTACCAGCACAGCAATTACCCGACACCGAGGTCATATTTCAAGTTTCCATCCGCACAGAAGGAAGCAGCGTCCAACGCAGAGCTGTTCTAACCCAGTGCACTCTCCAAATGTTCCTGGGTGGAGTCATGATCTACAACAGCCAGATCTGGACGACAGACGGCAACTACGTCGTCGTAAGCAGCCAGCCAACCAGTGGTGGTGGCACATCTAGCCTCGTCATCATTGAGCACTGCGCTGCTGATGCCGCCACCGTCACCATCGGCGATGTAGTGGTGACTCCTTCTCAGCCTCAATCCACAACTTCTTCGCTGCCTAGCACCGCTCCTCGAAGCTCCTCTTTGACGTCGACCTATTCCCCTGCCGCGACCACGCCGGTTTCTAGTTCGAGTGACACTGGTATTCCCGGGACTACTTCATCGTCTGCCTTGACAAGCGAAGAGTCCACAGCATTCCCTTCTTCGACCATCATCCCTTCAACAGCCACTCCGACGCCAACAAGTACGAATGAGCCTACGACTTCCAGTGTACCGCCCGTGATTCAGTCACCCACGACCAGTTCTCCGCCTGATACGACAGTCTATGAGTACTACGCTCCCTTGTACACTTCAGGCCTTTGCTCTCTTCCCGACAGTCAACCCGCTAGCTGCACTTTGTCTGGTGCCCCGGTGGCGACACGGGACCTATTGGTCGTGGCAACAGATGTCCCCTCTTCTAGCAATGGCGACTGGAGTGCAGCCTACGAGGTGTGCGCAGACTTTTGTGATTGGTACTATGGCTGCCAGACATTTGCGCTCGAACGCCCCGAGGATACGAGCAAGGATTCTACCTGTTATCTCTACTCGGCCGGCATTTCCGAGTATGGGCTGTCCTTTGACCCTCAATATCGAAACGTCGTCTGGTTTCAGAAAGGCTGCTACCAGTGTAAATGGTCTCGGATGGTGCCCAAGGGAATCTGGACGTGGCCATCCACGACGTCAACATCACCGCCGACGTTGGGGACGGCGTCGACAAGTACCTTTGCATCCACCACGCAGACCACAACTCCTATAACGAGCGGCCCTCAGACATTAACGACACCAACGCGTGTCGTGCCGAGTGTCACTAATGATCCCGCAATTACCCCCTTCGTACCGACTGATAGGCCTGTTTGTTCAAGCCTGCCCTTAAACCCTTCGAAGCAATGCAACAAGTCCGGAGCACCAATCCCTACCATTGGCATGATGGCGATTGCAAATGGAATTCCCGCTCCAGCCCAGAATGGCAACCAAGACAGCTCCATTGGAATCTGCGCCCAAGTCTGCCAGAACATGGACGGGTGCGGGAGCTTCGCCGTAGATCGGGTTCTCTGGCCCGGCAACCAAATCGACTGGAGCTGCTACTTCTACAGGAGCCCTGTATCTTCATTTTACAGCCAGTACGACCAAGACTATGCGCGTGTGGTATGGTTTGACAACGACTGCTATCAGTGCTTTGTTCCAAGCACCTCTGGGTCAACCACCAGACCTGCCACTGCAACCACAACAAGAGGCAGCACTCGCGTGCCGATGACCACGCCGCCCATCATCGTCAACGACGGTATCACTATCTTCTCGGCCCCACCGCTGCAGACCACCTGCTACAGGGGCCAGGGCCAGTACCAGACCAACCGCTGCACCGAGTCGGGTTACGCCACCACCACCCAGTCGCTGCTGGCTGTGGCAACCGGCATCGCGCCCCCCGAGCCGAGCCAATACTACAACATGGAGGTCTGGTACCAGCGCTGCGCGAGCATCTGCCGCGGCCTCGACAACTGCCAGGGCTACGCCCTGGACCGCGGCACGTGGCCCAACTCGCAGGCCGACTGGAGTTGCTATTTCTACGGCATGAACATCGCGTGGTATCTGAGCGACAAACAGAGCTCGTCCCAGTACAGCGCGGTCGTCTGGATGGCGGAGAGCTGCTTCGACTGCCCCAAGCCTGGACCGATATTCCCCGAGCTGCCCTCGTCGACGTCCATCCCGAGCAGTACCGCTCCCACAACCGAAAGTACCACGGCGTCGACAACGGAGGTTCCAACATCTATCTTCACCCAGGGGACTCCGACATCTATCTTTACCCAGAGAGATCCGACATCCATTTTCACCCAAGGGTCAGAGGTTCCAACGTCGATATTCACCCAGGGGTCAGACACCACATCTATCCCAAGCAGCACGACGACGTTGACAACAGGGTCTCCGACTGCTACGCCCGCAGTCTGCAAGCGCGCTACGAATCCGGATCCTAGCCTCTCTTGCAACATCCGTGGCTTCAGCACACCTCTATCATTTATACGGGTATTTAATGGCAAGACCCAGGCCGAGTGCGCGAGCATCTGCCAGAACGGTGGCCTTGGGTGCCACAGCTTCTTGTGGAACTCGCCTGTCGACGACTGTATGCTCTACAGGAGGGAAGTATGGGATGAAATTGGGGATGCCCCTACTGCGGGAAGGGCATACAAGGATGTGGTGATGGATGATTTTGGTTGCTGGGAGTGCTCTTAGATGGCCGTGATTCCTTCGTGTTGACTACATCGGGTGGTTTCCCACGCCGTGTGCAAACAGTTCGTTTCAGCGATGCAAGTCTATCATTCTAGGCAAAGCACTTGTGGGAAACTCGTGTCCATCAATGATGTACCACATTCACATTCCCACAGTGCGTGGTTTCGCCTGCTCAGAATAATCTCCACCGGGCTAAGAGGGACTCCACATGCGACCATGCATGCGACTGTGCATACGTCTTGATCTTGGCATTCTTACACCCGAGTCTGCGACTTTGCATGCGACTCTACATGGGAAGCTGGGTCGTCCCAATGGATGTTGAGGGACGGGGATAGAGAGAAAATATAAAATGAAGAGCTCAACCATCACTGGGATCGCATTCTTTTGTCTTCTGCTCAAACTACTCTCTTCGCAACATTCCCCGGCAAAACTGTGTCTCAGATTACCATGAAGATCGCCATCATCATCGGGTCTACCAGGCCCAGTCGTATTGGGCCGCAGCTTGCCGGATGGCTCCTGACTCTGCTGAAGACAGACCAGGAGCTACATGACGCCGAATTTTCCATTGTCGACCTTGCCTCCTTCCCGCTCCCGATGTTCCAAGAGCCTGCTCATCCCATGATGGTCCAGGACTTGGCTCAGTTCACCAGCCCGGCTGCTGTGTCGTGGAACCAAGAGATTGCCAAGCACGACGCTTACATTGTCGTCTCGCCAGAGTACCACTCTGGGATCCCAGGCACCTTGAAGAACGCCATCGACCATCTCTACCATGCGTGGATCGGCAAGCCGGTCATGATCTTGACGTATGGCATCTTTGGTGGTGCGCAGGCGAACTCGCAGCTGCGTCAAGTTCTAGGGTTCGGGTGTCGAATGAAGGTTGCCACTATCTGCCCGACACTCGAGTTTCCTGGTCGCGATGAGGGGGAAAACAACACAAGTCCTGCTCTGTTTCAGGCACTTGCAGGCACGCTGGGTGCCGATACTTTGGAGTCCTGGGAGGGAAAGAAGCAGGATATTCTTTCTGGCTGCCATGAGCTATTGGGTTGAAGGGAGACCGATGTGCCAGCACGTGCATGTGTTTGACGGATGAAACGACCTGGGGTAATCACCGAAGCTCGGCCAGGAGCTCGCCTTCACACCTTGTTAGTTATTTAATCAAACACATATAGACTTCAGCACTCACCAGCAATCTTCCAGCCAGTGCTATAGCTCTCCAAAGTCGTGATGACAACTCCGACAGCACGTTCTGCCTCCTCACCAACCTTCTCTCCCCAGTTGTAGCTCAAGTGCTTGTACGTTCTCGCAGCAAGGTAGAAGCAGTGCAGCTCCCATGGCGAGATGATGGTGGAAAACTTGTACTGAAATGCCGGCACGAGGTTCAGCCTGTCGAAAACCATTCTGAGAGCGGAGGTGACATGATCCAAACAGTCACCCTCCAAGGCCGGCTCGACCCGTTGATGCAATATTAGGATAGAGCTTGCTTGTCAGCATGGCTTGGACGTGTAAATGAAATAGCTACTAACCTCACGCATAGTCCTAGAATTGAACAATTTACATCCGCACCTCGACAGCGATCCTCATGAAGGGCACAAGCTAGAGTGCTGATCTTCAGTCCGAGTTGTCTAATTTCCTGACTGGACGACGGGGTAACAGAGCTTTTCATCGACATCTCGAGAAGGAAAGCAGCTTGAACAAGACGGTTGAGTAATGTTGGAACTGGTGATACGGAATCATTAGCGAAGCCCTCTATCCTCGCGTTACTACAGCTCTCGCAAGCTTCAGACAAAACTGTGAGACGTTGCTGCTCATCGACCAGTGCAAGTCCTGGGCACGGTGCTGGGCAGAAAAGTACAACTGTACCATCTTGCCAGTTATCATGCACGGAACGAACGAGCCTGTCTAAAAGTCAGTCATGGACAAGGATGACACGAACGATCTCACCTTTCTAAGATGAAGAGACAGCAGGCCTCCCTATCTCCGTCCTTTCCAGTAGAGATCGTCGTCACCTCTGACAGGCATTGCCATCGAAACAGCTCTATGGACTTTGCAATGGCAGCGGCCGAGGCCAGTGATCCTATCGCTGCGACATGGTTGGCCTGCAAGTGCTCAAAGAGGGCCAACAAGATCTTCGACCGGAGGACATCCAGATTGTTCACTCCTCTTGCGAGCAGTGCTGCTTGAGAGGCTGTCACTGATATATATAGTTCGTTGCTCCCTAGAATATCGGTCTCATCTAGACCGGGTCTTGACACTCGACCTAAGAGCATACAGGCGAGCATCAAGACGCAGAAAGCCTCGTTATGCCAAGACTCGGCATCCTGACAACGGGTGATCAAAGATGGGCCCTCAACGACGGGGAGCCACTTATTGAAGCTTTGTAGATAGCACTCAAGTCCTCCGATGATTTCATCGCGTAGAGACTGGGCAAGGCGAACAGCAAGACCATCATCGAAACGAAGCTCGAGCAGGTTGAGCGGAACGCGTGTATGGCTTCCCTCACAGTGGATGGCGTCCGGAAGGGATATTGCGGACTGCTGCTGGTGGGATGGCGGTACATCATAACTGCATTTCAATCCAACGCTACAGTGTGTCAACATTCGGTACCAGTCGGAGGAGGGCGTGAGTGAAGGCCTCACCGCATGCAACGGCCACAGCTTGGGCTCTGTAGGTCGCACCCCTTTCTTCTGGTGATACACTGTTGGCAGCGTTTGGCCTTCATGCTGAATGGGCTTGTGGCGAGATCTTGTTTGCGGCAGTCTTCTGCTTGTGGCAGTGGTCCCATAGACGGCCCACTGTGCTGATATGATATTTTGAGCTCGTCTTAGTTTCACCCCCTATTGGTTGGAGGGTTACTGATCCTCGACACACTAGACGTTTCTCATCTTCATGATTGCCGCGTCCTTGGCGGTGAGACCTCGAACCACCTCTATGTAATGCTCACCAGAGCCATAGCGAGTATTTGGGTCGATAGACTCATCTAAGTGATTCGCAGCATCGAGATTTCGTGCTTCTTTATGTATTCCAAGTCTTACAAGGCAGCTCCTGCATGCTTTATAAGCATTTCCCAAAAATCCCGCCAATTTTCCCATCTGCATTGCGGTATTTTGTCGCTCATTTAGCGCTTTTTGTCGGGCATTGTGGGTCATTCCCGACTTGCGGAGGAGAGGTTCTTCGTGTTCAAGCAGATCTCTCTCCCACTTGCGCAAAAACTGCTCGTGCTCGAATGCCGTAAAGGGATCAGTATCCTGCTCGTGGGTGGAGAGCTCTTCTTCGAGAGCAAATGACTCAGAGGACTTCTCTCCTGTATCGTTTCCAGAGGATGAATGGCTCCTCGCATCGTCATCACCGGGCCTTTGCGAGTCGGCGAGCACCTTTCTGGTGCTCGGCTTGTGTTGAAAGATAGACCTTACGCGGTCACGCACCGCAACAGGCATTCCGCTTATTGTTTTCCACATGACGTTTGGGTATATTGGGCTTTATTCCGGTCGTCAAATAATTCGTGTTCAGTTGGGTTGCCCTGGGTGCTAGTGTCAGGCAAGGATGAGGTTTGAAAATGGCGAGAAGTTTGAGACAGGTAGCGACGATTGTGAGATGAGGACAACTGCCCATGTATCTTGATGGTAGAACTTTTGGTTCCTTGGAGTACCTCTACCATGAATTGAAAAATAAAGTGCCTTTTAAAGTTCATGGCTACCAACCCAGAAGTCGCCTTCTGCACCTCTGTTCCACCCACCCAAAATGGAATTCTGGCATCAGGCAGCTCGCTACCGTCTCTTCGTCCGGCCCCTCAAACACATCGGCCAAGGTTTCTGCGTGAATGTCTGGGCATCTCCAGCGGACAAGGACAACAATAACAACCAGAATAGCAAAATCCTGGCGTTAAAACACGAAGACAGAGATCCGGGTTGCTCTCTCCACAAGGAATAACGCATTCACAAACATGTCCTCGCTGCCATAGAGACATCCCCTGTCCTTTTAAAAATTTCCCATAGTCTCATGCCTGGCACATTAGGTCTGAAGCCCAAAAGGGAATCTGGAAAGGTTCGTATCTGACGTCGACTTTGTCGGAAGTCGACGCCAGATATGAATCTCACTCAAGTCTTATTCGAGTAAGCAGGACCTCAGCCACTGCTCATGCTCTAGCTCCTGAGTAGTTGCGTAAGCTATCTGAGCGCCCCTGTGGACCTCTTGTACGCCCACCTGAGCTTTCGAACCGACTTCGGACGGTCATACTAAGGGCTCTTCATGTGGACTGTCCGGGAGGTTCTATAACTGACCGAGCCCATTACATATTATATCTTAAAGCAAAGGAGAGCAGAGCGTAACGATTTGTAGTCTCTTCCGTGGTAATATACAAATAAGATATAAGATCTGATCATGTCAGACGTACATAAAAGATATTCGGTAGATCACAAAATCAAGACCAAGGTTTGACTGTAGCTATAGCAAAACCGGAGCCAAGTCAAAGTGTGGGCCAGTTTCTCCCGCATCTTAGAGGCCTGAGCCTGCCCATATGCCACTATGAGTCGATTTTCTCGGGAGGTTTCTTCTCTTCCTCTAACGTCTTAGCGACGAGGGCAACCGCCTCTGGAGTGTCTTCTTCCTGTTGATCGTAGTATGCCCCCTTATTCAATGGAATCTTGCGCTTGGTTGGCTTGAAATTCTCGAACTCTTGAAGGATATTGTCTTTGGCCTTCTCGCATTCAGAACGTGCTGCCAGTAGTTTCAGTGAAAGGAATAAGTCGATTTGGTCGTGGGTCCAGAATCGACAGCCTCTACCATCGGAGTCGAACTCGTACTTGTCACGTCCGCGTCGGGTTATTGCATTAATAAACTGCCCGACAGAAATGTTGACTGGGACAGTCAAGGTGTCAAGATATTGTGTCTGGCGTGAATAGTCATAAGGGAGGTCTGAGATGACGATATAGGCTTTGGAGCCGCCTTTCAATGTTGGCGAGGCAAATCTAAATAAGGCGGTGAGCTGTGGCAGTAGCAGCTCTACACAGTGGGTAAGAGAAGAGACCTAAGACAACCAATTCCAACACAGTACACACAACGCAGTTTTTTACAACAGTGTTGCACAATTACCCAGCCATGATTTTTACAACAGCCTTGGCCCACATCTCAAACTTGCGATCTCCTTTGGCCACCATGACAAGCTCTACAGATGCATCTTCAATCTCCAAAGATGAATTGATTCTCATCTTTCGCACCGGACCGGTTATCTATGAGTATGGAGGTAGCAAAGTTGTTCGTGTGTCCGACACGCTTGTCCTCAAGGCCGGCAGAGGGATGACACCTGGCGAAGCCAAAACACAAGAATTTGCGTATGAGCAGGGGGTTCGCGTCCCTCAAGTACATCGAATACTCAAAGCCCCTCTTCCTGTTGGCTACGAGGACAGTGAAGAAGACTGCTGGTTGATGCTGATGGACTTCATACCCGGAGAGCTCCTTGAGCAGGCCTGGCCGTCACTGACCCAAGAACAACGGCTCGGCTTAACCAAAACCATCGCCCAGCTCATCCGGCGCCTACAGTCCGTAACTCTAAACGATTTACCGCCAGGGCCAGTCGGCGCCGATGACGATGACGTGTATCAGGGTCCCTACTTCACACACTATGGCGCGGGACCGTTCTCATCTGTTGCAGACATGGAGGCCTGGTAAAACCACAAACTCGATGTTTGTATCAACCTGAACCAGCTTGCTGCCGACTCCCCTCGGTTCAAGATGGAAAACTTGGTATTGACTCACCAGGATATTGTGCCCCGAAACATCATCATCGAGGAAGGGACTGGGGAACTGGTCCTCATTGATTGGGCGATGAGTGGGCTCTACCCGCCAGGTTTCGAACAGGCCGCGTTGGCAAGGCAAGGCCCGGGCAAGTGGGATGTGGAGTTTTGTGAGCTGGTTCTGGCGAACTTGCCAGAGGAAAGCTTAGCGCTGTTCGGACAGATGGGCAAGATCATGTATGCGCTTACCACCGGGGCGTTTCTGTGATCGTGGGATGTTTTCCGTCGTCTGGCATGGGAAGGACAAGATCCTTAAGCCTGGCCCTAGGACACAAGCTTGCAAGCCCTAGGACATAAACTCCGTCCTAGAACACAACCCGTCCCAGGATACAAGCTAGTCCCAGGACACAGCGGTCCTAGAACACAAGCCCAGTCCCGGGTCTGCATCTTTAGTGCCGTTGCCTGGGACTGACTGATGTCTAGAGGATGTCCAAATTCGGCGTAACGAAACCCAACAAAGTAGGCTCAGGCGAGGCTTAGGTACGGCTTAGGTGCGGCTTAGGTGCGGCTCAGCCGGGACTGGAGTTTGCTCAGGTCTGAAGACTAGAAAGAAATTTGAAAGGGTTCATATCTGATGTTGACTTTACTGGAAATTGGTGACATTGTTGCCTGCAGTAGTACTCCGTAGCTAGTTCATCAGATGTGGCCGCCAAGAAGCTGAAGCCGGTACTACTGTGATGCGCTAATTGGCACACTGTGACCAGGTAGCTCTGTGACTTGGCAATACAACACCGGACAATATTTCCAAGGCCACGCCATAGGGCTATCTCTGCTGTATCGTAGGAGATCAAGTAAAACAGGACAAATTGAATAGCAGGAGTGACGCTTCTGTTTCTATGTAATCTTAAGTACAGAATACTTCTCAGATGCTGTGGTACGGTTGTATGTTAAACTCCTTGCCTTATCTCCGGACCTTTGCTGTCGGCACATTGAATTCGGAGCGGATGTTGAAAGCCTGAGCGGGTTGAAGAGCACCCGGCGCCATTTCCCCTCACCTCGGCCTATCCAACACGACCCGCTCCAGAACATTAGAGACATCAAGCGCCAAGCACTTGGAATTCCTCTCTTTATTGTGGCAGCAACACAATTGTATGGTGGTACACACTTCTCAAAAGCTTGAAGCTGATCAGATTGTTGAAGTACATCTCTACCATGACGGATAAAGCCTCGACACCGAGACTGCCCAACCCAAGGCGAGTCATCACCGATACCAACCCGGACACCGGCCTAGCCGGCTTCAGCACCGCGCAGGACGAGAGTCTCGGCGTCACCAACGACCTCGGCGGCTCGCTCTTCCGCCTCGGCTACGTCGCCGACCGGGCGCCCCAGGCCCTCGACGGCGCCGACCTCGCCGCTTACGGCGACCACCTGCAGACCAAGCCGCCGCTCTTCAACCCGGGCGACGGCGCCACGGTCTGGTACGTCGACACGGCGCCGGGGGGCACGAGCCCGATGCACCGCACCGTCAGCCTCGACGTCGTGGTCCTGCTCGAGGGCGAGATCGAGCTGACGCTCGACTCGGGCGAGAAGCGCCTGCTGCGGCCGGGTGACATGACCGTCCAGCGGGCCACGATGCACGCATGGCGGAATCCGAGTGCGGACAAGTGGGCGCGCATGGTGGCCGTCATGGCGGAGAGCCAGCCGGTCAAGCTCAGTGATGGGAGGGAGTTGGGGACGCACTTCCCTCCGCGGGAGGGTAAGTAGTCTTTCAGCAAAACAGGCATATAGGCATGTAATTCAAAGGCCGAACTTCTAGGCTCTCTTCTTCTCGGAGGAAATGTTTCAATCGTTGTCCAAGAAAAGCCCGGGTTTCAGATCTAGATGTTTCACACAGGAACGGAAATGGTTAAAAGGGCATTCGGATGAGATTGACACCGGGTTGCCAGCGCACATACCCTTTCTCTTCGAAATAGCCGTGCCGGATTCCGAACTACCACCCCTGAATATCGATCTCGGCAATCGTACTCGTCTCAGACCCCGTACCCTGACCACCTTGCTCTATGTTGTCTGTGGCTCTATGATTGGGACGCCTGTTCCTTCCACATCGGTAGATTCTTTGACATGTTCCCGAGTCCACGGCGCTCAAGTGCAAAACTGGCTGGTCGTCATTGAGGTAAAGGTAAAATTACGACAACAGGGGCATGCACGGATTATTATCGTGTCTCATGTCGTCTCTCCGTCTGAACTTTGAGCTTGCATGAAACCCCAGACGGCTGTCATCCCGTGATGGTGTTACAGAGTTGGCGATCATCATGGACGACCCTGTCATGTCAGCAGGAGTGGTGATGGCTCCCCAGGAAAGCCCCTTGAATAAAAGCCACCATGGCGCACAGAATCGAAGAAAGAGGGATGTCCTCTGTAGCTCATCACGCGTCCTGCCACCAGTGTTATTACTTTCCCTGTCATTCCTTTAACAATGTATTCTTTCAACATGGCAGCTGTGCTGCCTCTTCTGTTAGCCCTCGCTGCAGCGCAGCAGATCGGCCAGATCCCCGAGGTGCACCCAAAACTACCGACGCAGTTCTGCACCAGATCGGGAGGCTGCGTCACCCGCCAGACCAAGCTCGTCACCGACGCCCTGTCGCGGCCCTTTCACGCCGTCGGAAACCCGTCCGTCAGCTGTGCCTCGGCGCGGGACAACAAGACGCTATGCCCGGACGTCGAGACGTGCACCAGGAACTGTGTGCTCGAGGGTGTCGACTACACCCAGCTCGGCGTGCTGACCAAAGGCAGCGCGGTCACGCTGCGGCAGTATCTCTTCGACGGCCAGGCTTACACGTCTGTCAGCCCTCGCCTGTATCTGCTGGCTGAGGACGACAAGAACTACGAGCTGCTCAAGCTGACCAACCAGGAGCTGACATACGATGTGGACCTGTCGCAGCTGGGCTGCGGCATGAACGGCGCGCTGTACCTGTCCGAGATGGAGGCTGACGGATCGAGGAGTGACCTGAACCCAGCTGGGGCCCAGTATGGAACGGTAGGAAGCGATGCATCTGTATCCAAGGAGCGATGCCGACTAACATATTTCTTAAAGGGATACTGCGATGCGCAATGCTACAACGTCACATGGATCAATGGCCTGGTCAGTGAACTCAAGCTCCGTAAGGGTCGGAACTTAGGACTAATACCCGTCATGCACAGCCGAACCTCAACAACTCGGGCTCCTGCTGCAACGAGATGGACATCTGGGAGGCCAACAGCCGTGCGACCGTTCTGACACCCCACACGTGCAACCAGCCGGGCTCGTTCCTGTGCGCCGGTGACGCATGCGGCCGCGGCGCGCCGGCCGTGTGCGACAAGTCCGGCTGCGGCATCAACCCCTACGCCACGGGCTCCAAGGACTTCTACGCGCCCGACCGCACCGCCAGCGTCGACACGAGCCGCCCCTTCACCGTCGTCACGCAGTTCATCACGGCTGACAACACCTCCGCAGCGCCCCTGACCGAGATCCGCCGCCTCTACGTGCAGGGCGGCCGGGTCATCGAGAACGCGCGCGTCCGGGTCGGCGGGCGGGACGCGCCGGGCGTGCTGACGCAGGACTTTTGCACCGAGCGCAACGCGTCCGACTTCAACCGGCTCGGCGGCGTCCGGGGCATGGGCGAGTCTCTGGCGCGGGGTATGGTGCTCATCTTCAGCATCTGGAACTCGGAGGGCGACTTCATGACCTGGCTTGACTCCAACAGCTCCGGCCCCTGCAACGCGACCGAGGGCAACCCGGCCCTCATCGTCAAGAACAACCCGGAGGTGTCGGTGACCTTTTCCAACATCAAGTGGGGAGAGATTGGCACGACGTTCAATGCGTCGAGTGGCAGCAGGGCAGAGGCAGCAGATCTGGTCAGCGCCATCAAGGCCGGGACGCAGAGCTCGGCCGCGGATCGGACGCTTTTGAGCAGCGCGTTGGTCGGCTTGGCGATTCTGTGGTTTGGCCTTGCATTGTCCTAGACTGGATGCGCCCCAACCAGGGTGGCGTGTAGTCTGGAGCTCCAGGGTTGGCTAAGGTGGCGTGCAGTGTACCGTATCCGAGGGGATGGGATATGAGCTCAACGTAACTAACAGACTCAATACCGTAAAAGCCCGATCGCATGACCAAAATCAGCTTGCGCCTGGGACCAAAAGCGGCCGTGTGAGCAAATACTGTACATAATTCAAGGATAATTCTGCGGGTGGCATGACTAAAGACGAGCCAGCAGCTGACCGAAGAAGATCGTCACAATTTCGAAAGTAGGAGTCAGCAGGTCTGTAATTTGTCATTTAGCAGTCTATGTTGCAGCGGAGGCAGTGCTGTGCCCGGACAGCCCCGACGCGACCCGTTCCCTGCCCGGGTGGCGCCGCATCAGACCACCCACATAAATATCCATGGATAGATGGGCATCAGCCAATGCTGTCACTCACTATCCACAAAATAGACTCATCAGCCAGCTCGCATTCAACCAGACATTATCGAAACCAAGAATAACAACAAACAGTTCACCAAAATGAACCGCGAAACTCCCCCACGACTATCCTCCTCATCATCACACCGGAGCCATGGCTTCGACCTGGGCGAGGACATCGACGCCATCATAGGCGTCACCGCAACTGCCTATGCCGGAGAGCAGGTTTACGAGGCGTCCAAGTCAAAGAAGCACCAGACCAGCCACCTCATAAAGGCGGGACTCAGCGGCCTGGTTGCGCTCGGTGCTTTCAAGATGTTTCGCCGCGAGCACAACGAGAAGCATCATCCTGCCAAGCAGACGCACCGCAACCAAGTGTCTGAGGTGGTACGGTACAGAGATGATCGCTAGACGGCCTAGCATGGAGAAAGCTCCCAGAAACATAACTCAACAAGACTCTTGGGTCGTCGCAGGCATCACCGCTCATGGGAACACAACGAGACGCATACAAGGCACACTAGCTTTGGTCAAGCAGCTTTCAGATAAAAAAATGTACCCGGATAAGGGTTAGAGCACACTTGCCAGCGTCAATGCCGTCGATATGGACTGCTCTGGCGCGTTGAACTATATGTTCATATAGGGTATCTGACAGCTGAGTCTTCACTTCGGAGGAATGCACCATTATTCCAATCACCGTATCGGACTGGTCTCTTTCGGATGGTCCGGTGTAATAGTATTCAACTTTATTACATCACAGCGAATAAAGGACTTGAAAGAGTACTGCTGGTGCAGATGGTGGAGCGAGTGCATTGAGGAGCAGACTGGAGAACCAAAGAATTCAACCAGAATCGCTGCCCAGTGCCAAGGAGTAGTGCCTAGGCGGCAACGGTTCCTGTAAAATAGCATTGAGGTAGACTATCCTCATGAGCATTTTGAGAGGCTTTTTCGAGCCCTCGTTCACGTGTCGACTTTTCAAGCATGATTGATTTAAGTTCAAGTGCCTTTTCTGTCCCCATTTGACCCTACAATCCACAACTTCCTGTACTAAATCAGCCTGGATCCGACAATCTCTCGATACTCCCCCAAGAAGAAGCACAGCGAACAACTGCTCGAGTCTCCATAGATCATGAGTCCACTACCACCGCCCTGCGCTCTTGCGCCGCCGTTGGCCGACCTTAGCCTGGCATCATCACATCTCCCTCCTTGCCACAACTCGATTGGACTCAACGCCTTACACTCTCCGTTTGCACGATTGTCAAACCATTTCCGGTTGCCGAAGAGAACAACTCCGGAATATATCGTGATTCCCAAGAGCTTCCCCGAAGAAGTCTCAGACGATTCATTGCCTTTCGACGCCGAAGGCACAAACCTCGCCGCTTATTGTATGAGCATCTGTGCCAAAGACCACCTCAACATCTCATTTGAAGAGGGACCCGGCAACTTCATCGTGTGCCCGCCATGCGATGCCTTCTTCACCGACCTGCATCGGTCTACGAAGGACAATACGCCTCTCGCCAAAGGGGGAAAGGAGGGAGATGCACCCCAGCGGTACCCGGTGCGCTCCAGGGCCAAAGTGGAGATCTACCGCGGTGCTACATCGGAGTACTGCCAGGAACGTTGTGCAACAGGCCTTCCTGTCCGAGAGGTCAAGCAAGCCTCGATCATCATCTGCCCGGCCTGCGATGAAGCCGTGGCTGCTTCCGAAACCTCCGACCTGGTGACCTCTGCACCCTCCGCCGCATTGCCGACAGCGACTACGCCGCCGTTCGACAAACCAGATGTCTCGCTCAGGGAGGTCATAACCACCCATCCGTGGTGCTACCAGGTGATATCGCTACTGCCAGCGGCCGAGACCAACGACGAGCGCGAACTGATCGAAACCGAGGTGGCCACGCTGTTCGAGGACTACGATGGGATCATCTCGTACAACCTCACGTGGCTGACGCACGCACCTGACAGAGAGATTGAGAACTCGGTCACCATGTCGGAGCGGTTCGTCATCGAGCACGCTTGCAGGATGTACATCGACAGCTGCATGGCTCAGTTCCCCCCACCGCTGGGTATGTCCGCGGCGATGTGTCTCAATGAAGGATTTGCGCACAACTCTAGGGCTAAGCTTACGTTCCAAGTCAGTGCTAGCGGGAAAGAATAATGGCAGGTAGATGCGATTATTAATAAGAGCACAAGCTTGGCCCATGCATACAGAACAAGATTGAGATCAAATAGTATTATAAAATGATGATAGGATATCCAGTTCTTCTCCATTAATCTGTCCAGGTACACAACTCAGTGCACTTTCTTATTAAGCCTGACCAGGCTGGTGTTTCTCATCGTAGATCTTCTTGTCCTTGTGCTGAGGTGCTGCCGTCTTGGTTGTGTACTTACGAGTATCGACAGAGGGGATGAACACGGCAGCGATGCACCCGAGAAGTCCAAAACCCAGAGCAACCTGGTACGACAGATGAGCACCCTCAAGATACGCCTTCTTGTTACCTAACACAGCGGCACCCTGGATATCTGGAGTAATGCCTCGGACAGCCTTGTAGGCCGCAGGGGTGCCGGCCTTTGCGGCAGCAATGAGTTCCATCAAGACGTCCGGGGCCAGGTTGAAGCTCGCTACCGCGCTGGTGATCTGTGCGGGAAGGGCCTCGGCATACTTGTTGTTGGTGACGTTGCTGAAGATGGCAGTGGCTATTGCTCCAGCTAGGAGGCGGGAGGTTCCAGCGAGACCGGCAGCAGTCCCAATATCCTCTTGGTAGATGATGCCGAAGCCGACGAGCACCATGCCGTTGAGGAGATTGACGCTGGTGCAGAAGGAGACAATGACGGTCAGGACCACAGCTTGAGCGCTGCTAGTGAGGGTGATAGTGGAAAGAGCGCCGACACAAGCGGTCTGTACCGCGACAGCACCGAAGACTTGCCACCTGCGAGTTGGTTAGTGTGGGCCAAGTCCAGGATTGGCATTGATTGTTACCAACAACTCACCTCTGATGACCTATCTTTTTGGACCAGGCAACAAAGAACCCTCCCAGCCTTTTTGTGTAATTAGTAAATAGCATTCTCTAGAGCCAAGAGCTTTATTTTTGCAGCTGAAAATAGAGGAGGGCTCTGGTACTCACACACTACCCAAGGGCAACACCTCTGCAAACAAACCCTTGGAGATCTCATCAGAAGCATACAGCATTTGGGAGAGACGAGTCCAAAGAGTGGCATTGGAGTAATATTGCATTCCTCCGATGGCTTCAGTCTTGAATTAGAGACATATCTTGTGTGATTTGAGGATCAGGGACTAAGCTTAGGAGGCTCTGGGCTGAGAAGGCAGGGAGAATGGGGACATACCCATGACAGCAATAGGTACAGTGAAGCTAAGGGCCGATCGTGTTAGAATCTCGTTTGATATCATGTCAGGACATTGATGAGGGCTTACTGTCGTACGGCTCTGAAAAGGCGTGGTGGGAAGAGGGCAGACGCCAGGTTGGCCCTAGTCTCGTAGAAACCCAGGCCTATGAGGGTCATGAAGCCTATGACGATTGGAGCAATGGCAGTAGCACTCTTCCAGGGGTACAGGCTACCGCCCCAGCTAAAACCGACGATAAACAGCGTGCAACCAGCGATGAAGAGGAAGAGCCCGACCCAGTCAAACTCCTTGGCTAGCTGGAGGCGTGTCTTTCCGTGCTCAGCTTGCTTGTCTTTAAAAGTCGGAGGATGGTAGAACAGAACGAGGAATAACAAGTTAATAGTCTGGAAACCGATCATGACGTAGTAGCAGATCCGCCAGTTGCCACTATACTTGATGATTACCCACGCAACAAGCGGCATGATCTGGGCGACGAACGAGGACGCGTCGAAGAGACCGATGGTCACCATGCGATATTTTGCTGGCACGATTTCCTATGTAGCGTATCTATCAGTCATATCTTTCGGAAGAGACACCAGAGGGAACATGGGATATCAACCCTACCTGAACAGCACCAAAGGCCATCTCGAGAAAACCTGACCCCGCTCCAAAGATCGCACCGCCGCCAATCATTTGGTTGATGCTCTGACCAGTAGCTGAAATGATGCTCCCGACAATGAGGAGTGCTGCTCCGGAAATAAAGAAGTAGCGGCGACCAAAGATATCACTCAAACGACCTCCCACCGTCACGAACATGGCTCCCCCAAGATTCCAAGAGATAGTGATCCAGGTGTATCGAGGGTCCGGCCCGAGCTCGGTGTTAATGAAACTCAGGATTGCTGGAGGAATCAACAGAGTGAATATGTATGCGTTATAGCACATGGCCATGGACTGTGAATTTGGATTCTTTTTAGCATGCGGGCTCTCAGGCAGCAGGTTAGATTCTCCGTTACGGACTTACTGTTGCTGCCATGAATGTACGCCAAGTCATGCCGATATCCTCACCAGTGGTCTGCAGATGTCGAACGATGGCCTCATTGACATCACTATCAGATGCGCTCGTGGGAATTCGCTCAATGCTGGCATTGGTGCTGGTGGTAGAGTCATCTTGGGCTCTATGGACCTGGCGAACGGCTGCTTTGTCTTGACTAGTCATGGTGATGCGATGGAAGTTGAGTGGAAGCGAGATCCCAAAGGCAAGAGTATTGGGTAAGGAGAAGTCCGAGGCAACCCCCGAACAACCCGTCAAAGGAAGCAGAAGATGAACCCTTTATAAGATAGATTGTTCAAACCAAGCCTGTTCATGGGACACCAGACTCTAGAGAAACAAGATAAGATCAGTGCGAGTCTTCGCATTTATATTATTATCTAGAACAGCATGGATAGGATACAGCTCACCCGGAGAGGGTCAGGACAAATCACGAGTAGCAGATTCGAGACCATTATCTGCTGGGCAAGGGCGCTTCCCCAAAAGTACGGCTCCACACTCCATGATATCTGTGGTCGATGGGCTGGGCTCAACGAAACGCGGAGGGCGCGGGGAAGGCTTCCGCCATGGCCCACTCAGATGGGGCTGGATCCGACTCTGTATGCGTATTCGGTGACAAGGTTACTATCAAGACGCATGCCCCTCAGTCAAAGTGGTGTTGGACGACCTATTTCATCCTGGTCGGAAAATGACTTCCATCATATCCTAGCTTCTGATGCCACCACCCATTTCCAGGGGTCTCGGATCCTTGGTGTTAGAATGATTACAATGAGCCAAGGGGGTGTCGGGTGTGTTACCCTCCAATGTAAAATATGCTTCTATCACACAACATTCTTGTACTCACGAACCGCCATCCGCCAGCGCTCAAACATGGTTTCCAGAACAGACGTGGTAAAGGCATGCGCCACCAAGGGAGAGCCCGACTAAGAGATGCGCTTCATACTTGATAGACGGCACAGTCACTAGGAACCCTAGTCCAATACCACCGGGTCTTTGGGTCACGAAATTGGATCACCACGGCTCGATGTTTTGATAGCTTCTGGTGTAACTCAAACTTCGCCCTGCCGGGACTTTCATCCGCTAATCAGGTGGTACAATGCCGGCCTACTTGTCCACTTAGATTAACTTCGCTGTGTAATACCCTACGATCTTGACTCTTACAATAAGGCGAGTCCGGTAGAGGGGACCTTGACTTGCTCGAGCCATGCCAACCTTGATGGAAAAGTGGCTTTTGCTTGTACGAGGCGGATATGTTTATCACACCTCGAGTGTTTCCTGCAGATATCACACTATGACTTGGTGCTGAGCTGCACCGGCCGCATCCCGATGATTCGACAATGCTGTTTGATGATGCACCACCCTCTGCACAGCCTGAGCGGTCTTCCTCACTACAGGGGCTATTTGATGAGCTAGATGATAAGCTTCCAGTTCTTCCCCTCTCGAATAGTGTCATTGAGAGGCCATCTCAAGTGCGGCCTACTCTCCAGACGTTTGATAAGAGACCCTAAGGCAGCTGCTATCAGCACCAGAAAGCGCCGCCGTCAGCTTTCTCCTGATTCTTCGTCTAGGCATGACAGTCATCTATCAGATCCATTTCGTTCCTCTCCGCAATGGATGTCAACTCCTGATGTTAGGTAAGGCAAGGACCTACATCCTGGACCCCAAAACACTAAAAATCGTGAGATTTCTCATGCCCAATGCTGCACCGTGGATAGGGTCATCTTTAGATTGGTTGGTGGATATCGCTGCCGGGTTGATGTGCATAAATGCGGGTGTAGGCAGCAGGCCAGATCCGGCGACCCCAGACCCAATGGCCACACTTTCGCCCACACCCGCAAGCCAGCGAAGCATACTAGGCTCACAATTCGACCAACTTCACAATGCCGACTGTCAAATGGCCACCGAAAGCATATTGGCGTGACTTTTAGCGCCGTGGCTTGGTGGCAACAGCGCCTCAGCCGCACCCTACCCGGCCCCCGCTATCCGTTAGGCAGATTGTACCACACACGAGCTGAACAAATGGTGGTGGTTTAAAATGTCAACAGATGGTCACAACATGCTTGCGGCCTTTTCTACATTTCCTAGTCGTCATGCTATGAACTGTCTGTGATCCAGTGTGGTGTTTGTGACGGATCTCGGTCATAATGGCCCTCATTCAGATCACGGGGCGCATGCCCGTTCTGCCACTGTCGCAACCGCCGAACTGCAACAAGTGTGGGAGTACCTGTGTGCGGGAGCCGCGAGGGCGCCGCTTCTGCTATTGCTGTGCTTGCTCTGGCAACACCACCACAAAGACGTGGAAGACATGGGATGACTTGCAGGGGGTCCACGAAGGCAACCCTGTCTGCGACTGCGGGTTTGTTGAGCCTCAACACCACATGGAGACGTGTCTAAAAACATTACACAGGTATTACTCGCGACAAGATACCAGACGGACCGGGCAGACTTTCGAGACATGTGCGATCGGGTCTTGCAGCATGACGAAACATCGAAAGATGCAGTCACCGCAACGCCAGAGGCAGGCCAGGTACACGCCGAAGACAAACGGAGCGACTTCGCCTCCACAGGGTTCAAGACAATCTATGTCACCGGGGTACCAAAGCTCCCAGCAGTCTCCCTCATACTACTCAAGTTCCAGGCGGCAAGCGGCCGTGGTGTTAGACTCGGTAGCAGTTGAGCCCGAGTTTCCATCCACCGTCCGGAAGCTCTTCACGTCAAAGGACAGCACAACTCAGCTTGAGCGGCCCAAACCAGCCGTCGACGAGGAGTTTGTGCGGCTGCTCGATCACCTGCTCCAGGCCGCTCAGACTACAAAGTTCCCAAGTGCCATCAGCTTGGATATGACCGATTTATCCAGGGCACTCGACGACATTGACCGAACGACGTCAGCCCCGCCACCTTTCAAGATCCGCTCCGAGACCGAGTTCGAGAAGCACTCCAAGGTTGGCGCTGCAGGTGAATTCTTCGTATGTAGCATTGCGGTCTCTCATTTTTAACTAGCTACGTAGCACGAGACGCTGACTTCCTGGCCAAGATCTTTTCGTTCTTTCATCGAATTCTAGGCGAACAACTCTATTTGTCTGACTGGCAAAGCAACATGCGGAATCTGATCAAGCAGCATGCGTCATACGAGCACTGGCCTGACTGGAACGGGGCTGAGACCTCGGACTTTGTCTTCCCCGACGACAAGGGTACGCTGACAGCCCGGCTGATTGAGCAAGGCTTCTTGGACAGACAGCAATGGGATGGCCAGAAGCCCGAGTACTACATCGAAGTTAAGTCTACGCTGAGCCAGAGAAACAGAGAGTTTTATATGAGTTCCAATCAGTATAAAAGAGTAGGGCGCCCCTGACACAACCTTCTGAGCTCTCGTGCAGTATTAGTTAGCTAACTAAATATCCACACACAGATGCAGGAAATGTCAAATCCACTGCCAAATACTTCGTTAAGAGCTCGTATTTACCTTATCGCTCGGGTGTCTAATATGCAAGAGAATAATGTGGATCTGCGCTTCTACGTGGACCCGGAAGCGCTGCGCAGTAGCAGTAAACTGCGTTTCAGACAGGTCTGGGTGGTGGAAGATGTAGAGGCGTAAGAGAGCATACGCTTATGTAGCAGGTGGCTTGTTCTCGATGATACTAGCGATAGCATGCGAGGCACATTTCCTTCCTTTTGATATAATTAGCGAATAGTTACATCTATTCAAGTTATGCCATATGCTTCTTGACACACAACACATACGTCCATCATCCCCGACATGCCGCTTCTCAATTCTCACCCCAATGGTCACATATAGCAGACCTTCCGGATCAAACTTGCCCTTGATCCGCAGCAGCTCAAGGGAATTGGCATCTTAGAAAGCCTCCTAAAAGTCCCTTTGCTGAAAGCTAGCCTCGCTCATGTAGTCCCTGGCCCCCGGGTCACTGCCTCAATAACGGCCAAATCTCCTCGTTGATGCGGTTCTGCCTTGCCATCATGTCGGCATATGGCTCCTCGAAGCTCCGGGGCAGCACTAGCGATGCATGAACAATGGAGCTACGCTGTTGGGGCAGGATACCGTCGTGGCCGCCGCCAAACGTGGAGACACTGATGTCTACCCCGATGAAGGTCACGCCCATCCCCTTAACTGCGGAAAGGCGGATTTTTCGTACCAAAGTGGCACCTTCAAGGATCTTGTCAAATCGGAAGCTCTGCAATGCCCGGAGTGGCAAATAAACCACTTCTATGTACAAGAGCTTGTTAACCCTGTAGATGATCTATTCAATGATCTACGTATTATCACCAACGAGGCCTTGAATCACAAGGATTAGCCAGGGTTTGGCCAGGGTCTTGTTGGGATCTGGCTGGGGTTCAGTGTTGATCTTTATGTAGATACCTGTACTTTGAGAGGTACTAAAAATCCGCCTTTCCGCAGTTAAGGGGATACCGATGAGCTTGCGCACCGTGGAGCCAAGGCGGGACAGCACGTCGCGAGGTACTTTGTCCAACAGCCTTGGACCCACTACACTCCGCTTGAGGCGGCTCCGTCCAAGCTCCACCCCGGTCCGGTCCGCTCTCGCTTGTGTTCAGACCAGCACCCGTGACACTCTGAGACCGCCTAAAAGATTGCCGGGTAAATAATTGGATTCATTTCTCAGTTAGACTTGAGCAATGAAGAGAAATGTTATAATGATTTGCTATACACAAAGGTCCTCATAACATGGCTGGCATGCATTGCAGAGGGATATCTAGCGAGAGGAGGAGTGCACAGTGATCCGTCGAAAAAAAAACAAAGGGATATCATCATCGCCTCGTGGCCACAAAAGAAAAGACAGACTTTAACCCCCGGGTCGGCCCCAACCGCTCGGCCACCCGCTCCGCTGCAGTATTAACAGGCGAACAGCTCACCACCGATACGTCGTGCCGAGGGCCCATCCGATCCCACAGCATACACAATCCCGCCTAAGCAGCGTACATCAAGAACCCAGACACGACCAAGAGCCACGTCCCGAGCATCTTAGCCGACACCTCGACCCGACCCGAGCCCGCGACGCGGTACCCCGAGATCCTGGGCTCGGTGCGGTTCATACCCGCCTGGCTGCCGCCAAAGGTGGCCCTGAAGTTGTCGATGGCGTGCTCGGGGCTCTTGTCGCCGTCGACGTAGTACCGCTGCGCTATCTCGCACCACAGGTAGCACCCCTGGGCGACGTGGACCTCGCTCGGCCAGCAGGTCGCGTTGAAGGCCGGCACGTCCTGCGGCGAGCGGCCGGGTGTCGCGGCGACGGTGAGGTTCGCGGGGATCTCGGGCAGTCCGGCCCAGTCGGGCATGGAGTTGGGTGGGCCGCAGCTGGGTCCGTCTCGACCGCGGAGGTACGTGACAGACATTATGTGTAGATTTTGGGAAAAGATTGTGCTTCGGTATTGAGCGTGCGGGGAGGTTTGCCGCTGTGTAGCGCAAGATTGTGGCCGTGTTTGTAGTTGTCTCGTCGATTTGAGGTGCTTCAGTATATCATGTAGGTATGAGAGAGAGATGATTGAAAGGGTTGAGTCGTTCAGGTGGGCTGACGCGACCTTATTATCCTCTGATCTCATTGTTGATCTTTGCCTGATTGTTTCATGGAGCGCCGTGCCTCACACTGCGCCTTGCTGTGCCGCAAACCCGATTTGCCTGTGTTCGGCGGACCCGAAAAGCACCACTGTGGGCCCGATAGGCCGAAGCATCGAGATGAGGTCAGTGAACCTTCAATCAAGCTGATATTCTAACCCCAGATTTTCAATGAGAAGATCCCCATGCACTGTCCCGGCCCTTGCAGGGGTAGCGCCAAGCTTTGATATTCACCAATCCGGCCAAGTGAGGGTCAGATTAGTTGACGGACTGCTAACAGAAGTACTTGTCTACCCATCAAGCCCATCGGATTTAGGTAGTGGGATAGCCCTTCTGAGTTCCAGGGCAAGGATGTGACAAGGATATTGATTGTTAAGATCGAGGTAGCTTCTGATGCACTTCCGTCAACTATTCAGACGCCCACTTGCCGGCTTTGAAGGGAGACCTCACACTGCTTTGCGCCCAACTGCCTGGCATGAGTTCAGTTCAAGCGATCACTTCCAAGCCGGACCCTATCCCTGGTTGGGTATGAAAAAGCTTAGTACTCAATTATTATCTGATCCTATCTGGATGTCTACACATATAGGCTGCTGATTGATTGGCATGGGTGAACCTGGCCTGTCCAATAACGACGACCAAGATCGGGTATAAAATATAAATCACTGGCTGGAAACCTTGGTTCCAGCGACATCTCCCTTGACTTCCTTCTCCTGCGGCGTGACGTCACCGGGCGTAGCAACGTGAGAGCGCCCTTCGCCCTGGATCATCGTCGTCCTGGCGTGGTGGCGGCCGGTGCCCTTCGTGATGTCCAGCCAGACAAACTTGACGGTCCGCACGAGCGTTCTCCGCCCCTCGAATACGGGGAACAGGCCGACGGCGAAGAGCGAGCAGAAGATCCAGATGATGCCGACGCTGACCCAGCCCGTGAAGAAGGGCTTGGAGAAGATGTAGCCGGAGCCAAACATGGGCATGGGCCACAGGACGAGGAAGGCAAGACTATGAGGCTTGTTAAGAGCAGATTCGAATGCAGAGAACACCCGGACCGATAGACTTACGTCATGACGACGGTGACCGTCTTGCTTATCTTGCCTGCGCGCATGAGCTTCTTCTGCTCCACCTCGAACTCGGCAACGGTCTCCTCGTGTCCGCCGGGTACCGTCTCGAGATCGACACCGGCAGTGGCAGCCAGCTCGTGGTCGTCGCCCTTGCGAATATCCATCATGGATTTCCAGTCGTACTTGTCGACGCCAAAGATGAGGGTGAAGATGGGGATAAACACGATGGGCGACAGCAGGGCGGCGACATTGCCAGCCAGCATGGGCTACAGGGTTGGTCAGTAATCTTCGCGGCGTATTATCGATTTACAGGTACATACGTTGTTGGAACCGGTGCACTCGATGCCGAGGTTTCCGCATTCCTTCTTTGCAGTTACGAGCCAGGCAATCAGGGCGACGATAAGGCCAAAGATGGGGGAAAGCGATGCCTGCGTTGCCCTCAATTAGTCACGGTTTTTGCACCCACCCGAACGGTGTCTACTCACAGCCCACTTGTTCTGGCCAGCCCATGTCAGCGCCAGCGTGGCCGGCAGCACAGCCGCCGAGATGATGACGCCCATCATGAGGTACAGGTAGCCCATGCTGATGCCGGCGTACCAGAGGCCGACGGAGAAGGACGCGATGAAGAGCGCGTAGGCCACGATGATGAAGTGGCTCATCCAGATGAGGCGGCGGCCCGAGGCGTCGGGCTTGACGTACGTGCGGTACAGGTCGTAGGTGAAGATGGACGAGACGGCGATGAGCTCGGAGGAGGTCGCCGAGGTGACGGCCATGAAGACGATCAGGAGAGTAGCCACGGCGCCGCCCTTACCGAGCAGGGCCACGGCCGCGTAGGGCAGGACCAGGCCGGCGCTGACATCGGCATCCGACATGCGGTCCGGGTAGGTGGGGAAGCGCGGGTTGGACTCGAGCGCGAGGGCCGAGAGACCCATGGTCGTGGCCGTGAGCCAGGGGATGGCGAACCAACTAAGACCTCCGAGGATGTAGCCGGGCAGGGCATGGACTGGGGAGGCGGCAATGGCCTTGTTGTAGTAGCCGTTGTCGAGGAATACGGTGCCGAAGTTACCGACTGTACGTCTAAGTTAGCAAACTATCAGATATTCAGTGCACTCGGAGAGAGAGTGTATTTACCGATCTGCATAGTGCGTTAGCGTCGAATGTCTACTCATACTTGCTCCGGGGAAAGTGGTGCAAGACTTACGTTAATGACGAAGAAGATAGCACCCTCCTTTGAGCGCATCGTGAGGTAGCTGCCATCCTTGTTACCCTCAACGGGATGCATCCCAGCGGCCTCTACAAGTAGGTCGTACACAGCGGATGGGGAACCAAGGACGTCAGAGCTGGCGTAAGCCGTCAGGGCGAAGATGATGATAATGATGAGGAGAATCAGCGTGTGGATCCAGTCTGTCAGGAAGGTAGCCTTGAGACCACCAACAACAGTGTAGGCCACGACAAAGGTCGGGAGAAGGTAGATCGCCGCAATGGTGTGCACTCCGGTCAAAGCATGGACAGTCGAGCTTCCGCCGACGATCAACATGAGCGATACAAGGATGTTGGTCGCGAGGCCAAAGACGGAGAACACGATATGCGCGACGGTGCCATATCGGGCGCGAATGACTTCCAGGAAGGTATGCGCATTCGGGGCCCGTCTCTTGAGTTCGATAGCCAGGGTCGCAAAGAGCAGGATCTGCACGGTGGCTCCGGAGGCGTACCAGAAGGGGCCTGGTCGCATAGTCGCGCGGGTCAGTACTCACTTGACTTGGCCGGCAAATACATTGATGCTACGCCAGACTTACCAGAGACACCATAGCGGTAGCAGACACCAGTAGACTGTAGTAGCGTAGCCGCCCAGGTCCATGATGAGACGACGGCCGAGCCAACCAGGCCCGACTTGACTGTCCGGCCGGCAGTGTTGAACATCTCGGACGTTTGCAATTCAGAGTTGTAGCGCTTGAGTATGAATGTGATACAGATCATACCTATGAGTATGGAACATCAGCTATGTTTCACTGTGTGACGCCCATTTCTCCCAAGTCAATGGCTTACCCAGCGCAAAGGCGATTCCCAAACCGACGAGGATGCCATAGCCGACCCCCTGGCCGAGGGCTGCGGTGCTCATTGTCGTTGGATGGTGTATTCAGAAATGGGAACTATGCTATAGAGGTCTGACACAACAACGAGGTTTCAGAGCCACCCAACGATGGTGATTGCAAGGATCGAGCGGTGTTTGAAATGAGCAATGTGCTACCGAGGAGTTGCGAATGGAAGCATATTATTTATTAAATAGAATCATCGTACAGCGCATGCGAGAGCCATGTGCATGTCGGTGACATGGACTACGGTAACGAATCACAAGCCGGCCTGGACCAAGGGAGTCTTATCGGAGCAGGCAATGCCAATGATACATAAGACAGGCTATCGGGACGCTCCGGGAGCAAGCCTCCCCCACAGAGGCTTGAGGGCACGCGGACTTGGCACGGATGTGTTCTGCTCGTTGTTCTCTGATGGATCAAGATTAACTTTGAATAGTAAGAGGAATTAGGTCATTGCTCTGGACACGCGCCTTCACCTGGCACAGATGGCAATGCCCGGGGACTGATAAGACCCCAGGCGGGGTGGCAGATCCGTCGGCGCTAGTTCGTACGAGTTTGACATGATTCCGCGGAGAGACGAGATAAGAGGGCAGCTCGCTTGTGATAAGGCCAGTGAGAGAGACGACGGCCACACGACACCTGGCTGGCTCTGGCCTGTTCTTCTGCCCCAGGCTCAGGCTCGGCAGTAGTTTAGCATGGCGTGAACGGTTTAGGGCCATAGATAAGCATTTAAGGGCTGCCGACGGCGCAGTGGGTCCTGTGGGTTGACAGGTCGAAGGGAAAAGCTTGAGCATGTGAGTGTGGTGAGTTTGGTGAGGGCGTAGGGCAGGCTTAGGACAGGTTTCTGAGAGGCTTTTGAGGGCTGGAGATAAGAAAAAGCATTACACAACCACCGTGCGGATCTGATATCTAGCGGATCGTCACAGCTTCGAAAGCTACGGCTCTTGTCCAATGAGACTGTTCGAATTGGCAGAGATAACAAGTGCAAAGTGGGGGTTTTCCAAACCAATAGGAACGCCGTCGCGTGAGCGACGTGTTTGACAGTTCTGAAACTCTGCTATTACATAAAGCAGTCGATATGACACTAACAACTCGTAGTAGGAATTCCATCAGTTCCTGGTAGAAAGATATCACTCACAGAACTTCAGCTCAGAATGTTTATTCCCATGTCGATTTCCTTGTTTCTAATTTAAGGATCAATTCTTTCGGACCCATCTTGAATGAATAATCAGTATTATGTCACTCAGGCAAAGTTCATAGCAGGTAATACAGGTCCGAGACACGGTTTTTATTCTCAAGATCAGCTTAACGACGAGAAGTCGTAAGCGGGCGGGATGATTCACTTCAACTCATCAGCACAAACATGCGCAACTGGTGGAAAATCCACCAGCGAGCTGTCAGCTTCCACGCGCACAATTGCCGACTTGTGTTGCCGGCGTTTTTAACAGGTTCAACAAGCGAGTGAGACGTTTTGTAACACGCCTTTTTCTCTTTTCTAGAAACAACCACATGTTCCACGTCGCATCGAGGCGATTGAGCGCCTTCACTCAGCGCCTGCATATGCACCTGCAGCTCGCCTCAGCTGGCCCGCCGCCTCTCCCAAATCTCTGTCTCAAAGTGCATCCCGGTCTGACCCGGGACTCTGGATATCAAGATCGGCCAGCTCCGTGTCATTGTGGGGGTGACCAATGCGCACTCTTGGCAACGGCCAATGAGTACCAGAATGGGTCATCTTCTTCGAATGTTCGCCGCTATGTGGGCTTTTGCGCAGTGCGTGCAGCAGGCCATACGGCGGCGGCGGCGGCGGCAATTGGAGAAGAGAAGTGTCATTCTTTCGGTGATGACTCAACCATTCTATGATTGGTACAACTGGTGCAACCCTCGCAACGTGAATGCATTATACATAGCACGTGCCTTGACAAAGCAGCACTAGCAGGGGATGACTACTTCAGTCTCCAACGAATATATCACATCAGCAACCCAAGTCTCGATATTGCCTGTTCCGTAAGGCATATACATGATTGACAGGGGTACTGTGACGTCACAGCGATCCGTAGGGCTGAATAAGCCAGAGCTATCGTATCCTCAAACGAAACAACTTTGTGGCCTCGGGGTCTAGTCGATTTGACAGATCCCTATATGCGAGACGGTGTTGCCGGTAACCCAATGGGGGGACGGGGGATTTGTCACAAGACGACCAGAAGGTCTCCTCCACCTCAGCAATGACATGCACCTAACCAGGCAGCGACCAAAAAGGACACACCAGAGGTGCTCGATGACATCGAGAGACTGGAAAAATGAAAACCGAGTGAAAACAGGTCATATAATGTATCACACAAAGCCCGTCAGAAGAAAAATGCCTCGTATTTGTCTGTTCTAGTTGACACGCGTCTAAATAGAACCATATATCAGTTGACATATAGGTGGGTGTGTGTGGCATATGTTCACGCTAACAGTTGCCCACCCTACTGTTCAGCCCTATGAGCCAACATGGGGTCAAAAGCGACGAACCAGAAGTCAAAGGAAAACAAAGCCATTAGGTACAAGTCCCAGCCCAGTGGTCTGACATGCTCCCCGAGAGTCCCCGCCCAGCGAACTCCAACGGACAGCGCGGCCGTTCGGATCTTATGCGAATGGGCTTAGCCTACGTACCCCGTTCGTCCTCCCTACCCCCCAGATGCCGCTTATGGTCTTGGAGTAACTGAGGCTCAGCGGCGACAAACGGGGTGAGGTATGACGACTCAGCTGCACCAACGCACTCCGTGCCTCAGAGTAAGCGAAGCCTACCAAATCGCGAGCCACCCCCCGGGACCGCGCCCATCGCCATCATCGCCAGTTGGGCCCCCCTCCCCACATACATACAAAAACCCATCCCCATCCGGAGCTAGTCCCGGTTGCTTTCGGTGGGGCGGAGTCGAGCACGCACAACCTAACGGCCGATGATTGCGGGCCGACCGTTAAAGCCACCAGTCACTTGAGTTGTTGCCCTGATAGTTCATCAATCCGGGCTTGGCCTATGAGGGGCGCGCCAGCTGACGCTCTTCATGCATTTGCCTTTCCGTGCTACCTACCGAAGAGACCGGGGCGCTGCAATACGAACAGCCTGGAACCCTCTCGTCTAGACTCCGCCGCTTCCGTACCTCACTCCGACGATGAGGGCTCCTGTCCCTCCTTCGCCCCTTCGCGGCTTCGCGGAAAGTGGCGCATGGTAGAAAGGCTATGAGTAAGATCTATCGGTGTATATCCAGTGATGCCCTTGGGGGTGAATTAAAACAATTCGTTGTTTAATAAATCTGAGCCTCTTATCGAGTATAAGTATATAAGGGAACCGTGAAGGTGTAGGAGATATCTAATCAGTAGCATATCCGAGTCTCTGGTATATTAGCACCATCCTCAAAAGAGAATATCTATCACAGGCCCTCCATAGCCTCATCCAACAAAGTCAAAGAACGAGTCCTCAAGATGCGCCTATCAGAGTTCGGTCGAAGCATTCGCCTCGGTGGCGTTACAGTTCACGAGCTGCAGAAGGTCATCGAATTGGACTCCAGCGCCTCAAGGCCATCCCATGACGACACCAGCACATCAGTCCCATGCGAGGCCATCAAGCCAATAGAACGACAGATGGTCATCATCGTACCCTGTAAGAACGAGCCCATCCACGTCATCGAGGGTGTGCTGTCCGGCATCCCCAGCGGCTGCCTCATCGTCTTGGTGTCCAACAGCGACAGAGATCCGGAGGATCTATACGAGCAGGAGGTACAAGCTCTCCGCGACTTCTGCGCCACGGCCCACCGGCCGGCTCTGGCAATACACCAGCGCGACCCAGGTGTCGCCGCTGCCTTTTCGGCCGCCGGCATGCCGCATATAGTCGACAAGGTCGACGGCCTGGTGTACAACGGCAAGGGAGAGGCGATGCTCATGGGCATGTCGCTTGCGGCGCTTACCGGGCGGCGTTTCGTGGGATTCGTAGACGCCGACAACTACGTCCCCGGCTCGGTCCACGAGTACTGCCGGGTATATGCCGCCGGCTTACACCTCGCCACATCCTGCGGCAGCAGGCTGGCCTCGGAGGAGGCGATGGTGCGCATCTCGTGGGCGTCCAAGCCCAAGCTCCGTGACGGCAAGATCCGCTTCGACCGACGGGGCCGCTGCTCTCGCATCACAAACGAGTGGTTCAACAAGTTCCTGGCGTACAACGTCGGGTATTCCTCGTCGGCGCCGGGAATCATCGCCACGGGCAACGCCGGCGAGCACGCCATGACTATCGGTCTCGGCCTCAAGCTCAGGTTCGCGCGGGGCTATGCCGTCGAGCCCTTCCAGTTCGTGGACATGTTTGAGCGCTTCGGCGGCAACTCTGACCGGAGGTCGGGGAGGATATCCCGGACCGTCAGCAACGGAGGCGGCTCACAGGTTCGCGTTCTGCAGATCGAGACGCGCAATCCGCATTTCCACGACGACAAGGGCGAAGAGCACGTGCAAAAGATGTGGACGCAGGCCCTGGACGTGCTTTACCACTCCTCATTGACGCCGCGATCTCTTCGCGATGCCATGGGCCAGTTCATGGTCGAGCACGGTGCCCTCAAGCCCGGGCAAGAACCAGCTCGCGAGAGGGTATACCCGCCAGTAGGCACTCTTGACTTTGCTACTCTCTACCAGACTCTTTGTGAGAAGGCAAAGACCTTTCAAGTCGTTGAGAACTGATTTCCTCGTCCTTGCGGGAGGCGCTTCCTGGTGAAGAGTCTCCCGTTCCTGCTCACCGAGATTGAACAGCGGCAAATTTTCAAAGCCGCATTTCTCTTTCCTGTACTAACAGAATTCTTTTTGTCATTTATAGCATATGTTAAGATCGCGTTGCGCAAGCAAAGTACGGACTGGGCAGCCTGTACCTTAGCATTTTGTGGTGGTGTTGGTGCATTTGCTTTCATGTGGGTGGCAAACTGCTTCCGCTCACATTATCACCTTATTTGTTTGTCGCTCATTCCATTCTCAGGTTTACAGAATGTTATCATCCTTATGAGAGTTCAATTTGACCAGGATATGTGAACTTCTTCTTATAAATGTCACATCCAAAAGTTCCCCTCGCTAATTTCCTTTCTTGTGCATACGGGTGAGGCATTCGCCAATTTCTGTGAGCAAAGCTGCGAGGTCTTCTTGGGTTGTATCGCATTCTCGCTCGATGATCTATCTGCCTTGCATTCTGATCTCTCGGCTCAAACGAAGCCTTGAAGGCAAGCGGTCTCATGACCAGACCATCCGTCGAGTTCAGTGCCTCAACAACCGTCTCTTCCATCTGCTCGTCGAGGCCGGCCTTGACCTTGAATGCCCACAACACCCGCGCCATTGAGATCCACAGGATGTTTCGCGCAAAATGCCTGCCAGGGCAGGTACGCCTCCCGTAGCCAAATCCGACAACCGGGAGGTCCCTGATTTGGCCGGTCTCGGCCGTGTCTGGAGCGACCCAGCGCTCTGGCATAAAGTCCTCTACGTCCGGCCCAAAGACAGCCTCTTCGCGTGTGATAGCCCAGTGGTTGGCTATGACAATGGAGCCAGCAGGGATCCTGTATCCTTCGTACGTGCTCTCCACCTTGGTGAAGTGAGGAACGCCACCTGCGCCGACCGGGCGCCATCTCATCATCTCCTCCAGAATGGCGGTTATGTACCACAGCTTCTGCTTGTCGTCGAAAGAGGGCAGTCTGTCCCGGCCAACAACCTCGTCCAGTTGTCTCTGTGCCTTGGCAACAAAGCCCCTGTCTTGAGTAATGCAGGCAATCACAAACCACATCATCGTTTCAACGGTACCGTCTAGAGCGGCCAACACTAGGGTTCCGAACTCAGCCGCAAGTTCGTCATACGGTAGAGGGAGCTGTTCGTCGTGAATCGTCTTATGCAGTTGCTTTGAGAATGTCCAGCCGGGCTCCTTGAGACCCCTGTCCAGACTTCTGATGTGCATCTCTCGTCTGCGCTGGAAGTGAGACTCTGCCATTTTCTTCCATGGCGCCATTGGGCCGGGTAGGATATTCAATGCAGGGAAGGTGTCGACCAGAAACCTGCCTACCTGGACAAACTCGGAGAACTCGTCGTTCAGGTGCGTGGCACCAAGGAGATCAGGATCCTCGGCATTCATAATGCGGTGGCCGTAGAACAAAGCAAAGATCGTGCTGGCTGTTGATCGCTCAAAGTAGTTGTGCACATCCGCCCCCTTGCCAGATGCGTTCTTCAAAAGGTCAAAGAGGAGTTGCTTCGACTCCAGGGCCTGGATAACACGATACTTTGCCGACACACCCTGGTTGAGAACCGTATTTTCGAGTCTCTGACGGAGTCTGAAACGCTCATGATAGTCCATGAGGAGCACATTGAGGTTCTTCAATGCCAGCTCCTGGGCCACCTATTTGCAATTCACGTTACATTAGCTGCTATTCCTCCTGTAATATAAACGCGGCGACGGTTACGTACAAACATCTTGGGGCGGTCCGAGAATGTGGCGCCGCGCTTCGACAGAAGTTCGTGGGCCGCCCGCGATGTGGACAGTACAATGAGTGGCTGTCCAAGCATATTCATGTAGAATATCGGACCGTATTCTCTGCCCCATTTGGTGAACTGAAACCAGGCATGGGACTTGGGTGCTTGATGGGCGTTGCCAATGAGTGGAAGTGGTTTAGGCCCTGGCGGCAGAGGCAATGACGAGCTCGGCACAAGTTGCCGGACGGCATATAGGCAAACAAACGCAATGATTGCTGCGACAAGAGCAGACGTGATGAATGACATCGTGGCAGATGGTTGAAGTCAGTCAAACTATGGGCTGTCGAGAGTTTCACTGGTCAGCTTTGGTAACCAGGAGGACTAGATGATATGTTTTATATATTTGGTTCAGTTGATCTACAAGGAAGAGTCATGAGCTGCCACAGAGTTGATATCACTGGAATTCCCGAGATGTTGACTGGCCATTAATGTCTGGGCATCATCTCGGGTTGATCGCGATGCCCCGTCAGCACTAGATAATAGATATGATCCAGTTAGGAAAAGCAAGTAAGAAACAAAAGAAGCAAACTTTTAGCGATAGTCTAAGCAATACACTCGGTGAGCTGTGGGTAAGGTCAATCCACTGCACGCTTACAATCCTGGTTATTCGAGTCTGAAGTGGTAAAGTCATTGAAAGCTTGCAGAGATACGAAATACGACTGCCAAGCTACGGCAGGAGAGACTGGCGCAGACGCAGGCCCGAGATCAGCGTCGTAATCCTAACCCCACATCATCCAACCCGATTTTCGGACACCCCGCCATCATGCCCACGCACTTGGATCAAGTGATGGATTGACAGCTCAACAATCACGCCGGACTGTTCCGCCTGTCCAAAGCGCATTTGCAGACAGGGCTCGGCCAAGGTGTACCGCCAAGATGCCGGCATGCGCCCAGCTCTCGACGGAGCTGTGGCTCGAAATCGTCCGTTATGTCTGGGATCCTCCCCCAGTGTCGAGCAGCCCTTGGGAGTGCGACGCATCGAACAAGTGGTACATTGTCGAGGCGTATCAGAGATATGAACACCACCAGTCAGGCCGCCAGGATCTAGTGCGACTATCCCTCGTCTCCCGCCGGCTGGCTGCCATAGCCAGGAGTCACCTGTGGCACTTCGTGGCCCTCACCACGGGCAAGTCTATCAGTGACTTGAGCGACACGCTGGGCAGGTGGCCGGATCTTGGGCATTACATCCGCCACCTGTATTGTCTCGAAGATCTCCAGGGTACGTCGCCGGATAGGGACGAGCACAAGGAGCCTATTGGCGCTTACAGCCCCGACTTCATACCGCCCGAAGACAAGTTGATCATGGAAAAGTGCTTCAACACTATCCTCTCGTTTACGCCGAACCTGGAGACACTGATGTTCCTGTTTCCCGACAGTGAAACATTTCTTGAGTGTACACTACCGGTGCTGTGGAAAGGCGTGCTGAAACGCCCCGTCTTTGACCACACGTGGACAGAGGTCGAAGATGACGACCGCACTTATCCGAGTTTCTCCAAGCTCAAGACCCTCCAAGTCTGCCGCGATGTCCACGAGCAGAATTACCGCGACAGCTACCGGCACGGCGTATTCGCGTGCAACATCGTCCCCCTCTTGCACAAGCTGCCGCACTTGCAGACCCTCGAAGTCCTCGCCGACGACGGTTCCATCTGGTTCCAACATCTCAACGAAGCGGGGGCCCAGGCCCTCGGACCGCCAGCGGCGCCAGCCCTCTATCTCCTCGAGTTCCCAACTCTGCTCCACGTTCGCCTTCTCCATACCTGCTCTATCGAAACCCACATCTCTCAACTGTGCTGGGCCTGCGTCAACCTCGAGACCTTGGTCATTTACTTCGAAGATGCTTTCCCCCCAGAAATGGACAATGCCCAAAGTCAAGATCCAGAGGTCAATCAAGAAAGCCGCCCACCGTCCCTCGTCAAGGCCATCGCCGCTCGCTCAAACACCCTGCAGCACCTTGAGATCATCTCTCCGCCATGTGGGAACTTCCTGTCGCGCACACACAATGAGGAAAGACGGCTGAGCTGCCTCCCGCAAATGACCCGTCTGAAGCACCTGACCCTCGACTGGCGGGGCCTCTTTGGCCCATACGACACGATCGACGCCGCGGTCGCCGAGCTCGGCGGGCTGGACGGCTTGCTCCCGCCGCGGCTGGAGAGCTTCGACCTCGTGTGCTACTGGAACGACATCCTTGCCCACGACGAGAACCCCGACGTCCAGAGGAAAGAGGTCGACACCACGATCACCTTGCTCAGGCAGCTGCACGAGCAGCAGCGCGTGGGCGCGCGCGACGCCGCCGCTTCGAAGCGGCCGCTGCGGCGGGTGCGCTTGTCCACGGCGCGCGAGAACTACAACCCCCTACCTGAGATCGCGGCAGCGGGGATGCCGGAAGAGGGCGAGGCCGAGGCCTGGTTCGCGCCGGAGTGGGAGTTTGGCTGGTTCAGCGTGCCGGAGCGGTTCGACGCGGCTGCGCTGAACATTAGTGACACGGCGAGTGAGAGTGGCAGGACCCAGAGGAGGCTAGCGATGACTCAGTGATCACGGTTGACAATTGCAGACAGGCTCGGTCACTGATTCTGGACGAAATGCCGCAAAATTGAAGTCATATTTCTCATCTCCAACGGGAAATGTGCTATGCTGCCATTTGTGAAAAACTAACTCCAACATCTCCACTCTACATCCTACAGACCGCAGAAACCAAAGACGAAACAACCCTTGTATCACGAAAGGAAAACACCGCACATCGTCTACACGTCACCCATCTAGGCGTGGCCGACGAGGCCTGCCTTGGGCGCGCCATCAGGGTTGATGTCGGCGCCGGCGAAGCCGAGAGCCGAGTTCCACGCGTTGGCGACGCTGGCGTCCTTCTTGCCGCTGGCCGTGACCTGGGCCTCGGCCTTTGTGGCGGCGTCCTTGGCGGCCTGGTTGGCGCCGCAGACGTTGGTCAGCTGGTCCTTGATGCGGCGGGCGATGATGGCCGGGTTCAGCGCCTCCTGCTGGCCCTTGTTGACGAGCGGGTCGACGGCCTGGAAGGTGAACTCGGTGTCCTTGCGGCCGTTGAGCCCGGGCTCGAACTTCATGGTCGGCACGCACTTGCCAAAGTCGAGGCCGGCGATGCTCGAGGCGACGAAGCCCGGAAAATTTCCGGTCACGGCGTTGGTCACTGCGCCGGTGCCAGCAGCATTGCCGCCTGTTTTTCCAGAATTGGCATTGCCAGTATTGTTTTTGGCTGCGTTACCAGCGTTTCCTCCGCACGTTACGGGGACCGCCTGCTTGCCGCCTGCATTCTGCTGACCGCCAGTATTCTGCTTGCCGCCTGCATTGGCATTGCCGCCTGCCTTGGCACCGTCCGAGCCAACAGAAGTGAAATTGGAAAAGCCGTTTGCCTTCATCACGTCCGCGACGCTCATGCCGTTTGCAGCGAAGGGCGTTGTCTTGGACTTTTCGGCGTTTGCGTTCTCGACGGCTGAGCCGACGACGGCCGGGTCGACGAGCGGGACGACGCCGCGCAGCTGGGCGGTGGCGGGCAGGGAGGCGTCGGAGCAGATGTTGGGCACGCTCACGGCGAAGGGGTTGAAGTTCTGCTCGGCCGCGACGAGCCCGCGAGCGGCGGCGATGGCTCGGTCGCTAGTGCCGAGGGCTGCGACGATGGCGTCGGCCTGCTTCAGCTTGGCGCAGGGGTTGGCGGCGGCGAGCAGGAACTGGATGGAGGCGCCGGCCAGGGTGGCGGCCTGGCCCGGGTTGCCGAGGTCGGAGAGGGCGCTGATGGCCTGGATGGCGCCGTTGCCCTGCTCCTGGCCGAAGCGGGCCTCGACGGCGACCGAGGCCGCGAGGAGGAGGGTGGAGGTACGCATGTACATCTTTGCTTGTCTTGGTTGATTTCTTAGACGGTGGGGTGGGAAAAGAGAGAGCTTTGTCCTGTGAGCCTAAAAGAGAATGAAGGAGAGGCCGTTGTGGTATCGAGAAGAGAAATGGTTGATTTCAAGGTACAGATAAAAACGGGCAGTTCACAGAACTGGTAAAGAACGAAAGTGCAAAAGACTGAATGTCAAGAAACAGACAAGCGGAAGAATGAATGAAGCGGATGAGGAACGAAGGAGGGAAGACGTCACCAAGAGGCGGGAGGGGGCACATGTATTTATCTTGGGAGGCGCTGGGGTAGGTAGCTACGTCCGACCATGCCGAGCCCAGATCAGGCCCCTACCCAGGATACGGTCGCAGTTCGGCTCCTTCCCGCAATAGGCTCGTGGTGACGATGGGGCCACGATCCCTGGGCGAGGGCTCCTGGTCTCATCGCTCGAGGTCGGTCTTGGTGTTGAAACTGGCCGGTGCGTTTTGGAGGGACCGGGGTCGAAGCTCAATCCTCCATGTGGGTGGGTGCGTGGCGGCGACGCTAACCGCTGTCGCCCATGTCATCATCGTGAAGTAGCCTCAACTGCGTGCATGGGCAAGGCCATCGGATTGGGCGCAGGAATGAAAACCACTGCGCCTTTGCCTGGACCGCAGATTGCTGCTCTCTGGTAGCATGGTTTATGATCGCTGCGAATCCTGACCGGGCATCAAGCATAACGATAGAGCGAGGCGGAGTCGTCTCCATGAACATGAGCAATGATCCACGCCCCATTTACCAAAACACCAGACATCAGACCAAAAAGATCAGCCAGGGCCAACCCAGTGCCTGGAGCGTATCACCAGCGCATCCCAGGCACGACATGGCGGGTCTTGAATCGACAGCAGGGAATGTGAAACCCTAAATGATGGAGATCATTGAGGTAGGATTGCCCATCTGATGTTGTTCCTCACTGCGACCAGGGTCCGTGGTGATGCGGGGCAAGGGGCTCAAGGGGCTGAAGCTGAGACCGAACAGGCCTGGACGGTCTCGACCACCTCAACCTGGTTAGCTCGCTGGAGATTCATGCCCTGACGCTTCGAAATTGGGCCAGCCAGGTGCCCGGCGGCTCGGGAACTAGTGCCTGACATCCGTCAAAAGTTAGACTAGCCCAGGAACGTGCCCGCGGCCTTGTTCAAGATCGTTGCCGAATCTGAATCTTCACTAAGAAGGCTTGCCCCCACTCGTCCACGCGAAATGAGCGCCCTCGATGCGAGCGCAGCCGGGCGAGTAGTGAAACCTTTCTTCAACCTCCTACTCCATACTTGGTACGAATACCTACGGGCCAGTCCAATACAGTAGCCAGCACCGAAAGAGCGGCTCCATATAGGCCAGCATGTCCGGGCATTGGCGGAGCCTCCCAGGGGTAATACCTGCTCAGAGCGTAACTTTACCCGATCTCCATCCTCCTCGACTTGGACAAAGATCTGCATCACCATCCCTTGTGGGTATCAGGGTCACCAGGTACAGAATTTGCAGAGGGCAGCTGTCGCCAAGTATCGGCTGGAGCCGAACAAAATGTCGCATTGGGAGATCGGATCACATCCCATCTGAGTGTGTCAATAAGGAGATCCTGGAGGCTTGCTCCACTCATCAAGAGCTGATACTTGTTCTCATTGCGCCGATATCATTAAAGGTCTTCTCCTTGTTTTAATGTTGAAAGGAGACATCGGGCCGTAGGCTGTGTTGTCGATTCTCGGCCGAACTTGCACAAACCTTTATCTTCAAGAACCCTCAGGTGAGAATGTTTGACGAGACAGGTTTTGTCTCAATCCATGTGCTTGTCAAGGATTCAGAGGGTTATGATTACCCACCGTGCGCACCACATCAGACGCTTTTCCCATTCATGTGTTTCACGAATTTCTAGGGCGACAGTTGAATAACAGATGGGCCCTTGATCTCTCACCCTCATCATGATTTCATCATGTCGCCATCTCGTTATTGAGAACAGGATGGTTCAACAAGGTTGAGTACTATACTCTATCATACTCTATATGTCTAGATGAGCTCCGTTCAGATGCATACGTGTCACTCAACCATATTTCAAAATAACCCTACAAAACATCCATCCATAATGTTGCTCTCCAATATGCCAGTCTGCACTCACGATCAATAATGACACTTGCACATGCAGGTCCCATAAGACGGTGCATTTCCAGTATGCTTGCACTACACCAAGTGTTTGGTTAGCCCGCTCAAACAAGTCAAAGCAACATTAATCGTGGCGTCACGGTATCGGAAAGAAACATAGGACCAACATAGGAGGCACTGCAGTCGAGGTAGACGCTGCCATCCCTGCAAGAGATGTAGCAAGAGTCGGTAGTAGTGAGCAGGATATGGCTGCGGCAGCGGCTCCTTCTGGCTCAGCGGCTGGGCCAGCAAGAGCCTCGGCGAAGAGTGCAAAGGCACAGATAATGGAGTATTGCATCTTGAAGGCTTTGGAAAAGGTTTGGGCTGACTTCTGGAGAACTTTGCCACGAGCAGCATCCAACCCTCAACCCAAACAGCGAATGCCCGCAGATTTATGCAACTCACATCCCGACGAACTATCCCCGGTGATGCGTCAAGACGTGCGTCCACTATTCGTCATCACGATCGTAGGCCCGTCTTAAATGTGTCCCGTCGGAGCGGTGACGCATCTTACATTGCCTGGCCCGGGTCGGCGACCTGAAGGAGCCACTCTGGTTTAAGCTTAAGCGAGAGGGTCGCATCGAACGAGCAGCTGAGACGGGGAGCACAAAAGTCAAATTGCCATCCCACGGGCCGCCGAACGCCTTTCCAAGCATCCCCCAGGCCCTCAAGCTTTGAGTGGTGCCCTCCATATAAAAGCTCAAGTCAGGAGTTCACATAGATCAAGCTTATAAAATTGGTCTGAACACAGTATCGACCGAGACAGCAATGGCTCTCATAGCGCCGGATGCGTTGTAGGCGTTGAGGAGTTACAAGGTCTCGTCATCGTAGTATCTCATTCAAGGCCGCTGGCGCTGAGATAGTCCTGGCTAGATTGTGGGCCAACTGTTGGACAATGTGGTCTTGTTCGTGAAATGGCTCGAGGCTCACAGCAGCAAGCTATACCTAATTATTTGCACATAGCGAGAGTGAACTACTGAAACGTCATAGTCCACATGTTAATAGACCAAGTCCTAACCCATCACTTCCTTCGGTGTCATTATCCGAACTCTTGCGTAATACTATGTACTCAGCATATTTTCCCTCGTCGTTCAATTGCAGTGCCCTGCATTACGAATGGATTTCAAATGACGTTAAAGGCTGATCCAGTACCTGCATCTCTGGAACCAGGGTAGTACTTAACGTGATGCATCGCCAGGCAGCAACATTATTAGCATCTCTGATATTCTTGGGAATGAGTTATTATGGATCCAAATCATACCGCGGCAACTGAAGAGACAGGGATGTGATGCACCTCGTAACTGCAAGCCTTTCTTATGACGAACGTTGCAAACTTCACAGAGCCGAAGAATAGCCGATGAGCACGGAGAGAAGCACTTTCGATCTCCAAAAAGAGTCCCCATCGGCGCCATACGTCCGAGTTGAACCAGCGCAGAACCTCATCTGGTAAACGGAGAGCTTCCCAAAGAAATATCGTGTTTGCTAAACGCTAGACGGGCAAGTGGTAAGGTTGCATCTGTGAATGGACTAATGTATGTGTGTATGTATAGCATGCACCGCCCCAAGGACCGGATCACGACCGTTGTAGCCGGCAGTGGACTCTCACCCCACACCCACTGCTGCACAAATCAAGCGGGCCGATACCACAGACCAGGTCCATGCTCCACGCTCGGCATCTACCCCGTTCTGAGGAGTCAATGCTCTTGCTACCTCACGGCAGCTACAGCGGCAACTAGGATGCTACGGGACTTATTTATATTACTTTTCATTTCCTGGGGACGAGCCTGGCATTTGGATCTGTCGATCACAGCCCTTCAGCTCGCCTTTGATGTCCAACTACCCAATATGCTCACCCATTGCTCAGACGCGGTAGCCTACGGGCTCTTGCTCTTGAGCAGCTTTCAAGCAGCCTCCGCTGATGCACCACTTCAGGTTCAGACCAGCAGTGGCTCCCTGACAGGCTTCATCAATTGCACCGCTCCGAGTGTCCGCCAATTCCTTGGTGTTCCCTTCGCCTTACCACCTACGGGAAAGCTGCGCTTCGAGCCCCCTGTCAAAGTGACCGACAATGGGCCTCTTCAGGTCAAGGCCTTCAAGCCTTCATGTATGCAGTCTGTCAGTGGGCCGGTCAACACGTCCGACCCGAACACAGACGTGTATGCCATCATGCCGCAGTTCGGAATCAATGGCGGCATCAGCGAGGACTGTCTGTATCTGAATGTGTACGCGCCGCTCAACCCGACTACGCCGAGCCTCCCGGTCATTGTCTGGGTATGTCAGCCTCATCACTAGAGCAGGATGGGCAGGAGTAATCACTGACTCCAAGCCCGTACCTTTGTTTCAGATCTACGGTGGTGGGTTCACCAACGGTGGTGCCAATGTGCTCTATCAGATACCGGATAAATGGGTGCAGAGGACGCAGGGGCATGTGGTTGTGACTATGAAGTAAGGCGTCTCCAACGGGTTCTTGGGAGTACATATTGCAGAAAGCTAAACGTTCATAGCTATCGGCTGGGCGTTTTTGGGTATCCCAGTGCTCCGGGCCAAATGAAGAACGTCGGGTTGATGGACCAGCGAATGGTGTGAGTATTTCGCGACAGCTGGTGCTTCTTGTGCCAGTATGATTGACAAGAAGACTAGCGTTGAATGGGTTCGGGATAATATTGCTGCATTTGGGTAAGTTGTTCAAGACCAGTTATTGAGTTTCAGTGACACTAATCTGGACCCCAGAGGCGACCCAGCCCGCATTTCCCTCATGGGCCAGTCCGCTGGCTCCGCCTCCGTCAACTTCTACGCCTACTCATACGTGGACGATCCTATTGTGGCTGGCTTCATCGGTCACTCTGGAGCTGCCAGCATCCTCACATCTACTGACGCGTCCGGCTCCAACTTTAACACACTCGCTGACTCTGTGGGCTGTGGCAAGCTCAGCGCGGCCGCTGAATTGCAGTGCATGCAGAATGTTGACGCTGCGAAACTACAGGCAGCAGCAGAGAGCAACCGCTCCCGGAGCTTCTTTCCGTATGCTGACAACATCACGGCTCCTGCCAATCCGGCGGATCGACTCGCCAAAGGGTTGGTCGCGAAAAAGGTACGGCAGAAAGCCCGATGGTGAGGTTTGGCAGTGCAGAGGTGTTGCATATGCTGACTACCATGTTCATAGCCCTTTCTGATGGGCAATACGGACAACGAAGGCGGTGGATTGAGCACGATCGGAGGGATGACCCCGGAGGCGCGGCGGTTTGGGCTTTCGGGCCTGGCTTGTCCTGTGATAGACGAGGCAAACCAACGTTTTCAGCACGGTTATGTTACATACCGCTATCTATACGCGGGGAATTTCTCAAACATATCCCCGCTCCCGTGGATTGGAGCTTGTCACAGCTGTAAGACCACCGAGGGTTGGATCCTGTTAATGTCTATATGGCGCTGACGCAAATCCCAATACAGGCGATTTACCGCTTGCCTTCGGAACGCACTATGAATACGACAACACGCATACTGGACTGAAGTCAACAGATCTCGAGTGGGGAACGAGTTTCGCCATGGAAGGTATGCTAAAGTCTCCCACTCAGACTGGGTCTGTTGCTGCACATTGTGTTGACGTGAATATGCAGGTCTCTGGCTCTCGTTCGCCTCCAACCCGAACGAAAGTCCGAGGTATAAGGATTACACCTGGCCGCAATACAACCCGAACACGACAAGCATTGCGTTGATCGGTTTTAATACCCCGATCCAGCCGATCTCAACTGGGTGGTTCGATGGGAATTGCACTGGTCTATAGGTTGCGCTTGATGATTCTTGAGTGTGTGTCGAGTGTGTATTTTGGAGGAGAGATATACCGTAGCCATTCTGCCGCGACTGAGCCTTGGCCAACCTAGGTTTGAACCAAGTGTTGAGTGGAGTCTCGGCCGAGAGTTGGCCGCCATCGGGCGACGTCTTTTTCGGCGGTGCGATAACGCGGTGTTCTAGTCAATACAATCGGCCGTTCAGGGACGGGCGTACAGGATAAAAACCATGCAAAATAATCCACTGCAGATGTACATATCGGCTTCGTCTTTCTCCCTGTAATTACGATTTGATATTGCCATCATGAGTTTCACCCATATTGTCGCATTCCAGTTTAAAAACGGGTCTTCCCCCGAGGTTGTCAGGGTGTGTTTTTGCACCACAAATCGAAGCCACCGGTTCCAAGAGCTGACTTGTATTAATTCGCAGGAACTGGTCTCTCGGATGTCTGATTTGAAGTCCAGGTGCTTACACCCTCAGACTGGGCAGCCCTATATCCTTTCAGCTCAAGGCGGCCGCGATAATTCTGTTCAAGGCTTGCAGGTAAGTGCATTTTGAAGTGATGAGCATGATTTGCTTCCTGTAAGACTGTTTAGTTAGACTGACCTGTAATTGTGCAATACAGAACGGCTTGACCCACGTTTTCGTGGTTGAGTTCTCCTCCAAGGAAGACCGGGACTATTATGCTCTCAATGATCCCGTACATCTCGAGTTCGTACAGTGGAGCGACGAGGTTGTGGATAAAGTTTGGGCGATCGATTTTGTGAACGGGGTTTGGTGAAGCGCTCTTCTTGATATCGGAAGTCTTCAGTCTACAGTCACACTTGATAATATCAATGACTTTGTTGTCTCGCTGTTATCTTCTTTCGAATTGCAGAGTAATTGTATACACCAGATCGGCATCGACAACCCAATACCACCCAGTCTCATAACTTTTGCCACTTCACAAATGGCACGTTTTCTCTCCCAGACGAAACCACATCGTCTTTCGCAACGAATCTCCCGAATGAGCCTATTCATGTTTGGCAGCAAAAATGACTTTCCAGAACGCAAAATATTTTGCTGTATAGGCATTGACGAGTGGAAATCACAGAACGAGCTTGAAGGAGGGCTCGCGATCATCACCGCTGCCTTCGAACTCGGCATACTTGCCCCTGGCCTTGTCTCTATTGATTTTGGCGCAGTAGAGAACATTGCACAGGATCCTGCATACATGGTCAACATCAATTCCCTCTTTCTTTGGCATTATCAAAACTTACAGGAACCACCCCCCAGTGATCAAGCCCAGCACGATGGTGTGTCCCTTGTGATACTGCGGCCCCTCCTTCTTCGGGTAGACAAATACTGTCACGAAACCCCCGCAGTTGGCGATGGCAAGCTGCAGGCCCGCTGCGGTCGCGCGCTTGTAGTGTCCAGCTGAGTTGTTTGCCAGCCACCCCAGCACCGGCGGAACGCTGCTGTAGAGACCGACAGCCATGAGGAAGATCATGCCGTATTTGACCTTCGGGTCGGTCGTGTTGGCAATGACGGCGTAGCCTATGATCGCGATCGGCAAGGTGACGAGCATCATGATGCCGCGTACTTTGAAGTGGTCTGACACAAAGGCAACGATGACTGCGCGGTTACAAGTTTAGCCAGCTGGTACACATGAGAGTTGTGGACACCAACATACCAGTGACTACCGCAGCTACAGCATACGGGATGACAGACCACAGCTGCGCTTCGTTGGCCGTGTAGCCAAGCGCAGCAATAATAGTAGGCAGCTATGCGTCTTTGTCAGTGGGGAAGTGTAGTCTGGGTGGGCGAGGAGAGAGGTTTAGACCTACGAAGAGACCAAACGAATAAAGTCCTGCCAAGATCCCAAAGTATGCGCAAGCAGTGAGCCAAGTCTGCGGGCTGAAGGCACCTCGTCTCACCTCGCGCCACGAGAACTTCTCGTGCACCTCATGCTCACTGCTGCTGACCCCATTCTCGACGCCACGAAGCCTCCGAATGGCAAGCAGGCGCTCCTCTTCAGACAGGAAGCTCGCGGTACCCAAGTCGTTGGGGAGCATCCAGTAGGCGAAGCCAGCGCAGACAACGGTGAAGAGGCCCTCGATGATGAAGATCCACCTCCACGCTGCCAGTCCGCCGCGCCCGCCAATCTCGGCGAGCCCACGCGCGAGGAGACCGCCAAAGGCGCCAGACAGCGACGCAGCCGTGTAGAACAGCCCGATCCTGAGCGCGAGCTCGCTGCGGGTGTAGAGCGTGGAGAGATACAGCACCATGCCGGGCAGCAAGCCGCCCTCGGCGAGACCGAGCACGGCGCGGACGGCCACGAAGCCGGCAAAGTTCTGGATGAAGCCGAGGCACATGGAGATGATGCCCCAGGCGAAGGTGATAAAGGGAAGCCATATCTTGGGCGTGACGCGCTTGAGCACGAGGTTGCTGGGCACTTCGCTCGCGATGTAGGTGGCGTAGAAGACGGCCAGGCCCTGGTCGTACTGGCGATCGGTCATGTGCACATCCTCCTCCAGCTTGTACAGCCTCGCATTTCCGACATTGGTCCGGTCGAGGAACGAGCACAGGAACAATAGGGCCAGAGGCGGAAGAATTCTTCAAAAGGTCAATGGTCAGTTAGTTCATTGCGATTGCATCCCAATTATGCTTCGGCGAACCTTGTGTCCAGCTTCCAGAGGAGTTTGCGAGTCAAGAGTCTTTCCTCGTGGTCGTCCAGAACCGGCTCTTGTTCGAGGTCTCCCTTCTCGTCGTGCTGTCCTTGCAACTCCGCGGAGGTCTTCATATCTGATGGCAATAGACGGGCGTGTGTAGGTGGGTGGTAGGGTCAAATCAAAACGCACGCCAAATCACGGCACAGAATTCGCTTGGGACATAATGGCAAAAGCTCAAAAGCTTATGGACGGGCACACATTTCGACTCCGACTCCGACTCCTCATCATCGAGGTAGAGGTCTCGTGCGGGGGTACCCGCAGCGACCTCCCTGTTACGGTCAATGAGCTTCTCTTCTGTGGGTATCGGGACTTTTTGTATGCCTTAGTGGACGGCAGTTTTGGACGGGAAGTGCGGGGTGAAGAAGCTTGTGTGGAGGCCAAGCAGCAACGGTGCAGCGGACATGATCGTCATCGTCGCTAGTAGTCTCAGTCTTGGGCAAGGATTGGCTCACGAGCCAATAGGAACAGCAGCGTATCCAGGTAAGCCAGCACGGTGTTGCGGTGCTGTGCGCTGTGTCTCCCAAGGTTGACCTGATGAGCTCAGCTCGGGTGGTCTGTCTCTCCCGTCGGACTGCATGCAACAGTTTGCGCATTGGTCCTCACGGCGTCAACTATCTGGCACTTCCCAAGTACTAGGTGTTGTCCAATGCTCGAACAGCGACGATCTGGGTACGGCAGTTGAAGTCAAGCTTTCGGTCAGACTAGACCAGCATTCTGGGCATCTCAATTGCCAAGATGGCCAGGGAGTGGTCAGTCCTTTATGTCTATTCTCCCGAGCCTGACTAGCAAAGTAAGCTCGGTCGCCAAGAGAATACAAATACACGTGTCAAGCTGCAATACCGAGAAGGGGTTTCACAACATCTGGCACAGCCACCGCCATGTTTGGCATAGATAATGAAACTAGCGGTCGGCCGCCCTGTTTTCTCAAACCCCCTTGGGCACCGGTGATCTGACCACTGGAAGCACCAATCGAAGTCAGCCTAACCTGCTGCTCGATTGCCCGTGACGAGGTCTACATGTTGGCCTGTTCAGGGCCCAACTAATAGTGAGTGCCTTATTATGGCTTTTCTGGCTTCTTGTGGGGTCTGCTCATCCCCATATGCAAGAGAGGAATTTCACATTCACAGCCTTTATTGCAACGCAATAACGCACCCCCAACAAGGTAGCAACAAAGGTAATCGCCGCGCCGCACGCTTGGCCGCTCGTCACCTCAACCCGCCCTGCTTCTGAGGCCAGAGGTTGGATGTTGTTGATATTCTCCCTGAGAGACCTGTGCTGTGCCATCCCCCTTCTCGGATGGTATGTTGTTTGCAGCAAAATTGCTGGAGGCCTCCGCGCCGCCAAGTCGCCAAGCTCGCCTGCCAAGAGGCCAGCAGGTTGTTCCCATTAAACAGGCTCATAGGAATGGATGATGGATGCCAAGATTCTCAAAGCACCGGGCCCTTTTGTAAGATTGCAAGGCATTTCTTTTTTCGTGGCAGGCAATACCTGATCGTCAAAGGTCACTGCGGTCACGCATGTTCTGGCCTTTGTCGCACGTTCCTGGACACGATATTGACCTTTCTTCAATTCCCTTTCCATCCCATGTTATTAGTAAATTACCGACCCTATTCTCTCCTTTGCCTTTCTTCCCAGTGAATCAATCCTTTGTTGTGTGGGCGTCACGCTACGTGTGTCGCGTTTCCACAGCAAACAGGAGGGCGACACCACCACCACCACCACCACCATCAAAACATCACTGCCTTTCTTGGTGATACAAAGCTTGATTCGCCAAGAACTTAGAAAAGCTTGCACATCTCACTCCTGAGCCTCACAGCCTTCTAGAAACTGTCAAGCCTGGCTCTCCACACTTTAGTTCATCATGTCGGACATCGACAAGGATACAGAGAAGGCGTCGGATAAGACTGTAAGTCCTTGATATATCGCTCTATTTAGGAGACATCACTTGCAAGAGCTGACAATCTCACTTCCACATGGCAGCAGGCTGAGCAGGCACCAGTGTCCGCCATCGAGGCACCGAAGGAGGCAAAGACAGACGCCAAGCATGGCAACTTCAAACTTGACCTCGAGGATGCACTTACTCCTGACCCAGGAACCGAGGACATGTTCCACGTCCAGGAAAACAAGTTCGCCTTCTCGCCGGGCCAGCTCTCGAAGCTTCTGAACCCCAAGAGCCCCAATGCCTTCTATGCCATGGGCGGCCTGGCCGGTCTCGAGAAGGGACTGCGCACCAACAGGAAGACGGGCCTCAGCGTCGACGAAAAGACCCTCGATGGCGCCGTCTCGTTCGACGAGGTCGCTCCCGAGGGGACGCCCAAGCACGGCGCTGCGGGCGACGCGGTCCCTTCGCCCAATGCCGATAAGAAGACGGACGTGCCGCCGCCGCCGCCGCACAAGCCCGTTACGCCGGGCTTCGACGACCGCCAGCGCGTCTTCCGCGACAACCGGCTCCCCGAGAAGAAGCCCAAGTCGCTGCTCGAGATCGCCTGGACGACCTACAACGACAAGGTGCTCATTCTGCTGACCATCGCCGCCGTTGTCTCCCTCGCTCTGGGCCTCTACCAGACCTTCGGCACACCTCACGCGCCCGACGAGCCGAAAGTCGAGTGGGTCGAGGCTGTAGCCATCATGGTGGCCATCGTCATCGTCGTGGCCGTCGGCACCGTCAACGACTGGAACATGGAACGCCAATTCAACAAACTCAACAAGAAGAACAACGATCGCATGGTCAAGGTTATACGATCGGGAAAGTCCCTCGAGATCAACGTGTTTGACGTCATGGTCGGAGACGTGATGCACCTAACGACTGGCGATCTCATCCCGGTGGACGGCATCTTCATCGAGGGACACGGGGTCAAGTGCGACGAGTCCTCGGCGACTGGCGAGTCGGATCTGCTGCGCAAGGTTGGAGGCGACGAGCTCTACGCTGCTCTGGAGGGAATCGCACAGGGCAAGACGGACCACCCCAACATCGACAAGCTCGACTGCTTCATCATTTCTGGTAGCAAGGTACAAGAGGGAACAGGAACTTTCCTTGTCACGGCTGTCGGTGTCAATTCGAGCTACGGACGAACAACTATGTCTCTCCGCACTGAGCAGGAAGATACGCCCTTGCAGAAGAAGCTGAACATCCTGGCCGACTGGATTGCCAAGCTCGGCGCTGGCGCCGCTCTGGTTCTGTTCATTGTCCTCTTCATCAAGTTCTGCGCTCAGCTTCCGAAGAATAAGGCCTCGCCATCGGAGAAGGGACAAGAATTCCTGAAACTCTTCATTGTTTCTGTTACCGTCGTTGTCGTCGCCGTGCCCGAGGGTCTTCCGCTAGCTGTCACGTTGGCGTTGTCATTCGCGACGAATCGCATGGTCAAAGACAACAACCTGGTCCGCGTGTTGAAGGCTTGCGAGACAATGGGAAATGCCACGACCGTATGTTCCGACAAGACCGGCACTCTGACGCAAAACAAGATGACCGTGGTGGCTGCAACACTTGGCAAGAGCTCTAGCTTTGGCGGCACTGATGCTCCTCTCGATGATACCAAGGACGAAGCCGGATCTGAAAAGGCACACGCGCCGAACACTGTGCCGAACATGCCCGTGGCTGATTTTGTCAAGGGAATGAGCGATGAGACCAAGAAAGCGATTATCCAGTCGAACGCGGTCAACTCTACTGCTTTCGAGGGTGACCAGGACGGCGAGCAGACATTTATCGGCTCCAAGACTGAAGTTGCGCTCCTGACATTCTGTCGAGATCACCTTGGAGCCGGCCCCGTCCAGGAAGAGCGCGACAACGCCAACGTGGTGCAGGTCGTGCCTTTTGACTCCGCTGTGAAGTATATGGCTACTGTGGTTAAGTTGCCCAATGGCAAGTTCAGAGCTTACGTCAAGGGTGCTTCGGAGATCCTGCTGGGCAAGTGCACGCGCATCGTCTCGGATCCCTCGGCCAGTGAACTGGTTGATACCGAGTTGACCGACGACGACCGAGAGATGCTGCTCCAGACTATCACTTCCTACGCCGGCCAGACCCTCCGCACCATTGCTTCCTCGTATCGCGACTTTGAGTCCTGGCCACCCGCCGACGCTGTGGCTGCCGATGAGCCCAGCATGGCGGACTTCAACAAGCTTCACCAGGACATGACTCTGATCGGCATCTTTGGTATCAAGGATCCCTTGCGTGACACCGTCAAGGAGGCGATTATCGACTGCCAGCGTGCTGGCGTGGTGGTCCGGATGGTCACTGGCGACAACATTCTGACTGGCCGGGCCATTGCCCGCGAATGCGGCATCTACCATCCCGAGAACGGCGGGATCGCCATGGAAGGTCCCGAGTTCCGCCGCAAGACCGATGAGGAACTCAAAGAGCTTGTGCCGAATCTGCAGGTACTCGCCCGCTCGAGTCCCGAGGACAAGCGCATCCTCGTTCGCACTCTCAAGGGCCTTGGCGAGACGGTTGCTGTGACCGGTGACGGCACCAACGACGCGCCTGCCCTCAAATTGGCGGATATCGGATTCTCTATGGGTATCGCCGGTACTGAGGTTGCCAAGGAGGCGTCCGAGATCATTCTCATGGACGACAATTTTGCTTCTATCGTCAAGGGTATGATGTGGGGACGCGCGATCAACGATGCTGTCAAGAAGTTCTTGCAGGTAAGTTCTCTGAGCTTGGCTTGACGACTTGGACTTATCTTGAAACTAACCTCGCATGTTAGTTCCAACTCACGGTCAACGTCACCGCGGTCGTGCTGACTTTCGTCTCCGCCGTCGCCAGTGCCGAGGAAGAGTCGGTGCTGAACGCTGTGCAGCTGCTCTGGGTCAACCTCATCATGGATACCTTCGCTGCCCTGGCACTTGCCACAGACCCTCCGACCCGCTCTGTGCTTGACCGCAAGCCTGACCGAAAGTCTGCACCTCTCATCACCCTGCGCATGCTCAAGATGATCGTTGGCCAGGCCATCTGCCAGCTCGCAATCACCTTTGTCTTGCACTTCGGCGGATGGACTCTGCTCAACTACGACGAGATGCCGGCGGACCAAGAGCCCGGAAAGAGACTCAACACTCTAGTTTTCAACGTCTTTGTATGGCTCCAAATCTTCAACGAGATCAAGTAAGTGAACATTGCCATCTGTATCGCAACACACTCTTGGACGTCTTTACTAATCAAACCCGCGCTGCAACAGTAACCGCCGCCTAGACAACAAGCTCAACATCCTCGAGGGCCTCACCCGCAACTACTTCTTCATCGTCATCAACCTCATCATGATCGGCGGGCAGGTCCTCATCATCTTCGTCGGCGGCGAGGCCTTCAAGATCCACAAGCTCGACGGCAAGGAGTGGGGCCTGTCCATCGGCCTCGGCGCCATCTCGATCCCCTGGGGCGCCGCCATCCGCCTCGTCCCGGACCACTGGGTCGCCGCCTGCCTGCCCTGGTTCGTGCGCAAGCGCTGGGCGCCCGAGACCATCTCCGAGGAGCTGCGCCGCCAGCACGCCGACGAGAAGGGCGTCTGGGTCACCGACAGCGAGGGCGAGAAGGAGTTCCGCCCGGCGCCGCCGCTGCGCGTCATGACCTCGATCCGCGGCCAGAGGGTCCGCGAGAACATCAAGAGGGGCCGCGGGTTCCGCGAGCGCATGCACGACGCCAAGCAGGCGGCCAAGGACAAGTGGCATCAGGGCGCTGGCTCGAAGCTGAGCCTGACCGAGAGGAAGTGAGGATGCCACACGCACGCGTAGCGGGCAGGGCTTTGGTCATCACAATGAGATACTCTATTCGTCACGGGTATAACAACGAGCTGTCCACTATTGAGCCGGACAACTGGTCTCGTTTTTCTTTTTCTTACTTTTCTTTTGGAATGGAATGGTTCTACGATTCTAGAGCACATTAAGGCTTGCAAAGAGTCGCCGTAAATACATTCAATATGACTGATTCTGATTGCGCTTCTAGTTTTGCAACAGTCTACCAAACAGTCCTCTCATTGAATGTCATCCTCCTGAAATGTCATCTACCCTCCATATGGCCTCATTCGCTCGTCTACTTTCTGAGAAAGCCTAGCTTGAAACCCTTACGCATCCTCTTTCCTTTTTATCAGAGTACTGATCGTGCGAATAAATCGATACTGTCTGGAAAAGGGTATGGCGAAGGCGTTGTGGGCGTTTTACAGCGAAGGAACAGCCCAGGTAGCCAGGCACTGAAAGCAGAGGCAGTGCTAGCAGAACTGGCGAGTCTGAATGCAGTATTCCGTTGATCGAGCCAATGACAGAGTTCACACCAATCATCTATGCACACATACGAGGGGTACAGACAGACTGCGCCTCTAAGGCTGACTGCTAAGCAGTGACAGGCTGCATATATACATGCCTGGCAAGGGTATCAGGCATGCATGCATTGAATTCCAAGGACCGTAGTCAATGTCAGGGCATCCTCGACCTCGATATTCCAGTCATTGCGCGACACAGCTCACGTCTAATCCTCTGTAGGAAACGGGAAATTGAACATTGATGGGTGCTCCGCAAGATTGTCCCAGAAGTTGACCTCAAAATCCCAGGGCTCCAACTGAGACTGTGGTATCCAAGAGCTCAAATCCACCGGATGATCAGGCGGCTCCGTGCCCGGCAGTGGGACATAGTGTCGGTCCCGCGCGAATATGCAGTCAAGGAACTTCTTGATGGTATTGGTAGCCCTTGAAAGGAGCGCATAATTTGGTTCCGAAGGTTGAACGATGGTCCCCATGTCGACTTCCGTGACAACAATACCGAGATCGCGAATCACTTTCGCTTCCTGTAGACCTTCAGGCATACCGCCTGGCCGGAGCATGGCGATCATCATGATTCCAATGGCCGGTAGGCCATAATGCGCGAGCTGCGGTGAGGAATTTCAGATTCAGTACGCAGTACGACTATGAGATATGGTGGAAATCACTCACCTTCCACTCAAAGCTGGTTCCTGTTGAACAGACCAAGTGGTTCCTCAACACGATTCCCTCTACAACAAGTGAAAGAATTTCCTGAGACAGGTTTACGAAATCCGCGTCGGGATCTCCCGCTGAGCCCAGGCAGAGCAAGCGGAGCAGAAATAGCACATGGAGGTAGTTGAGCCGCGTGCTGAGGAGAAAGTCTCGCGGGAACGGGCCGATGTTGTAGTCCTTGAGGCTTCCCTCCATTCGGAAATTTTCAGGAAGAGCTTGCCATTGATCGCTGGCTCGTTGCTTGAGGTCACTGGTTGTAACAGGTTGTCAGACCGACATTGGTGTAACGAAGGAGTTGGTTTGGGAGAGCATACTCAACTTTCCGCTGGATATCGTCCCTGGAATCATCGTTGAAGAGCTCGAGAATTTCTTCTTTCAACGACGCACAAAGGGCAGTCCACCTTGTCTCAGCCCATATTGATATTCCCGAGTCCAGTGGCCATGTGTGAGTGCCAGTGATCGGGTCAACCAGAGGCTCCTCGTCAGGCTTGGTTGACAGACTGAGAGCATGCTGCAGCTGACAGAACTTCTTGCCCAGGCGAGGCGGCCGTCCCAGGAAGATGCCCCAGTTTTTGTCGGCTGAGTAGGTGCGAGCGAATGCGGTCCTCCGAATGTTGATCAGGAAGGTAGGCACTTCGGTTGTTGTTCCAACTCTTTCATGGTAGCCCAGCGCAACAATGGAGGTGATTACGTCTCCCAGTTTACGGTAGGAGTGATAGGCTGCATGACGATTAGATGCTGTCCAAGAGAATAGGGCTAGAAATGACTGAGTTGACTTACATTGAACTCCGAAGACAAATGAGTGAGAAATGAAGTTTTCATACTGAAGCACAAGCTGCAGATCGTTGAGCCTATCCATTGAAAGGCAAATTTCGACAGCAACATTGGTGATGTTCAGGGCCAAGCCTAGCAAGGTCTGTCTGCGGTCGCTCGTCAAGTACAGAGAAGGAAATATGTTCACTTCTGACGCAGCTCGTATCACTGCACAGAATAGAAGGCCTACTGTTTCTAAACGCGTGCTGGGCCCCAAAAACTGAGAAGCGTACTGCTCAAGTGTGAAGGAGGGTCCATCAGCCAGCGAGTGGGTCGAGTTCTGAATCAGCGAGCGAGCATCAGCCAGATCTTGAGGCAGAGCCGCTCTCGAGTCATCCCAGGCACTGTAGCAGAGATCGACGAAAGGCTCTGCCAGTGATAAATTGGGGCCGGTTGCCCTCCAGAAAGATATCAAGTCTATGAGGCCTTTCAAAGGGAACTCCTGCAGAAGAGTCTTGATACACTTGGAAACTTTGGCCGCCTGGATCTCGCCCTCGAACTCTAGTGATGAGTCGAAGGCTGGCAGCGAGGTCGCTTCTGCGGTGAGACTCGATACACGAAGAGGGTCCTCTTTGCTGGACAGATGATTAAAGATCGCGACATGACTTGATGCACCGAGATATCCTGGGTTCGGGTAACAGCCCCGGGTCAGCGAGGGGATGGGGCTCGGCGCCACGACTCTGCGCAATTTTTAGCATCGCAAGATAGGGACTTTCAGATCATTAATGCACTTACGATACCGTGGGCTCCGTGCCTGGATCGGAAATCTGTGATGGCGGTCGAAGTCCTCTTCGGGAGAAAGGCCGCGTTCGATAAACACAGGCACTGGTTTTGTTACCAGCTCGGCATCTGCCACAGGCGGGTTTTCCGTGATCGCAAGCCAGCTTGGAGAGCCTACATGGATCGCATGCGGGCTTGCGGGGTCCACGCGGAGGCGCCATGCTCGGCTCGGCGAGGAGCCGGATGCTTCGTCCTTTGATGACCTGCGTTTTGTCACTATCTCAACCTCCTGCAACCGTCGGAATTATGAGTCGGGGTGTGGGGGATATGGGACGGTTCTTATGGACCAGTGTCGGATTAGGTTTTGGGCTAATCCGAGCCTACACGCCGAGCACCAGTGTTGGGGACGAAAGGATGGTATGCTAATCCACTTTCGACATAGCAACAAACCCACTGGGAGGCCACTGGGAGGGAGAAAGTCTGTCGCTGATAATACATTGCAATTTATTGGCTACATAAGTCACTTCACAGATCAGCAAAAAGGCATCTTCTCATGGCATCTGATTCTGGTAACGTCAAACGTAGAGATATGAGCGTGTTTCAAGTCAGCTATCAAACAGAAAGGGGCTGTGGTGCTCCTGGAGTCGCGTTATATGAAATGCGGCCTGCTGGGAGAAAGAACAAAGCAACAAGAGCACCGCCACGAACTTCGGGGTAGTGATGCGTGCCTGGCCCTGGAGAAGTCCAACCGGCACCCTGCCAACCCTGCATTCCCTTCAATTCCGCCTTTCCGTCGAGCTGAACGACGCAGTTGATCTCGCCGTACGGATGGGCGTGGTACTGGCCAGCATATACCTCGTCGCTCTCCATGTACACTGTGGTGATGCTGCAAAACCTGGTTTCAGCGATCGGTAGACAGATCCTCCCGCGTCGATATTTCGGCCCGTCAAGTTCCGTCTGAGCGACCCATCCCTCCTGCAGACCTTGCTTGATGTAAGAGCAAAAGTCTTCGTAGTACTGATTCCCAGGGCCATAGTCTCTGTTGAGTCTCGCCTCTAGGTCTTTACCAGGGGTGCTACGCCGCGTCTCATGAGTTCCTGAGTTCTTCCGGTGCGCGTGCAATGGGCAGGCTTACAAGTCTTGGACTTCTTGCAGGAATTCGCCACATCGGGTGACGAACTTTTGTGCTGTTGGCCACCGGGACAGATCCAGGGCCGATGCTGCATCCGTCTTGCTCATGTTCTGACTTCGTCGAGATGTTTACCCTTTGTCCAGCAAAAAAAGAAGTGCGATGGTCTTGAAGAAGAATGAAGCATTTGTATACAAAGATAGAAGAGATGACTGCGGGCAACTTGACAAGGTTTAGCTGCCGAAGTCATGGAGCGGGGTTCAATGAAACATGCCGAGGTGCTGCCCAGGCGGAATTCGAGACTTGATGAAGCTTAGCGTGACACTTATTCCACCAAGCGCGCTTATCCGAACTTGCACTCCGAGATCATGGAGGGAGTCCTGGAACTGAGCGGAGGGGTGCACAGCTCAACATTCTTCCAACTCGGTGATGTGAAGGAGCACGATTTGTACATAAGGTGCTGTACTTTTAAAGTCGTGAGAGTGTTTCATGGCTTGCTCCCTATCTGTCCTGCTCCCGATCTTATTTTGATTTTCTTCTTACACACGTCAAAGAGAGCATGGGGCATGTCGATCTTGTGATTGTTGGAGCTGGTATGGGCTTCTTTACTGCTTCCTCTCATTTGTGATTTCGATCCTAACTGCTCGTCATAGGCTGGCATGGCCTGATCATGGCCAAGACGTATCTCGAAGTAAACAAAGAAGCCGACGTTCTCATCCTTGACTATGCGGAATCCGTCGGAGGGACATGGGCACACGAAAGACTCTACCCAGGCCTAAAGACTAATAACCTGGTCGGCACCTACGAGTTCAGCGACTTTCCCCTGGTTCCCGAACAATATGGAATTGAAATTGGTCAGCACATCCCGGGACAGGTTGTCTACAAGTATCTTTGTGACTTTTGCGACGCATATGGGTTAAACGATAGAATACGTTTGAGGACAAAGGTCGAGTCTGCCGAAATGTTACCAGACGGGAAATGGGAGATCTCTTATTCAACTGGCCCGACATATGCAGCCGTCCCCGTCTCGAATACGTCGAGCCCCTCGAAACGGGAGGAGGCTCAGCTTACTGCTTCGAAACTCGTCTTGGCAACAGGTCTGACTTCTGAGCCTTTAATTCCCCCTCTTCCCGGGCGAGAGCATTTCAGTGGTCCCATCTTTCACGCCAAAGACTTCAAGGCTCGAGCAACCGAGTTGGAGGGCCTTCGGTCAGTAGTCGTGATTGGAGGCAACAAGTCTGCATGGGACGTCTGCTACAGTGCCTCTGCTCGCTTCGGCGCCCAGGCACACATGGTTATGAGGCGCTCTGGGGGTGGCCCCAGCTGGGTCTGGCCGGCTCGGATGCGCGGGTACATCCCATCCATTTCCGCTGCATCGGCGACTAGACTATTCACCTGGCTCGACCCGAATCCATACGGAAGCTTCGCCTGGCCGATCCGGGCTTTGATCAATCGCACTTGGTTGGGGCGGAAGGTTTCCAGCTTGTTCTGGCGCCATCTGGACACAAAGGTCACCAAGTTCAATACTTACGATGACGACCCAGGAGTGAGCAACCTCAAGCCTTGGTCGTCCACGTTCTGGATGGGCAACTCCTTAAGCATCCATAACTATGAGAGTAGCTGGTTTGACTTGGCCAGAAGTGGCCGCATCGCCGCTCATTGTGCAGAGGTCGTCTCCTTGTCGGACTCTGCTGTGCATCTCTCAGATGGGACCGTGATCCAGGCAGATGCCGTTGTGTGCTGCACTGGCTGGGAGGCGAGACCTAGTCTCCAATTCTTTCCCGAAGGCCTCGCACCTCGGCTTGGACTCCCTGGCTCGCTGAATGGCAACCGTATTGCGGAGATGAAGGCTCGAACTGAGATCCTCCATGCTGCTCCAGTGCTGAGATCTCAGCCGGTCCGCAGACTTCCAGCGACCCTACGCCCGGAAAGTATGAAGTTGCAAAGGCCGCTACCCGAGCTCGATGGCCACAAAGCGGTCAGCACTCCTTATCGACTGTACCGCTTTGTTTTACCGTACGATCCAGCTATCGTACGAATGAAGAATTTTGCAGTCGTCGGCGCCCATATCACGCTGCACACTGCCATTCTAGGTCAGGCACAAGCACTGTGGATTACGGCTTTCTTCCAAGATAAGATTCCTCATCTTGCTCATAAATCTCAAAAGGAAGCCGATTTTGAAGAAATAGAACGGGAGACGTTCTACCACACCGAGTATCAGAGGGTCAGGCGCCCAAAAGAGACGGGCGGGATGGGAGATAGGTGCCCAGATCTTGTCTTTGACAGCATCCCTTACGTTGATCTGCTCCTATCGGATCTCAATATGTCTTATCTGAGGAAGTCCTCGTGGTACAAGGAGGTTACGGAACCATACAGGCTGTGCGACTACAAAGGATTGGTCAAGGAATGGCAAGCACAGGTATGAGGATGTAGATATCTAGAATTAAGATCCTTGATCATAATTCCCTTCTCACTTCAGAGGTTTTCATGTAAAGTCAGAGCGACTCCCAGAAAGCAAATGTAGCTCAGCGATATACATCGCGTGATACCAAGTTCATTGTTGCAATTGATCACTCGGTCGGGTCAATGTTGAGCTCATCGACCGCACGAGAACCCAGCCTAGCCAAAATATTCAACAACCTCACCAGATACGCCTTCGCCCTGGTCTTGATCATCTCGAACTCGGTCTTCTGGCTCAGCTCAAGCAGCGCACTGCCGATCTGACGGAGCTTCTCCATCTATACACAAGGCAACAGCATTAGCATTCATTGAGCGCTCATTTCGCACATAAGACAAAGATTACCTACCAGCGGTTCTCCATTCGTCTGCAGATACTCGAAAGGGATCGAGTCCACCACATCCAAGCAGTCCCTGGCAATCTCCGCCGTCCTCATAGCGATCATCAGCGGCTCGTCGCTGAGACCCAAGATGGTGACCAAACCGTTCTCGGCGCACCGCTTCAGCAGCACCATGCGTAGGCAGTGAAAGGTGACTACCGCGTCGACTCTCAACCGCCAGAAAGACCCGCGCTGGTAGAGAGCTATCGCCGTGTCTGTGGCGCCGTCCGTCAGTATGCTGTCTGGCGACTGCAGCCAGGTCGGAAGGTCGTCTAGGATGCTGGTAAAGGCGACATATGTGCACATGAGGTCCGTCAACGCGACAGCTCTGGCCCGCTCGTCTCGATTCTGGACTGCGCAAGCCTGGATCCCTTCGATGAGATCCGCGGCAGTCGTCCATATCCGGCGGCACAGGTCCGCTCCATGGAGAACACGTTCCTCGAAGGGCGGCGCGCTATACACAGATGTGGGATCGAGAAGCGGGATTCGATCTGGCACTAGGAAAGGGATCTCCGGAGGCAGGTCTGAGATGGAGTGCCGCAGGAGGATAGGCCGATTGTTGAGGACTGCCGCCGAGCGGTTGATCATGTAGAGAGACCAGTAGATGAAGCGCAGCAGCTGGGCCTCCAAGGGATTGGCTGCGTACCGTGCGCGCGAACGCTCGTCGTGCAGCCGCATAGACTGGGCAATGATGATGGCCTGTCCGAGCTCGTGCCATGAATGCATGGTCCTGCCGCTTCCGTGAAGCGCTGCCGAATGGTATATGTGAATGATGATGGAGTAATAATTGGGGTGCTCAATGTCGTAGTCCTCATAAAGCTTGAGGCAGGCGCGAGAGGCTCGGAGGAAGCTTGTCGCGACACTCGCCGGGATCGCGGCCAGGTTCTCTGGCGAGTTGGCGGTGCTTGCACAGAGCCCCGTGATGTGCGTGAAGGCCCTCAGAGACGCCAGGTGCTCCTTTGGAGTGATGTCTGCGGCGAAAGGGTTCATCGAATTGGGAGCTGCGAAGGCAGACCCGGAAAAGAAGCGTGCGGCATTGCGGCGAACGGTGGGTTCGTGATAGATGGGCGCGACAGGAAATGTGAACTGCAGGTGCCTGCTGATACAGTCATCTACGAGCTGTCGAGGAGACTTGTTGGGCACAGCGGCGCAGATGGCAGCCACCAGGCTGCTGTAGATATCGCCGGCGGCGTCTCTGGCATCGGGGATGTGGCTATTTGGCCATGTTGCAATCCCGAGGACGTTGGTGGAAGGTAAGTACCCGGGCGTGTTCACGCTGTCACTACTCGGTGTAGGATTCGAGAAACAAGGCGACCTCAGGGAAGGGGGGTGGATGTCGAAACTCGACCACTCTCCTACCGGCAACTTCGTCTCTTCCACTGACACTCCTGGATTATGGGCAGGTGAGGTCTGGATTGTGCGAGGAGACGATGAGGAGCTATCAACAACATCTTTAGCACGACGTCGCCGGACTGAGTTCGGCTTCGGTCCCCGCTTCTTGGGAAGGATGGAGTAGCTGCAGGTCAAGTTCGATATCCGACAGTTGGAGCACTCGGTAGGCGAGCCGTCACACTGGGGTGGCAATCGCTAGTTAGATGTGTCTCCAATGCAAGCCGTCCCATGGCGAAGGGACAGGGGGGTGTCTGCTGGGACTGGATGCAAGCATGCTCACTTTGATCTTCCGGCGCTTGCAGGAGTCGCAGGCCCTATTGGCCATTGCACGCCGAGTGGTGCTGCCAACTTGGCCGGCCGGGGCCGGATGGTGGGGAGCCCCGGACGGGAGATTGTCGAAATCGGTCGTGGTGAAACTCGATTTCCGGGAACAAGGAACATATCCTCGCTCTTCCCCACAGATCTCTGTACCTCTTTCTTCGGGATCTTATCCAAATGACAACGTGGATTAGCCCACTGCTGACCTGTTTCACCGCGGACTGCGGACCTGCAAGCACAATACTGTGACGATGGCAGTCATGGGCAAATTGACTTTCCGGGATCGGGCGACTTAGTTCGAGAACTAGTTTCTCCGCGGCGAAACTTGAACCCCAGATCGGAGAGGCGCTTAACATTGCCTGATTCAGAGGGGAACCGACCGAGTCTCCACGGACTAAACCTCGTCGCTCAACCTGGAGATCCACCAATGGCTGAAGATTCAACGCCCTGGATCAGCAGACACGAACTGCCCAACGCTGCGCTACCAGTACGAAGAGAAAACAGACCCCAGGGGCTAGGGAGAGATCCGAGATACCCGTCTCGTGGGATACATCCGGCGGCACAGCACGACGATGATAGCCCCCAGGGCCAAACTCAGCGATAGCTACCGCCTCTCCAGCCCCACAGAGGTTCCGTTGATATCGCGACGACCGATAGATCTATCCCGACGGCATTGCTATCTAGGGCCTGCTTCAAACCTCTTAAGTATCTGTGCAAATCCTTCACGGCACACTGCAGTGCCCAGGGCGCCATGTTTCCACCGACTCCGGGGACAGGTAGCTCCCGGGCGGGTCCCTCCGACAGCCCTGCCGGCGGCGGCCGCCTGGGAGATGCAAATGCCTACATGCCACTCTACGGCAGCGGTATAGGTGCCAACCCCTGGGGCGCCGCCGGCGAGACACCTCTGTTCCCCGACGACGGCTCATCACCCTCGACGATCTGGCGCCTCGATGAGTTCGCGCAGGACCCGGGGTATCTGGCCTACCAAGAAGAGCTGCGTGATCTCATCTTCACGACGGCTACGCATGCCGCGCCAACACGGGAGGGTACGCCCGTCGCAACATCGCCGAACGGTGCCAGCAGCAGCAGCGCTGTCGACGCCATCACCTCCTCCATCCCAACAGCGGCCCACGTCAGCGCCAGCAACATCACAACCACCACCCCGCCGACGCAGGAAGAACTCCACCGCCGCACCAACGCCATCCTCTCCCAGGGCCGGCGCCTCGAGTACCTAAAGTCCTACCTGGGCCAGGTCGCCCCCTGGCTCGACATGTTCGACTCGTCGGGCCGGGCCTTCGGCATCGAGGTGCCCGCCCGGGCGCGCGAGTCCCCCGCCCTGCTGTTCGCCATCCTGGCCCTCTCGGCGCGGCAGAAGGAGCGCAAGGAGGCCGGGGGCCAGCGGCAGCGCGCCACGTCCTTCGACAGCCTCGAGCTGTACCAGGAGACCATCCGGCTGCTGACGCCGCTGCTGCAGGCGCGCGACCCGCGCAGCGTGCCCATCTGCACGATCCTGTGCGCCATGGAGATGATGTCCGCCAGCGCGCGCGACTGGCGCAAGCACCTAGAAGGGTGCGCGGCGCTATTCGACGCGTTCGGCGTGCACGGCTTCAGCGGCGGGCTGTTCCAGGCGGTGTTTTGGTGCTATGCTAGGATGGGTGAGTGCATCTCTTTCGTTTACGCAGTTTGGACATCAGAGAGACAAAGCTCGTTTCCACGCATTGATCCGTTATTTCTGTACCCAATAATATCTAACAGTGTTCTCTCTAGATCTCTGCGGCGCCCTCATCTCAGACGGCACCCAGGGCACCCTCGTCCCTCCAGCGAAATGGCTCGCGCCCGGCGCGGACGAGTCCGAGGCCCGCGAGCGCTTCCGCGAGGCCAAGAGCCCGGACGCTCACGCCAACTACGCGGTCTACCTCTGCGCCAAGGTCTGCGGGCTGATCGCCGACCGCACGCGGTTCGTCGAGCTCGGCGACGCCAACGGCTGCAGCAGCCAGGTCTTCACGCGCAGCTGGCAGGCGCTGTGGAACGACCTGCAGGTCTGGCTGGACGACCGCCCTCCGGAGATGCTGCCGGCGTCCGAGATGGAGACCCGGCCGTTCCCGCAGATCCTGTTTGCGCACTGGGCTGCCATCTCATCGACGCAGCTCTACCATACCGCCTGCGTCCTGCTTCTCAATATGATGCCCAGGTCGGTCCAGGCGCCTGCCGGCATCGCCGGGTCGGCGACTTGGCACGCGAGGCGGATCTGCGGCATCTCCCTGACCAACCCGCACGAAGGCTGCCTCAACAACGCCATCCAGCCTCTGTGGGTGGCCGGGCGCCTGCTTAGCCATAGGTCAGAACACGCCACCATCGCCAAGCTGATCCGAAATATCGAGGCCAAGACTGGATGGGGTTCGGCTTGGCGCATAGCTGACCTCGAGGCTGTCTGGGGTTACAAAGTGCATCGAACATGATGCCGTATCCCCAGGAAGAGAGGGAAGATGCGATATAAACCCAATAACCAAGACACGCACCTCTTCATCCTCCACCATCTGGCATGTCCCAGGTCTGTGCCAGCATCCACTTGAACTGCCCGATATTCCAGCCGACGACACGCGACACGGCGTCGAAGCAACGCAGAATCTCTCGTTGCTGGGGCTCATACGTCATGCCCTTGGCGGCAACGTAGAGGCTCGCGACCAGGGTCAGATCCCAGTACTCGCGGCGCTCGTTGCTGAGAGAAATGCCGCAGACACGCTGTGCGTGCCACAGAGGGGACCAGGCTGGCGATCTGCGGGCATCGAGCACAAGTGTTCGGGGCTTGTGTTGCAGCATGAGCATCATCGCCGTGTGGTACAGTTGGTTCCCGAGTATAGCCGCTCCGTTGGTGAATAGCACCGTCGGGAACAACGGCTCCGCGTTATTTGACCCGAGATCGAGCTCGACCATTGGCTGGTATTGGTGCGGCCGATTGGTGTACCAAGTATTGAGATCTTCAGCGATCATCCTCCACTGCTGAGCCAGTGTAAAGCCCGTCCCGTGACCTTGAGGATACACAGGATCCTCCGCGCAGATGTTGACAGCCTGGGCGCAGAGGACGAGCACCCTGTTCACATACTGGAAGACGGTATCTGCTACATGTGGAGAGTCCCATTGTAGCATACCTTGTACCTCAGAAATATGCTCAAGGGGCAGGGTAGTGCCAGACACCAGAGCAATAGTCAGGTCTGTGAAATAGAGGTCAGTAACGACGTCAACAGGTTGGCCTAGTTTCGGATAATTACCTAATCTCAAGTGAAGACAATACAAGTACTGTCCATTCTTCTGTGAAGAATAGTAAGCGGCCAATGAGCCAATGCCTGTTGAGTCTAACAAGGTATGCCAGACTGATGGCGGACTAGACATGAAGCCACGCAGGGTCATCAACAGTGCGGCCACGCAGTTTCCAGAGGCGACTTCCTCTCGTAAAGCTCCCAACAACGACTCGGGAATATCTGAATCATGGTTATGTGATAGCGCATTGAGAGACGTATATGATATGGCCAGAAGTTCTCGTCGGATCGCAGCACATTTCCAAGCCATTCTTGGGACCACTGTGCCGAAGAACTGTCGTAGATCGCAAATGTCCAGCTGACTCCTGGTTAGTTGTTGCGCCTTAGCCTAGCCTGGTGTGGGCAGTACACATACCCAGGGTGCAACATCATATCTGTAGTGCCGTATAAGTCTAAGTGCGTCCTCGCCTGGAACATCTTCCGTGGTTGGCAGCGCTTTTTGAGTTGCCTGTTGGACTGCTCCGTCGTATAAAGTTGCAACTGTGTCAGAGGGTGTGTAGTCAACCGTGAATGCGTTGCTGTTGAACTGTCCGCTTGTGACGGAAGGACTGGTGGCGAAGGGCCCGAGCGGATCGTTGTTGAGGGAGAGCAGGGCCTGGAGGGCAGTGTTGAATCGCTCACTTGGAGGTTTATCCGGGGTGTCGAGGCTTGTGATCTCAGCAACGTCTCTGGGGGACTCTCTGACAGGAGGTTCCGAGTAGTGATCTGGTATCCCAAAAGTCATGCCCATCTCCACTTCCGCCCCTGGCGAGACATCGGTCGTGTTGATAAGCGATTCCATGGTGATGATCTTTCTTCCCTCGTCCACCGTCGCATTCTTGTGGGGTTGTAGCTGGCTGACATCGTCTGCTACCTGTTGACTTGCAGAGCTAGACTTGCTCGCGATATGATGCGATGATGTGGCATCGACAAACTATGGTATGTAAGCTGACTGACGATCGATCCAAGCTCCTCGATTGACACCGACCTGCAGACGGGAGTATCTGGGAGCGGAGGAGGCCCTGGGGCTGAGCGGCGCAGCGGTGACGATGTTCTTGTCGAGGAACGTCAAGCCAGTCGGATACACGCACTCAAGACCACGATCCGCACAGCGACTGCAGCGCGGCTTGGCCTCGTCGCCTGGGAAAGAGCGTCAGCAATGTTGGGCGGCACTGAGTTGGCACACGCTGGTACCGAACTGGATCGAGGTATGCGCAAAAGGAATCAATGCACCGGGCGTGATTACGAAGCGGAAGGGTTGACTGTTCTCACGTACATTTCCTTCGCCGAACGCGGCACAAGCGGCAACCCGTCTTTACTCTCCTCTTTCTGGGCTTGGTCATCGCTGCCGGAGCGCAAGGGGAGCTCGGCTGAGGCTCCTCCATTGCCCCATGCTAAGCCCTTTCGGCTTTGCGATTGCGTGAAGCCTACTGTTTGGCGCTTGGTTTTGCTCGATTGGCAAAACGCAAAGGGGGAAAAATAAACATGAGGTCGATAAGACGAGCCTGTGCAATGCGGTTCCGAGGCACGGCAGGTGGGAGAAAACACGCTTCCGGGAAAGTCTAGGATCACGCGGCCGCCATAGATTGCCAAATGGGGGTCGAACAAGCGCCGACTGTGGGGAAGATCCTGGCCCAGAATCCACATCGTCATCAAGGGCTTTTATCCTGGCCAAGTTGCTAGCTAGATCCATGTGTGGAGTCTACTGACTGTTGCACTGTACTCTTAAGAGATTCTTTTGCCATGATACAGGCAGCACCTCCTCATCATTCCAGTATTATATCTTGTGATCAAGGGAGGAAGTCTACTAGAGTCTAGGCAAAGATGTGTATGGGGTTGTTAGGCAGGTAGAAGCCAGGGTCGTTGAAGCGCAGGCCTCTGTCTAGGTCACTGATGGATTGCAGCTCCTCCTTGGTCATGTCAAAGTCGGTAGACTCGAGGTTGCCGAGCAGGTTTCTTTGTTTGTTTGACTTCGGGATAACAGCAATGTTCCTGTAGCACATAAAACGAGTCATCAGCATCAGCACGCGAAACTCCTTGTACGATAGGTTGAGGATTAACGGATTGGACTAGAACTTACGACTGTGTAGCCCAGCGGAGCAGAACCTGAGCCGGAGTCTTGCCATACTTCTTGGCCAAGCTGACGATGGGCTCGGTCTCAAAGAGCGGGCTGATGTTCTTCGCCTTCTTAGAGAACTCTTCGGGCAGCTCCAGGAAAGACTGCGGGCCGAAGGATGAGTACGCCGTGACGGCGATCTTGTTCTTCTGGGCCATCTCGACCAGGCCGGGCTGGACCAGGTAAGGGTGGTGCTCGATCTGGAGCGAGGACAGAGGGTGGCGTGCGTAGCTGATGACGTCGTAGAGAGCCTGGGCCTGGAAGTTGCTCACGCCGATGCTGCCGGCGATGCCCTCGTCGACCAGCTGCTCCAGAGCTTCCCAGGTCTCGCGAATAGGGACCTGGTCGAGCTCGACAACCTGCCTCGCATCGTCCATCCACCAAGCCTGCAAATGAGCGAATCAGTACTATGTGCGACCTCCTCATGAGAGACCAGCCGCGAAGCTTACCGGATACTGTCGAACAGCAGGGTCGCAATACTTCAGGGCACAAGGGAAGTGAATGAGGTAGAGGTCGATGTAGCCGAGGCCCCAGGTCTCGTTCTGGAACCGTCCCATCTTGAGCGCGTCCTCTTTCCTATGCCAGTTGTTCCAAAGCTTCGTGGTGATGAAAATATCCTCTCGCTTGACGACACCCTCGCTGATAGCCCGACGGATGCCCTCGCCGGCCTCCTTCTCGTTCTGGTAGTCGTAAGCTCCATCAAACAGGCGGTAACCAGTCTTGATGGCCTGCATAAAGTTCACATAACTTAGCATGTTTCTGTGTTTCGGCGGTTCCAAGGGATGCACTCACGTTGTATACAGTCTCGGCAGTTGTCTCCTTGGGGACTTTCCAGAGACCGAACCCAACAAGGGGCATCTCATGGCCGGATGCCAGTCTGATAGTAGCTTGGGGTGCCATTTTCGGTATGAATTTGTGGAATGCAACTGCGATTGTGAAGCTGAAGGATGGCGAATTATCCCAGCATCGACAACTGTTTGATCAAATTCTCGAAATACAATACTTCCAGGCTCGTCTTGCCATATTATACCTCTCCTCCACAGAAAATACGTCTGCCGGCGCTTAGTCCACCCGTTTCAGGAAGGTAGCTCAAGCCGAGAGACTAGAGGTAGTGGTAGCCTGGCCGACCCATGTGCTACCGCTGTGCTCTGGCAAAAACTAAGCGTTCCTTTGTCACTCTGTCAGGACTACGCAAAGAAGTTGCATGGAATATTCCTGATAGCCAGTGCTGAATTCCGTCCTATCAAAATACAATGTGCTTGTTGAAGTCCGAGATGTCACGAGGCCCTGGTTGCCTCTCGTGCTACACCAAATAGAAACCTCATTGACACCAATTCTTGCTTCTAAATGAACGAATAATACCTACCATCTACCATATGCAGCCACCTCTAATGCATATCCAACCCAAATGCACAGTGTTGCCCACATCTCTACAACTCCACAAACTCGCGCCCCAGCAGCTCGTCCTCCTTGACCCTCTCCAGATACCCAAGCACCTTGCCCAGCAGCGAGTCCGCGTCGAAGCCAAAGAACCTGTACGCCGCCTTGCAGGGCAGGCTGTGCCCGAACCGCGTGACGCACGCCGCGGCGTCGGCGTACCGCTCCCACCCGTTGGGCGCGTACGGCTCGACCGCCACCACGCGCGTGCTGTGCCGCCGCAGCGTGGCCCGCCTGTACTCGAGCGGCTGCGCCTCGAAGAGCCGCCAGGAGGGGAAGCTGACGACCCTGGTCCGGACGCCGTGTTCGGCGCGCAGCCGCGCCGCGACCTCGGCGACGTGCGAGAGCTCGGCGCCGACGCCCAGCAGCGTCAGCGTCGCGGCGTCGTCCTCCTCCAGCACGTAGGCGCCCCGCAGCACGCCGTCGCGGGAAGTCCCGGCCAGCTGCGGCAGGCTGTGCCGGCTGGTCGAGATGATGGTCGGCGTGCCCTTGGTCTGGATGGCCGAGATCCAGGCGCCGGCCACCTCCTCCGTGTCGGCGGGCCGGATGTAGTGGATGTTGGGCATGGCGCGGTAGAGGGTGGCGAGCTCGATGGGCTGGTGGGTCGGGCCGTCCTCGCCCATGCCGATGGAGTCGTGTGTGGCGACGTGGATGGCGCGCAGGTGCTGGAGCGCACCTGTGTAAGAGAGGGTCAGTCTTTTGTTTTTTTCGATGCATTCTACCGGTTTGTGGGAAGATACATACCCATCCGCACTGCCGGCGCGGCGTATAGGTAGAACATGAAGAAGGAGGACGTCACAGGGATGATGGTGTCCGGTGCAAAGGCAGCCATTCCGTTTGCTATCGCACCCATTGCATGCTCTCTGATACCGTAGTGGATGTAACGCCCAGTGTAGTCGCCAGGCTCACCCCGAGCGGGGACCAGGTCAGGCTATCGTGTATTAGCATACGACCTCCTCCCAATCTACAACGAGACCAGGGATCTCACCTGCTGAAAGTCCTTGGCTCCGGGCCAATACATGTACACGGAAGGAGAAAGATCAGCGGTGCCGACCATGAAGGTGTCGATGTTCTTGGCGATGCCATTGAACACGACACCAGAAGCCGCACGTGTCGACGTCGGCTTGGAAGGAAAGTCGGTCTTTGCGGGGATCAGCTCCTGCCACCTAGGGTCGATCTCGCCGGCCATGCGGGCCCGGAAGCGCTTGGCCAGCTCTGGGTGCTCCTTGCTGTAGTCGTCGACCAGCTGCTCCCACTCCTCGACAAACTTGTCGCCACGGGCCGGGAGGTTCTTGAAGAAGGCCCTGACCTCGTCGGGGATGACGTAGAACTGCTCCGGGTCGAAGCCGTACGCCCGTTTCATGTTGGCGACATCCTCCTTGCCGAAGGCCGCCCCGTGAGCGACGGCAGTACCTGCGACCTTGCTTCCAAGGCCGATGATGGTTCGGATGTTGATAAACGTCGGCTTGTCTGACCTCTTTGCGGCATCCATGGCGTTGACGATGCCCTGAATATCGTAGCAGCCATCTTCGACGTCGATTACGTTCCAGCCGCAGGCTCGCATCTTGTCGTTGATGTTTTCCGTGTTGGTAAGCTTCATGGGATTGTCAGCTCGCTCCCTTTGAATCTCATTTGTTCCCTCGTATTGAAGAATGCACTCACATCAACAGATCCATCGCACGTAATTTGGTTGTTGTCGTACATAATCGTCAAGTTGTTGAGCTTGTAGTGGCCCGCAAGTGAGATGGCCTCCAGTGCTACGCCCTCTTGCAGGCAGGCATCTCCAATCATGCACCAAGTGTGATTTGACACGACATCAAACCCGGGCTTGTTGAATGTCGCGGCGAGGTGCTTCGTCGCCATGGCCAGACCAGTCGCGTTCGCAACACCCTGACCCAGTGGTCCCGTGGTCACCTCGATGCCCTCGTGCTCGATCTCGGGATGGCCCGGGCAGAAAGCGTCCACCCGCTCCGAATGGTAGGACTTGAGCTGGTCGAAGGTCATCGCCTTGTAGCCAGTGAGATGGAGGAAGCAGTATTGGAAGAGGCAGGTATGTCCGTTGGACAGGACGAATCGGTCTCGGTTAAACCAGTCAGGGCTATGAGGTGCATATCGCATTGTGTATTTCCAGAGCGCGATTCCGATGGCTGCCATGCCGATCGCACCTCTGTTCTCTGCGGTCAGCATTGCATAAGTCTCAAGATATCCGAGGTTCCTACCCTGGATGACCGCCATTGAATTGTTGGCACAGATCTGCTACCAACAAGCGAAAGCTCTTCAGTACAATATCGTGCGAGCTCTCATCCCCGAGTTTGCGGTTCGCAACCGCAATGGTGTTTTTGGACACCGTCTCAATGGCACCGGGAGCCATGTTTCGGCAAAGAAGTGTTGGAGTATTATTCCGAAAGGAAAGTGGTCCAACTGGGATCTCCAGGGAACTACGACCTTCCAACAACTTTTATCGTGATAGCTATTCAAATTATATGAGCAATCCGTACTGAATCGACCAACAAGACGATCATGTATTTAGTGCAAGCATTCAGTAGGGATACAGCGCATTTTGGGCTCTGGGGCCGACGCCGCTGTTCACGGTTCAAAGATCTCGGATTACCCAAAACGGAAATGTTAACCACCTCCACCCGCACTAATCGTCGAGGAAATGCTAAGCGCTGCTTGTTCTAGACCCTGTTGCCCCGGCCTGCATTTACAAGCGCAGGCTCACTCACGCGGCGCCTATCATTTCCCCGAGGCCTATTGTACAGTTGATGAGCACATATCTCGTTGCCGTCCAGAGCGCAGTCTATCGTTCGTATCTCTCATCCTTAAAGCCCAGTACTCCATGATTTGACCACAGCGCCCGCAATACTCATTATAGACTATTCGTTTAAGATCGACGACGGCGTTGTCAGAATTACTAGAAGATGGGCAGTATAGACCACGGCTTTGACGGCCATGTTAACGGCGGCCTGAACGGCGCCGATCACACGTTCGAGCCCAAGCACCCCAACCCGTCATTACAGGTGACCGCGGACCACAAGATCAAGATGGTGGAGGCGCCCGTCCACGAGCCGGGACAAGGAGAGGCGCTCATTCATGTAAAGACGACAGGAATCTGTGGGTGAGTTTCTTCGCCCATATCGATCAACCGTCAGCGTTACAGACTAAGAGCATCCGGATACTGAATGTGTGATGGTACAGCTCGGATATCCATTTCTGGAAGACAGGCCGGATAGGCACTCTCGTGGTGGAAGGCGACTGCATCCTCGGCCACGAAGCCGCCGGCACCGTTCTCAAGTGCGGTCCCGGCGTCACGAATCTCAAACCTGGTATGGAGCCCCATGCTCATCTCAGAAGCAGGAGCTGAATCATATAAACACAGGCGATCGCGTGGCCGTAGAACCCGGCGTTCCGTGCGGCACTTGCTACCTCTGCCTCGAAGGGCGATACAACCTCTGCGACGACGTCCAATTTGCCGGTGTCTACCCCTACGCAGGCACCCTGCAGCGCTACAAAGTGCACCCGGCGAGATGGCTGCACAAGTGAGTCCCCGCTCGTACTTGGGCCACCCCGTACCACAAGAACTAACAAGGGCATGTATATTAGAATCCCAGACAATGTCAGCTTCGCCGAAGCGGCTCTCCTCGAGCCCCTCAGCGTCGTGCTCCACGGCATCGAGAGGGCGGGCCTGTCCCTCGGCCACCCGGCGCTCGTCTGCGGCGCCGGGCCCATAGGGCTGACCGCGCTCGCCGCGGCCCGCGCCTCGGGCGCCCACCCCGTCGTCATCACGGACCTCGAGCCCAAGCGCCTCGCCTTCGCGCGGTCCTACGTGCCGGGCTGCCTGACGTACCGCGCGGACCCGTCCAAGAGCCCCGAGGAGCAGGCCCGGGAGATCAGGGAACTGTTCGGCGCGGCCGAGGACCCTTACTTCGCGCCGAGGACGGTCCTGGAGTGCACTGGCGTGGAGGGCAGCGTCGTCACGGGGTGCTTCGCGGTCAGGAGGGGCGGGACCGTCATGGTCATCGGCGTCGGGAGGCCCGTCATGAATAACCTGCCCTTTATGCACATCTCTCTGGCGGAGGTAAGTGGGGGGGTTCTTGGTCGTTCTGCTAAAAAATGGCTCTATATACTAAGGTTTGCATCTAGATTGACCTCAAGTTCATCAACCGATACAAAGATACCTGGCCAGCTGGTATCTCTTGCCTGAGCGGCGGGATCATCAGTCTCAAGGAGCTCGTGTCCCACGAGTTCCCGCTGGAGAAGGCTATAGAGGCGTTGACGGTCTGCTCTGACCTGAGCAACGGAAGTATCAAGGTGCAGATTGTCGACGACGTAGAGCAGGCATACTCATGATACAATATAGATTGTAAGACCTCCGAATCACTGTATGGAGAATAGCAAGTTTCTCCATTTTGTAATCTAAATTGATCAGTCTACTACGACCAAGTGTAAAGAAACATTCCCTACTAGGGTATTCCCTTTGCATGAGAAAGCCTTCAAGCCCTCAAGACCGCCAAAACCAACGAAGTGGCATATTATCCTTTTCTTAATCAACGCCCAAACCCCTCAAAAGTATCTTACATCATCTAACCAGTCGCCCGACACACTCTAGTCATGCTTCTTGTTCTTCTGGTTCCGGACCGCGCCGTCTATGTAGCCCAAGAAATCTTCGTCCGTCATGTATACGACCTCATCGGTCTGCCACGTGCGGTCCGTCTGGGGCCGCTGCCACCCGTCCGGCAGCGGCGTGCCGTGGACGGTGTGGTTGTACTCCTCGGGCCAGATGCTCGGGGCCGCAAAGTGCGTCAGCCCGCGCATGCGCGCGATGGAGCGGAACCCGCGCATGCTGAAGAAGGGGGGGAAGATCTCGACGACGGCCGCGTCGGGCGGCAGGTACAGGATGTTGGTGATGCCGGCGCCGTGGTGGCCCACGAGCACGTCGGTCGCCTGCATCAGCCTCACCTGGTCTTCGATCGTGATGGTGGCGAAGTCGACGATGTTGATCTGCGACCTCGGGTACGCCCTCTCGAGGGCCTGCCTCTTGGAGTCCATGTCGATGATCCGGCGGGTCTTCTTCCTGTCGATGATGGTGATGGTGGGGTCCTCGTGGATGTCGCCCGCCGGGCGCGGCGCGATGTTCAGGAACCGGAACAGGCGGCGGATGAAGGTGTCGAGGAGGAAGCGGGTCTGGCACGGGTCGTGGTAGTTGGTCTCCAGCAGCGCCGACCAGAAGGGGCTGCTCGAGCCGGCCATGGGGAGGATGACGTTCTTGAAGCACGTGCCGGGCTGCAGGTCGCTGCGCCGGATGGGCGCGTTGCCCGTCACCATCGTCCACCACCGGTCGTACACCTCCTGCCGGTCGTCCTCAAAGACCACGCGCACGTCTGCCGCGTCCCTTTTGCTCAGCCACGGCGTGCCCGTCGCCGGGTTCCTGGCCATCTGCATGATGTCGAGCGAGTGCATGGCTTGCCACGGCTCCATCAGCTTGTGCCACACGTTGGTGTTGCCCTCGCGGCGGACCAGCAGGATCCAGCCGTCGTCTGTCGAGTTGCACTTTTGCTCCCGTTGGCCGTCAAACTCCCACTCCTTCATCTGCTGGCCCAGTCCAGTATCGAACCAGTACACGTCCATCTTATCAACCGGAGGGACATCGGCGAGCGAGTCTTTCCTCTCCGGGTGGAGAAGCATCTCGTTAGTGAAGTTTCTGAGTGTACATTGCAATGAGAATGGCTTCGGTGCTTCGCTCGGAGTGGCGGCATCGGATTCGGAGAGCGTCCTATGGGATTCGATGGGGTTTGGATCGTACAGGACTCCCTGAGCCAGACATGTCGGATCCGACTTGTACTCGCCGCCGCGGCGCGGCGCTAAGAAGCAGTGGAACTTGCTGGGTGAGGATGCCTCGCAGTAGTCCGCCTGTTTGGCAGCGGCGGCCGTCAGGTACGAGGCGCCGAGGAACGTTTCGCAGTCCTTCTGGTCGTCCGAGACGTAGCGATAGTCATCGGGAAAGATCGATTCGCCGACATCCTTCGCTGAAGAGGATTTCGAGGGCGATGAAGGTCTTGAGATCTTGTCCCAGAACGGGTTGTCGCCTACGAACAGACCTCTAGAGTTGCAGGCGTAGATGAGGAGGAGCAAGGTGATGGCAGAGGCAATGAGGAATTTACGATGCCCTCTCGACGGACCAGCCATATTTGCGATCATAATGAAATGCCGAGGTGGTAGGAAAGATTCTACGGCCCCGAGGAAAGAAAGATTCCCTTCTCATCAAAGAGGTAGGACAAGACAAGGAGCAGTCTGAGGGACATTGAGAGTGTTAGGGGGGTAATACCTGCCCACAGCCATGGTTCTCCTTTGGGTTCACGGGGTGTAGAGGGGGGGTAATAGCTGCCCTCAGCCATGGTTCTCCTTTTCACGGGGTGTGCTCGTATGAATCACGGTATACATGCATCAACGTGCCAAAAAAGCATGAGGAGATAAAGGCAACCATGTGGCGCACGCTATGCTGTATCTTTTACGCCCTCATTTTGCGCCCACGTCTGGTAAGCGCCCCGGTTCGTATATTGGGTCGAGACTTTCAGATTGGCCGTCCATGATTGGCGCGTGGGGGGGGGGGGGGGGGGGGGGGTGGG